GGGTCCAGACAGGCCCTGGGTGGTGACGCTTGCGGGGTGGGGGCATGGCAGGTGGCACCATCCAGGTGAGCTTGGGATGGGTCGTTTTGCCTGTGAAGATCCCAGCTGTGCAGGCTGTTCCTGCTTGTCAACTTCCCAGGATGTAACCTTGGCCTTGTGAAAGCTCCCGTTCCTGCGTGTGACCCCCACTCCTGGCCACAGCTGTCGGATCTGTGTCTGCCGTACAGGGCTCCGTGCCTGGTGGCTGGCTGCATCTGGTCCGTTTCTGGGCGTGTGCCCTGGTTCTGGGCGCAGCGTATAGCGGCCAGTTAAACGGCAAGGAAGCAGGCTGCCGCCATGGTGGGGTAGGCGAAGCCTTCCCCTGTGGTGCCAGATCTCGTATGGATGCTGGTTCGAGTCTGGCTGCTCCTTTGCTGATCCAGCTCCCTGCTCCTGGCCTGGGAAGCACTGGAGATGGCCCAGGGTCTGGGGCCCCGGACTCCTGGCTTCAGGTCGGCTTAGTTCCATCTGTTGTGGCCATTTCGGGAGTGACCCATCGGAGGGAAGATACTTTTATAAATCTACTTTTCCAATAAAAATAAATACGTTTACTTATTTCCATTGGAAAGGCAGATTTATAGAGAAGGAGAAAGAGAGAGAAGGTCTTCCGTCCACTGATTTGCTCCCCAAATGGCTGCGCTGGCCAGAGGTGAGCTGACCTGAAGCCAGGAGCCTCTTCTGAGTCTCCCACATGGGCACAGGGTCCCCAGGCTTTGGGCCGTCCTCCACTGCTCTCCCAGGCCACAGCAGGGAGCTGGATGGGAAGTAGTACAGCCGGGATTAGAACCTGTGCCCATATAGGACCTGTGCTGGTGCTTGTGGGTAGAGGATTAGCCAGTTAACCATTGTGCTGACCTGAGAATAAATAATTTTTTTTTAAAGATTTATTTTTATTGTTTTTTTATCGGAAAGGCGGATATACAGAGAGGAGAGACAGAGAGGAAGATCTTCCGTCCAATGATTCACTCCCCAAGTGAGCGCAACGGGCCGATACTATGCCAATCCAAAGCCAGGAGCCTCTTCCGGGTCTCCCACGCAGGTGCAGGGTCCCAAGGCTTTGGGCCATCCTCGACTGCCTTCCCAGGCCACAGGCAGGGAGCTGGAAGGGAAGCGGGGCTGCCGGGATTAGAACCGGTGCCCATATGGGATCCCGGGCGTGCAAGGCGAGGACCTTTAACCACTTGCGCCACTGCGCCGGGCCCAAGAATAAATAATTTTTAAAAATGGTAGTGAAGCTGTTCCGACAGCCCCAGTTCGGGGGTGTGGCCTGCTGAGTTCTGGGGGGCTGCGGTCCCCTGATTCTTGTGCTTTCGTGCAGTAATTGCAGGTTGGGACTTGGACGACCTGTTGGCCGTCTCCCAGCAGGCGGCCCCTCCCTGGACTGCCGTTCTCTGGTTTAGTGGCGCGATGGCCTTCCTACAGGTGCACCTGGCTGGCCAGGGGAGGGCTCCAGGGGCCGTGGGCGGGCGGGCAGGGGTCGCCCCTGTCTCCGTGAGCCCCCTCCCCTGCCTCTGAGGTGTTTCCCTTTCCTGCTGTGGGCAGCGCCGTGTCTGGCACTTGCCCCTTTCCTGGTCCCTTTGCCGATTTCCACTTGGTTTAGCAGAGCCCCCTGCCCTGGGGCTTCTTAGGGAGGTTGTCCATCCCCTGGTGCACTCCCCAAATGGCCGCAATGGCCAGGGCTGGGCCAGGATGAAGCTGGGAACCAGGACTTCCAGGTCTCCCACCTTGGTGCAGGGGTCTAAGTCTTGGGCCATCCTTTGCTGCTTTCCCAGGCATGTTCCGGGGAGCTGGAGCGGAAGTGGGGCAGCTTGAACTGGTGCCCACGTGGGATGTCGGGGCTGCAGATGGAAGCTTAGCTGGCTGTGCCACAGTGCGAGCCCCTTTAGGTTGTACATGCATGTCTAGATGGCCTTCTGTGTGCCCAAGTGGAAGGCTTTGCTGGCTCCCATGGGCAGCTCAGGGAAGCTGCGTCCTCCCTGACCATGCTGCACAGGGCACCTGCACCCAGGCTTGGCGGGACGTGCTGCTCCGCCCTGCTGGCAGAGAGAAGCTTGCTGTTTCCCTGGCCTGCTGCTCACACCTCCCGGGCGGGGCCTGCTTGTCCTACAACTGCTCTGCCCGAGCCTGCCTGGGCCCATCTGGCCTGTGTCCGTGCCTCCCTGCCTGGCCTGCTGGGAGCGCTACGCCCCACCCCATCTGGACACGCAGTGGCTGCTCAGTACCAGCCTGTCCGGTGAGTGAGTTCAACAGCCTGTTGGCCTCCCTCGTGCCCCTGAGCTGCCAGTGCTCGGCCGCTCTTCCTTGGGGTCCGTGCCCCCGTCTCGGCATCTCAGACTGCCCCCACAGCACTGGCCTGAGCTCCTGTGCCCAGCGGGGCCCCTCTGTGCTGTGCTCGGTTCCCCAGGGCTTCCTGGCAGGCTCTGCCCAGCCTCCTGACTTCCTCACACCTCCTCCTGGTTGTTGTTTAAAAAAAAGATTTTATTTATTTTTATTGCAAAGTCAGATATACAGAGAGGAGGGACAGAGGAAGACCTTCTGTCTGTTGAGTCACTTGATTCACTCCCCAAGTGGCTGCAATGGCTGGAGCTGAACTGATCTAAAGCCAGGAGCCAGGAGCTTCTGGGTCTCTCATGCGGGTGCAGGGTCCCAAGGTTTTGGGAAGTCCTCAACTGCTTTCCCAGGCCACAGGCAGGGAGCTGGATGGGAAGCGGGGCTGCCGGGACTAGATCCAGCTCCCATATGGGATCCCAGCATATTCAAAGTGAGGACTTGGCCGCTAGGCTACTGCGCCGGGGCCCTTGGCATTTTTGTGTTTTCTAGCTCACATGGGAGCTCAGTCCTTGCTAACTGAAAAGGAATTTGAGCCATTCGTCTTCCTGGTTGGTGGCACAGCACATGACTTGTACATGGTGCCTGCCTGTCTCTTGTCTGTTTTTAGAGACCTGGCCTGGGAGGCAGCATGGGGCAGCTGGTGTTAAGCTGCCGCCTGTGAGCCAGCAGGCCCTGTCGGACTGCCTCCTGGCCACTCCGTCTCTGTGCGGCTCCCTGGTGGTGTGCCGGGGATTCGGACGAGGTCGGCCCGTGGAGACCAGGGTGCGGTGCCTGACTCCGGGCTGGCTCGTGGGCTGTTTGGGGAGTGAACCAGTGGCCGATCTCTCTCTCTCCCTCCTTGTAACTTTTTCAAAGTAAAATATGAATAAATTTTAAAAACCCTTAATTCAAAATAATGAATTATGTAAATCATTTTCTGTTGGTTATTTCACGTGGGCCACCACGGAAGGCATTTCTCTTTGGGCAGCGGTGAGCCGGGCGCTCACGAGGGGCCTGGCCAGCACCGCCGACCTGGGCGCCCGGCAGCCTTGTCCTCATGGGGTCCTCACTGGCGTCTGGCCCCTGGAGAGGAGCCTGCGCTGAACGGCAGGGTGGCTCGGCCTGGTCGGGGCGCTTCCCATGGCGCTGTCCCAGGAGGCTGCTGTGGAGTGCGGGCGGGGCAGGTGCAGTCCCCCGGGAGCTGATGGGACCCCTCACTGCGCCCCCGGGGCGCTCTGGGCAGGGCTGCCTCGTCTCCTGCTCCCTGCTCGGAGGCCCCCGCCTGCCCGGGGAGGCAGAGCTCTTCCGGCCGGCTCCGCTCCCTTCTGACTAAGGAATGGGAGGCCGGTACCCAGTCTCCCCGCCTTCCCGAGCTGGGGCTGACGCCGCCCTGGCCACACACGGTTGCCACGGCGACCACATTAGAGGCTGCAGTGCCCGTTAGGGACTGAGTGCCTGGCAAGATGACAGGGCTGAGGTGACCCAGAGCGAGCGGACCCTGGGAGACAGGGAGAGGAGGTGCAGGCGCGGGCAGAGCCCCAGGGCTTGGCGGCGTGAGGTCTTCCCTGGGTGTGTCCGTTGTCCTGTTCTTGGAGATGTGTTCAGAGGCCTTCTGCTCTGGGCTCCTTGTCTTTGTGTGGGCATGCCAGCAGTGTGAGGAAAAGGCCGCCGGCAGAGCAGGCGGGCATCACAGGTGAGGGCTGAGAGCCGCGGCTGCACTCGGCCTGGAGCCTCTGCTGGGCGGTCTGGGGCGTTGCTGGGCGTGTGGAGGGGCTGATGGACTTCTCCCAAGAGCAGCTCAGGGACCCAGGCCCAGGCCGTGGTGATGGCACGCCGCCACGCCGCTTCCCTCGTCCAGCCACACACACACGCACACACACACACTAGTAGCCAGCTCATCACCTTAGCGGAGAACATCTTGAAGCACTTAGCTGGTGCTTCAAGAGGCCCCCGCCGGGAGTCATCCACACACCCACTTACGGGGTCTTCCTTGGTGAAGGGATGAGCTGGGATTGGCGCTGGGGCCGCCCCTGACTGCCTGTCAAGCCTGAGGGACAGTGGGGATCATGTGTCCTCTGAACTTGGCTCCCTGCTGCCGGGGTGTACCCCGCCTGCTGGGGGCCGCTGTGTGCCCTTGGGGTCCGTTCCTGCCTGCTATGGCGGCTGGCTGTCGTCGCCATGGTTACAGCAGCAGGTCTGGCTCTGTTGTGAAGACGGGCCGCCCGGTCTTTGTTGTCACCTCAGATTGTGTTCCCGGGGAGAGGATGCCCGGCCTCCTCCCAGGCTGAGGTTCTGCCTCTGCAGTCCTGGTCCTAACTAGTTCTAACTAGTCCTAACTAGTCCTAGCTGCCTTTTGTTCTCTGCCCACACGGCCCTGCAGGATGTGACTGTTCCAGTATTAAGCACTGTTGTGTGTGTCTGATGTGGTCACCACGGCAACCCCTGGGCTCGCCCGGTGCCCTGAGGACCTGCCCGCCTGCTTGCTGTGCCCAGGTCACGGGGTGAGGGGCTGGCAGCGCTGTGCTCGGCCTGAGAGCCGTTTGCCTCCGATGCCCGAGGAGACGAGGGACTCCCTTGTGGCCGTAGTGGTCACCCTTGGCCTGGGGTCGCCCTGAGGGCGGAGCCTGACCTTCTGACCTGTGTCTTCCTAGATAACGTCCCCGAGGACCTCCGGGACCCTTTCTATGTGGACCAGTACGAGCAGGAACACATCAAGCCGCCCGTCACGAAGCTGCTGCTGTCCAGCGAGCTGTACTGCCGCGTGTGCGGCCTTATCCTCACGGGGGACCAGGCAGCCGCCTTACAGGGCCACCAGGCTGTCATCCAGGCCCTCTCCAGGAAAGGGATCTATGTGATGGAGAGTGACGACACCCCTGTGACGGAGCCAGACCTCAGCCGCGCCCCCATCAAGATGGTGAGGCGGACGGTGCATGTGGGCGGCAGCACCTGGGGGGCTGGTCTGTGCTTCCGGAGAGGAAGGGGGCGCATTCTCACTTGGATGGTGAGGCAGTGCCCAGGTGTGCGCTGTCCAGGCAGCCGAGGGGCTGGTTATGGTGCGTGTGCCCTGAGTGCCCGTCTCATCCTGGTGGGGCTGCAGGTCCGAGCCACCGGGTGGCAGTGTGTGGGTGAAGGGTGGTCCCCGCAGTGAGTGACTCCCCAGGGCCCAGGCGAGGGAGGAAGACTCATATGTGAGACCCTGCAGCGTGGCATGGGCATCCAGCTGCTACTCTGTCCCCAGAGTGCCCACATGGCGATGGTGGACGCCCTCATGATGGCCTACACCGTGGAGATGATCAGCATTGAGAAGGTGGTGGCCAGTGTCAAGCGCTTCTCCACGTTCAGCGCGTCACAGGAGCTGCCCTACGACCTGGAGGACGCCATGGTGTTCTGGGTCAACAAGGTGAGCCGTGCCGGCTGCAGCTGGGCCGCACTTGGGGTGTCACAGAGCCAGCGAGCCAAGGTCTGCAGCGTCGTGACCAGGTGCCTGCGTGTGCCGGGTTGAGCCCTGCCCACGGCAACGGAGAGACCTGGTGGCTGTGTCTGCCCCGTGGGGGCCTGCTCGCTGCCCCCCAGACAGCCTAGGGGGAGTCTTGTGCCTTGACCTCAGTGACAATTGCCCTGTTCAGTTATGGGGTCTCCTACCCAAGCGGGGAGGCCAGCCCCCTCAGCGGCGGCCTGGAGAGCCTCCTTCGTGTTTGCATGGCGGCCTGTGGCTGACATGCCTTCAGCCCGCAGGACACTCGGGTCAACTTGCTTCAGAGTTTTTATTCACTTTATTTTGAAAGAAACAGCGTGCGTGCCAGGGAAGTTCCAAGTGGTAGATGGCAGAGGCCTCCTTGCGAGTGCCCTGCTTGGCACTCGGTTTGCCCCGTGCGCCTCAGCACTTCATGTCCCTGGCTCCCGGGGAGTGGCCCTCTCTGGGGCCTGCCAAAGCCTGGCGTGGGCACCCCTGTGCTCCCGCGACCTGCTGGGGTTCGTGTGGATGGCATTGTGTTCCCTGTGACCTGCTCAGGGCACATGTGGGTGACCTGCTACTCCTCGTGACCTCAGGGCACGCGTGGGTGGCATGGTGCTCCCTGCTATCTGCTCGGGGGTGTGTGGAGTGACCTGCTGGGGCGCGCGTGGGTGGCAGCATGGAGCTCCCTGTGACCTCTTGGGGTGCACATGGGTGGCACGGAGCTCTGTTTGTTTCTTCCGCATGTTGTGTGTGTGTGTGTGTGTGTGTGTGTGGGCGCCTCCCCGCACTCTGCCTGGTTCTCCTGCACGTGTGTGTGTGTGGGCGCCTCCCCGCACTCTGCCTGGTTCTCCTGCACGTTGTGTGTGTGTGTGTGTGTGTGTGTGTGTGGGCGCCTCCCCGCACTCTGCCTGGTTCTCCTGCACGTTGTGTGTGTGTGTGTGTGTGTGTGTGTGTGGGCGCCTCCCCGCACTCTGCCTGGTTCTCCTGCACGTTGTGTGTGTGTGTGTGTGTGTGTGTGTGTGTGTGTGTGGGCGCCTCCCCGCACTCTGCCTGGTTCTCCTGCACGTGTGTGTGTGTGTGTGTGTGTGGGCGCCTCCCCGCACTCTGCCTGGTTCTCCTGCACGTGTGTGTGTGTGTGTGTGTGTGTGTGTGGGCGCCTCCCCGCACTCTGCCTGGTTCTCCTGCACGTTGTGTGTGTGTGTGTGTGTGTGTGGGGGCGCCTCCCCGCACTCTGCCTGGTTCTCCTGCACGTTGTGTGTGTGTGGGAACCTTCCCGCAGCTTCCCATGTGCAGGATGGGAGAGCTTCATTTCCTTACTCTGGTGAGGCTGGCGTTTAGGAAGTAGCTCATAGCCACTCTGTGGGCGCAGCCTGGGGCCCTGGCATCTGAGCTGGAGTGCCAGCTGACTGCCCTGCTCTTGCCCGCTCTGTGGACACGCGTGGGGCAGCCCTCCCTGGGGGAGACCACGTGGAAACCTGCAGATGGAAGAGCTCTTTCTGCTCGTCTCTCGGCCCTCCGGCCACTGCTGCCCGGCTAGCTGCGTTATTAAGGAATGCATGCGTGTGTCGTGGTTGCCCTTTCTCTGTGGTGAGTTACTCTCACTGCCTTTGCGCAGGTCTGCGGGGTTGGAGTCAGGGGCCCATTCTTTTCTCAGTGGCCTGGTGAGCTCTCACACACTGCTCTGTGTCCTGGGGAGCTGGTGGGGTGCAGGGATCTTCAAACGCTGCTTTCCTTGAATGGTCCCTGTCTCTGCCTCCACGTCTTCAAGGAAAATGCCGTATTTGTGGCTCTTGACCTGCTCTGGGTGCATGTTGTGCTGGTCAGGTGCGGGCAGAGGTTACAGCTCCATGGCCTCCACGCCCTGTCTTGCTGGCTTGTGGGAACGTGCCGCGGCCAGGCTTTGCCCTGCACGCTGTCCTGCACCAGTCTTAACGGACGCCCTCCTCAGAGTATTTGCCTAGTCTGGTTTCTCAGCACTCCGTCTGGGCTGGCATGCCTTGCACTGTGGACCCCTCTATGCTGGCTGAGTGGGGGAACTCCCAGGAGCCTCCCTGGGGTGTGGCCTCAGCTTTGGGGTGCTCTGGGATCCTGGGCTCGCCTCCCCCTTGGCATCTGTTCTGTAGCCCCCGGTGTTGGCCTTCCTGGCCCAGACCGTTCCAGGACAGGCAGGTCTGGGGCATGGCTGAGATGCAGGGGGTCCTCCCTGGCTGTGCACTTGCTGCCAGCACCTGGGCTCCCTGTCCTGCGTTGGGCTTGGGTCTCCCCTCTTTCTGAGTGTTCTGGAACTTTCCTGTGAGCCACCGTGCTCAATTACTTAGGTCAGATGCTTGTCTGCTTTTAAAACCCACTCTGCTAGGATGAGGTTGGACACAGCAGGTGGCCCAGTTCCTTCTGTTGAACCATTGCCTATGTCCACTCAGCAGATGCCTGACATGGCTCCTCAGTGCTCCCAGAGGTGGTCCTCCACCTCTGCCCCATTCCCTGTTGACCAGCTGTTTGCACACTGCCCGGTGACACCTACCTCTCCTGTCCTCTTGCTGTGGCTGGACAAGCTGTGTGTCCCTAGAGCCTGCCCCATCATGCCGCGTGGCTGGAGGACTGGACAGGAAGGAACCAGGAGGACTGGACAGGAAGGAACCAGGAGTGCTGTGGGACACGAGGGCCATGCATGGAGTCCAAATTTGCTTGAACCTAAAGAAGTGTTTCCTTCAATTTCATTTTTTCCATGAACTCTTTTAAGAAAGATTTGTTTCTTTATCTGAAAGGCAGAGTTACAGAGAGCAGCTCAGATAGTCAGATCTTCCTTCCGCAATGGCTAGGCTGAGGCCAGGAGCCAGGAGCTTCCTCCTGGTCTGTCTTGTGGAGGCAGGGGCCCAAGCACCTGAGCTGTCCTCTGTGCTTTCCCAGGCAAGCAGCGGGGAGCTGGGTCAGGAGTGCAACAGCTGGTACCTGAATTGAGGTCCATGTGGGCTTACCCATTGTGCCACAGCACCAGCCCCTCATAAACTTCTTGAAATATTCTCATATAGCTTAAGTATACTAATTCAAATTATGAAAAGAAATTGCAAAAGTTATACTATTTTAAACTCCTTTCCAGCAAGGTGTCAGGTGTGAGTGCCCTGAGGGGAGATCAGGTGTGAGTGCCGTGAGGGGAGTGTCAGGTGTGAGTGCTCTGAGGGGAGTGTCAGGTGTGAGTGCCATGAGGGGAGTGTCAGGTGTGAGTGCTCTGAGGGGAGTGTCAGGTGTGAGTGCCCTGAGGGGAGTGTCAGGTGTGAGTGCCCTGAGGGGAGTGTCAGGAGTGAGTGCTCTGAGGGGAGTGTCAGGTGTGAGTGCCGTGAGGGGAGTGTCAGGTGTGAGTGCCCTGAGGGGAGATCAGGTGTGAGTGCCCTGAGGGGAGTGTCAGGTGTGAGTGCCCTGAGGGGAGTGTCGGGTGTGAGTGCTCTGAGGGGAGTGTCAGGTGTGAGTGCTCTGAGGGGAGATCAGGTGTGAGTGCCCTGAGGGGAGTGTCAGGTGTGAGTGCCCTGAGGGGAGTGTCAGGTGTGAGTGCCCTGAGGGGAGATCAGGTGTGAGTGCCGTGAGGGGAGTGTCAGGTGTGAGTGCTCTGAGGAGAGATCAGGTGTGAGTGCTCTGAGGGGAGTGTCAGGTGTGAGTGCCCTGAGGGGAGTGTCAGGAGTGAGTGCTCTGAGGGGAGTGTCAGGTGTGAGTGTTCTGAGGGGAGTGTCAGGAGTGAGTGCTCTGAGGGGAGTGTCAGGTGTGAGTGTTCTGAGGGGAGATCAGGTGTGAGTGCCCTGAGGGGAGATCAGGTGTGAGTGCCGTGAGGGGAGTGTCAGGTGTGAGTGCTCTGAGGAGAGATCAGGTGTGAGTGCTCTGAGGGGAGTGTCAGGGGGTGGACCCTTCTCTGCTGCTTCATTCCCTGGGTGGCTGCAGTGCCAGGATGGGGCTAGGCTTAAGCCAGGTGCCGGGGCTCCAGCAGGTCTGCATGTGCGTGGCCACACCCTCAGCTCAGCTGCATGGAAGTGGCGCTGCCAGGATCTGAACCAGCATCCTCTGTGTATATCTGCCTTTCCAATAAAAGTCAGTACATCTTTAGAGGATTTGTTTTTATTGGAAAAGCAAATTTACAGAGAGAGAGAGAGAGAGAGAAACAGAGACAGAGAGGAAGATCTTCCAACTGATGGCTCACTCCCCAAGTGACCACAACAGCCAGAGCTGAGCTGATCCAAAGCCAGGAGCCAGGGGCTTCTTCCGGGTCTCCCACGCAGGAGAAGGGTCCCAAGGCTTTGGGTCGTCCTCTGATGCTCTCCCAGGATATAGCAGCGAGCGGGATCAGGAACGGAGCAGCCAGGACCTGACCCAGTGCCCATATGGGATGCCAGCTCCGCATGCAGAGGCTTAGTGTGCTGCACCTCAGTGCAGCTGTGCTGTGGTGTGATCTGGGTGTGTTGGAGTGCGCACCTGTTAAGCTCCTGAAGAGACCTCAGGTGTCCCTGAGCTCCACCCAGGGGTGCCCCGGGCCCTATGCTGCAGGCCAGAGGCACTGTGTGACTACTTCCTGGGCCTGGGGCCAGGCAGGTGGACCAGGGTCCTGGAGCCTGAAGCAGAGCCTGGGGGGATCCCTGTGTGGGAACACCAGTGCCTTTTTAATGCTTTTTCTTCTGTTTAGGTGAATCTTAAAATGAGAGAAATAACAGAGAAAGAAGTTAAGTTAAAGCAGCAGCTGCTGGAGAGCCCGGCTCATCAGAAGGTAAAGGCTCACTTGACACCTAGCTTGTTTGCGGCGTGCAGGATCGGAGTGGGGCTCAGTGGAAGGGGCTCCCAGTTCCAGAGGTTTCCATCAGTACCCACTGCTTGCCTCTCTAATTCATCAGAAGAGCAGGCAGCGCTTAGGTCCACTTGCTGCCTCAGGGAGGGGTCTCCCAGCAACCTGTGCCCCTCCTTCCTGGGGGCCGCTTTGCACAGCCCTGCAGGGTGGCGGGGAGCTGGGAAGGAGGACATGGCCTGTGGCGCAGGCACCCCCTTCAGCTCCCTCCTGGTCAGCCTGGCTGGGGTCTGCAGAACCTGCAGCCTGAGTGGGATCCCAGGGGGCGGGCTGCGGCACCCGCTCCGCCGCTGTTGGTCTTCCCTGTCCCCGAGGCTCCTGTCCGTTGTCCAGCTCGGACGGCCCTGCAGTTGCGCAGTCCCCATGTGCAAGCAGGTACACCCTGGCTGGCTTGCAGGCTTGCTGCTGGGGGGCCAGTGCCCCTGTCCCTGCTCGTCTCCATGGACACCACACGCTGGCCAGTGGACAGCAGCCCAGGCTCTCTGCCTGCCCACTTACCAGGCTTTTGGGCCCCATGCCTCCCGCTCAGGCCCCGGTGGGCATGCGGGACAGCATAGACAGAGCCCTCCAGAGCAGACAGACACGCTGCCTCCAGAACGCGGCTCCCCCCCAGCCCCTTGTGTCCTCTACTCCTGCCAAGGACCGCCCTGGGGAGTGACCTGTAACCCTCAGGGTCATCTCTCACCGTCCGACCCGCCAGGGTCACAGCGCCTGGGATTTGCTTCCCGGAGGTCACCACGCCTCTGCCGCGTGAGCATGTGTCGGGCCTGCCCGTGGGCACCTGCCCCGCTGACACTCCTCTCCGCTTCCTCCCTGCTTCCTGGGCAGTCTCCCTCCAAGTGGTACTGGAAGTTGGTGCCCGTAAGTGACCCTGAGCCACCAGCCGCCATCTGCAGAGCCATCCATTTGCCGTCATTCGCTTCCATTCAGATTGCTCGCACCCGAGACTGTGGTTATTGTTGCACCCGTCCGTCTGCTTGATGTGCATCCCGTGGAGGTTGTCACTGCACGTGCTCGTGGGAGCCGTGGCCTGCTTGTGATGCGTGGCCAGGGTCAAAGTTCTCCCAAGTGACCGCTGTGATGGCCTCCTCCAAAGACCAGCGGGGGCTGCGTGTGCCCTGCTTGCCCGGCCTTCTCAGTAGCCGTGAACTGGGCTGTGTGGTGTGAGGGTGCTGGCACACTGCCAAGGAGGCCCTACCACCCTGCTCACACGTCCTTGGCTCCCTCTGTCCCCTGTTCCTGCAGCCTCAGCCCTGTGGAGAGGAGAGGGCGGGAGGAGAGGGCGCACAGTTGGTGCTTGGGTTCTAGCTGGTGGCTCGTCCTGACAGCCGAACCCAGGGATGCCCATCCCTGCAGACCCAGGGCAGCCTGCAGGTGGCTTTGTACGTGTCCCTGGTGCCCGGGGAGCCGAGGGGCAGTGGCACAGCTGCCACAGCTGAATGCCCCTTTGCTTGTCTGTGGTGGAGACGTGCGAGGAGGACGAAGAGGGTGTTGTTGCTGGGCGCATGCCCGGTCGCTCCCCGGCAGGAGGGCTCGGCAGTATAGTTGCTGTGAGTTGGTGATCGCCCACGGGCGTCCGTGCTGCTGGGATTGTGGGGTGCCAGGCAGCCTTGGCCTGGAAGGACAGGGTCAGTGGGTCCTGCTGCGGCCCAGGGCAGCTCCTGCTGAAGCTGAGCAGGCCGGACGCTTCACCTTAGTGCCTGGCGGTGCCTGGCGGTGCCTGGCAAGGCACTTCATCGGCAAGTGTGTGGGATGCGTGGGATGAAATCACCATTTCCTTCGCTGCATGCCCCAGGTCCCTGCCCAGTGCCCACTCCCTGGCGCATGCCCTGCCGCACTGCATGCCGGAACCTCTGAGCTTTGCATGTGTAGTACCATCTGAGGCTGGTCATGTGTTGTCACATGTGCCCTGGGTGCCGAGAAAGAAGTTAAAGCGTGGAAGCATTTTATTGATACAATGCCTCGTTGCTAAGTGCGAAAGCGCATTAGCAATGGTTATGCTGAACATTCCACACTGTCCCTTCCTAACAGTCTGCGGCTCTGGCCTGTGGGCTGTTTTTCTCAGAGTCAGGCCTGGCTGTAGCCCTCAGGCTCCAAGTTATGCCGTGCCCGCTGGCTACCTCCTCTGAGGGCACGTGGTTCACGGGAGGTGCCTTATTTTAAAACTTCCTGGGCGAAGCATACGACAGACCGGAAGGCGGACACCAGGGAGCGTGTTCCTGGGCGAGTGGCAGGCCTTGGTGGTGCTCAGGACCCTCGCACGCAACTCCCTGAGTGTGGAAGCACAGTTGCTGCGCACCTGCAAGGGCCGGAGGGCACACCTTGCCTGGCTTCACCCTCTGGACGCTCCTGCAGTCACTGCAGTGCTGATGGTCGTGACGGGAGCCCTGGCCAGCCGTGTGTTTTGCTTGAGGTCTCAGCTTAGTGCTGATAATTTCGGGAAGGTGCCCGTGACCGGGTGTGCCGGACACCAGGCTGTGAAGGTGCCCGTGACCCGGGCGTGCCGGACACGAGGCTGTGCACTGCTTAACTTGTTCCTCAGCAGCTTCGTGTGTGTGGGCTTGGGCATGCGGATCTGATGTCACCAGCAGGTCAGCGCTGTCCCCCAGGGCCGGCAGGCAGAGGGCAGCTTCAGACCCCTGGGCCCCTGCTGGATGGCTGGAGCCGCCCTTGCTGTTGCCTGCACCTGGGTGTGCACCTGGCCGTGCGCGGACGGACGGCAGGCGCTCAGACCCAGGAACACTGTGTTCCCCCCGCTGCAGGTCCGCTATCGGCGAGAGCCCCTGTCGGCCCGGCAGTGCCCTTACTTCCCGTGGGTGGAGGACCTGATGCGAGACGGCAGTGATGGCGCCGCCCTCCTGGCCGTCATCCACTACTACTGCCCGGAGCAGATGAAGCTGGACGGTGAGTGCAGCGAGGCGCGGGTTCGAATCCCAGCTGCTCCGGTTCCCCTCCAGCTCCCTGTTGATGTGCTGAGCGAAGCAGAGGCTGGTGAGGGTCCAAGCTAGGGCTCCTGTGGCCGAGTCAGACCCAGATGGAGCTGCTGGCTGCAGCTGGCCCTGCTCCGGCTGCTGTGGCAATCTAACAAATGGACTGTGGACGGAGACTCTCGCTCTTCTTTTCAAAGAAATAAATCTTAGTAGAAGAAAGGAAGCTGCATTGTCTGTGATCCTGGAGAGGAATCCCAGGTCCTGATGTCAGCGGCGTGCGCCCTGGTGGGAGGGAGGGCAGCGGGGGACGGCTGCGGGCGTGGCACTGTGCTGTCTGCAGGCTGTCTGTCAGCCAGTCCCTTGGCTGGCACTTGGGACTGCTTCTCCATGTGACGTGTGGAGAGCAGCACAGGTACAGTGTGCCTGCAGCCCGCCAGTGTGGCTGATGTGCTGCGTCCTTTCAGTGACTCCACGGGGCACGTTGTGGGGCCCGCCGGGCGGTATGGATGGTCAAGCACGGGGCCTGGGGGCAGGCTCTGGTTGAGGAGGGTGACAGGGGCCTGGGGCAGGCTCTGGCTAAGGAGGGTGACAACGATGGGGGCCCTGGGGGCAGGCTGTGGCTGAGGTTGGTGACAGTGATGGGGGCCTGGGGGCAGGCTCTGGCTGTGGTCTGTTGCACATGGGGCCTGGCTCCTGCTGTATATAATGTGTGCTAGGTTAGGGACTGTGTGGAGGCATTTCTTGTGAGTGTGTGGTTCCGTGTGTATGGTTCTCTGTGTGTTTGTGTAGGTCTGTGTGTGTGGTTCCGTGTGTATGGTTCTCTGTGTGTTTGTGTAGGTCTGTGTGTAGTTCTCTGTGGATTGTTTGTTTGTTTTTGCATTTTTAGTGTTGTTGCATAGTGGAGGGTTGCACGCCCCTGTGGGCCTCTGACAGGGATGGGAAGGGTGGAGGAGCCATGGAGGAAGGGGGGTGGGACACGTGTTTGGTTTTTTCTCTGTTCTCCTGAATCTGCAGCAGGGGAAGGCGAGGGGACGGTCATGGGGTGCTGCCCCGGACCCCAAGTATGGCGAGGGACATTCTGCCTGTGGTTCTCACGGCTTTGGTAGTCCTGAGACTGCCTTTGTGGTGCTAAGGTTGAGAAAAACTTGCGGGGTCTTTGTGTTGCAGGGTTTTTGACCCCGAATACGGCAGCAGCCTCAATTCTTGTTTCGAGGAAAGAATTTTCGTGTGGACACAGTTTAGTTTTAAAGCAAGATTTATTAGAAAAGCTGAGAGGAGAGACTCCCGCCCTAGTGACGGGAGGGGGCTCTGAGATAGAAAGGACCCTTACCCCGGCCAGAGTGGCAGGAGGACAAGAACCCGTATTAATGGTGGGGAATGCACCTTTTAAAGCTTTACTTCAAAGGGGCTCCCCAAGGACAGAAGGAAATTCCTGGTCCCCTGGTATCTGGCTTTGGGGCAAAGGACCAGACAGGTGTCAGACAGGGGACATTCCTGGCCTTGGGCATAGGGGTACTACACTTCCTCCAGGCCCCTTTTCAATGATAAGGAGATCAGCCTGAGGCCCTCCCACAATGGCTGGAGGTAATGGCCGATGCTTCAGGTGGGGAACTGATATGCTAATATCACCCTTGTCCCCTGGAAGGGACATGCTCTGGTGAATCTAAGACATGGTGGGGGATTTTATATTTGACAAGAGAAATGACTTGGGGACCCAGAATGGCCTAACTCCTCTCACATTTGGACTGACCAAGTCCACCTGAGTGCGTCCACAGACCCACACACCTGCTGCCAAGCTTGGCCAGCACAGTGGTCCAGCCGCTTCTGTGCTCCGTCCTCTGATGAAGAGGCATTGGCGGATGTCCTGTGCTGGCTGTCACATCTCCATGGCACCTGGACAGGCTGTCCTCCACGGGCATCAGCAGCTGAGGCACTCCAAGGGTCACATGTCCTGTGATTTTTTTTCCCCTGTGGTCAGAGTTTTAGTCTAGCAGGCTGTTGCGGGATCCTCCAAGAAACCTCACCTGGGGTGACCTCAGACTTGACTCGTGTGTGCCCGCCAGTGCAAGGTCAAGTTTGATCCGGCACCTGTACCAGCCAGCTCACAGAGCGGTAGGTGCGGCTGCCTGGTCAGTGTTGCGGCCCGGCCCAGCCCAGCCCAGCTCTGCACAGGCTTGATGTTCACAAATACCTCTGGGTGCCCCAGACTAGTGGAGCAAGCCCTAACGCGCACCAGGCCCGCCGGCCGCTGGCCTGTGCATGAGCATAGCCTGTTACATCCTGTTCCCAGTCTGGCTCTCGCTGCACATCTGTGGCTCTGCCCCCCAAACCCACACACGGCGAACGGCTGCTGTCTTGACTGGTCTGGCCTGCCCTTAGCCCTAGCTCGCATGCCCAGCAGCAGGAGCTGTAACCTAGCAGGAGTACCCACAGTTCCTCTACCCAGCCCCCTCCCAGCCCTGGATCTTACACCTGCCAGGAGGTTCTAGCCTAGCATGGCCTATACTCAGTCTTAGCACTTGCCAGCTGGTGCTGTGGCCTAGCCTGGCTGGCTGCACCCAGGCTGGCTCTGACTTGTGCCGTGAATATGGCAGCCTAGCCCCAGCCTGACCCACCCCCAGGCCCGGCTCACATGGCGGCTCGTAGGTGCTGTAGCCTCTCCTGGCTCAGCCCACCACAAGTCCCAGCTCTCACCTTGCCCAGTGGAAGCAATGGCCCAGCAGGGGCGTTCCCAAAGTTCCCCTGCCAGGCCTGTACCCAGCCCCCGGTCTTGTGCAGGCCAGCAGGTGCTGCGGCACAGTCTGACATGGCCCACCCTCAGTTTCAGCATTCTCTAACAGGTGCTGCAGCCTGGCACAGCCCGGCCTTCCCCCCTAGACCCAGCTTACATATATGCCCACAGATGCTCCAGCCCAGCCTCACGTGGCCTTTTCCCAGCCCCAGCTCTCCAGCAGCAACTTCAGCCTATCAGGGGAGTTCACCAAGTTCCCTGCCAGGTCCATTCCAGCAGTTCTGTGTGTATGTGGTTCTGTGTGCACGTAGATCTGTGTGTCGTAGCTCTGTGTGTGTAGCTGTGTGTGTAGCTCTGTGTGTAGGTGTGTGTAGCTCTGTGTGTAGCTGTGTGTGTAGCTCTGTGTGTGTAGCTCTGTGTGTGTAACTGTGTGTGTAGCTGTGTGTGTAGCTCTGTGTGTGTAGCTCTGTGTGTGTAGCTGTGTGTGTGTAGCTGTGTGTGTGTAGCTGTGTGTGTGTAGCTCTGTGTGTGTAGCTCTGTGTGTAGCTGTGTGTGTAGCTGTGTGTGTGTAGCTCTCTGTGTGTAGCTGTGTGTGTAGCTCTGTGTGTAGCTGTGTGTGTAGCTCTGTGTGTGTAGCTCTGTGTGTGTAGCTCTGTGTGTGTAGCTCTGTGTCGTAGCTCTGTGTGCACCTCGTCCGGCGTGCACGTGTATTATCCAGTTCTGTGTTCATACACACAGTGCACTGGGGGGAGGGGCAGCGTCCCAGTGACTGAGAAACTTGAATGTGGTTGTGAAGGTGCTGTGCGCCGCTGCGTTGCCAGGCCACGAACAGGAAAGACGGACCGGTGCCCCTAGGGATGCTGGTGCCTGTGAGCAGAGGAGCAGCCATTGCACCAGTTCCAAAATAAATTAATCTTTATATACATATATATGTTAAGATTTGTTTATTTTTTATTGCAAAGTCAGATATACAGAGAGGAAGATCTTCCATCTGATGATTCACTCCCCAAGTGACCACAATGGCTGGTGTTATGCTGATCCGAAGCCAGGAGCCAGGAACTTCCTCCAGGTCTCCCACATGGGTGCAGGGTCCCAAGGCTCTGGGCCATCCTTGACTGCTTTCCCAGGCCACAAGCAGGGAACTGGATGGAAAGTGGAGCCACCGGGACTAGAACTTCCTGTATGGTATCCTGGCGTGTTTAAGGCAAGAACTTTACCCGTTAGGCCACTGCGCTGGGCCTGCTCCACTTCTAATCTGCCGCTTGCTGATGTGCCTGGGAAAGCAGCAGAAGACGGCCCAAAGCCTTGGACCCTGCACCCACATGGGAGACCTGGAGGAAGCTCCTGCCTCCTGGCTTCGGATCACCTCAGCTCTGCTGTGGTGGCCATTTGGGAACTGAACCAGCAGATGGAAGATCCGTCTCTCCTCTCTTTGTAACTCTGCCTTTCAAATAAGAATGAATTAATGTTGAAAATAAGGAATTTTTGGAGAATCAAGACGGCGGAATAGGGTAAGGACACATTTAAACGGACGCAGAAACATTTAATCAGGATGAAGCAAAGAGGACACATTCCAGGAAATAGGAAAGGACAGAACAACAGCAGAGGGGCACCTGGAGACTGACAGACACAGGAAAGCAGCGAACATAACAGTGTGGTGTTGCAGTGACTGATACTCCAGCAGCATTCAGCAAGTGGTGATCTGAACTCCACCAGCAGCCGGAACTCATGGTGAAGGGAAGGGCCGTTCACTGGGAGTCTGGGAGGTGAGCCCAGACAAAGAACTGTCTGTCCTGCTAGTCCGTTTGATTTGACCAGGAGCAGAGACAGAGCAGCAGATCCCAGACAGGCAGTGCGAGAACAGAGTGGATTTCACAGCCCAGTCAGCCCCCTAGAGCCGAGTTGGGCGCCATTTTGCTTAAGGAGGCAAAGGCAAGGGAAAGGTCTGAGCATACGCTGGACTGGGAGTGAACTCATTTCTGACTCAGTGAACTCATCAATGTGGCATTCTACAGGTTCCACCCAAGGCAGGTCTGGGTAGCCCTCAGACCTGATGGCCAGCAGATCAAGAACTCTAGTAGCGGTACATCAGGCACCATTTTGGACACTGTGGCGAACACTTTAGGACTGCAGGGGACAACAATGAACTGCATATGTCCTGAGCTCACGAGGACTCAATGAGTTCAGTGCATTGCACTGGTTCCACAGGAAAATAATACCAACTGTGGCATTGTATGCGTCAAAATAGGTCCGTGTGACACCCAGACCTAACAGCCAACAAGTTCCAGCAAGATCAGCGCCACCAACAACCTAGCTATATAGTGTCTATATGGTGTCTCCTAATCCTGGGACCTGCTCCAACTGCAAGTGGGAGAAAGGTTGCAGAGACAATGGTGCAGCCTCAGCACGGTATCACAGGAGGTGGAGAGTGGTGAGCCAGGAGCTAGGGCTGTGGAGACCACAGTGGAAATCTGACATAAGAACCCAGACCTGGAACTCGCAGGAGGTTGTGGCACAAGTGGCCACAAGCAAAGAGCTGGGTACCAACTGCAATAAGTAAAATCAAACTGCAGACCTGTGGGTGACTCAGCTTAGAAACCTGCCCCAAGGAGAAGACTCTGCTAATCAGAAGTACAATGACCAAGAGCAAAAGAAGAGACAAAGGCACAATGAGTATTACTGAAGACTCCCCGGCAAAGGAACAAAACCCTACGCCAACCTCAGAGTGAACTGAGGAAGACATCAAGAAAAGGGGGGGCACTGAATTCAGAAAACTCATTATAAAGCTTCTGATCAACAATGAGAAGCACATACAAGAGTTCAAAGAATTTAAGGAATATTTTACACAAGGAATAGCAGCAATAAAGCAAATCAAGGCTGATCTATCAGAAATGAAGAACACAGTAGAGCAAATTAAAAGTACAGTGGAGAGTCTCCAAAATAGAATGAAGCAAGAAGAAAGAATCTCAGAATTGGAAGATATTTTCTGTCACCAGGAAGAAGCAAACAAAAAGCTGCAAGCAGAGCTGGATAAAACCAAAAAAAGTATTGAAGAATTGAAAGACACTATTAAGAGGCCAAATATAAGAATTATGGGAGGGCCCGGCGCGGTGGCGCAGTGGTTAAGGTCCTCTCCTTGCACGCCCGGGATCCCATATGGACGCCGGTTCTATCCCGGCAGCCCCATTTCCCTTCCAGCTCCCTGCCTGTGGCCCGGGAAAGCAGTCGAGGACGGCCCAAAGCTCTGGGATCCTGCACCCGCGTGGGAGACCCGGAAGAGGCTCCTGGCTTTGGATTGGCATAGCATTGGCTGTTGCGCTCACTTGGGGAGTGAATCATCGGATGGAAGATCTTCCTCTCTGTCTCTCCTCTCTGTATATCCGCCTTTCCAATAAACAAAATAATAAAAATAAATCTTTAAAAAAAAAAGAATTATGGGAATCTCAGAAGGTGCAGAAAGAGAAACTGGTTTTACAAATGTATTTAATGAAATAACAAAGGAAAATTCCCCTAATTGGGGGAAAGAATTAGGAAACAAGATCCAGGAGGGGCACAGAACTCCCAACAGGCCTGATCAAAAGCGATCTTCACCACGACACATGATCATCAAGCTCTCTTCAATCGAACACAAGGAAAAGATCCTTAAATGTGCACGTGAAAAAAAATCAGTTGACATATAAAGGAATGCCAATTAAACTCACAGGAGACCTCTCACAGGAAACTCTACAGGCCAGAAGAGAATGGAGTGATATATTCCAGATCCTAAGAGAAAAAAATGTCGGCCGAGATAACATATCCAGCAAAGCTTTCTTTTGTCTTTGAAAATGAAATAAAATTCTTCCACAGTAAAGAAAAGTTAAAAGAATTTGCCTCTTCCAAACCTGCCCTACAAATGATACTTGAAGATGTTCTCTTGACAGAGAAGAATAGCACCAAACAAAACCAAAGGCAAATGTGAAGAACATCCCAGTAAAATGACAACAGAAGGCTAAACCAATGAACAACCCATTCCTAAAATGACAGGACCAAAGTACCACCCATACATATTAACCCTGAATATAAATGGCTTAAGCTCAATCAAACGTCATAGATTAGTAGACTGGGTTAAAAAACAAACCCTATCTATTTGTTGTTTAGAAGAGACACATTTCACCAACAAAGATCAGTGGAAAATATATCGCATGGGTTTTGATGTTTTCTGTTAGTTTCATCTCTTCAAAAGAATTTCTTCTGATTAAATTCTTCAGTGACTCATAGATCACACAGTAGCATCATTTTCTTCAAGAAGGTTCTTGATTTTCATTTCTTCAGCTATACATTAGTAGCATGTTATATGGTATTGTTAATTTCTTTTTTCTTCCTGTTGTTGATTTTGTCCTGTGGCTTTTCATTTAAGGGGATGTATAGTAGCTGTGTAACAGAGACTGTCATATCTAGGTAACATGATATTTAACTTCATGGTATTTTTCTTCCTATTATTGATTTTGTACTGTGACTTTTCATTTAATGGGATGTACGGTAACTGTGAAATGGAGACTAACATATCCAGATGTGAGGATGCAATGCAGTATGCATCTCTACTTCCAGACAAAGATGGACTTACAAGGAAACTATTTACTATATTCTGACAATAGGATGCGGGACTCTCTGCCATTGTCCATGCCCGCAATGATGGACATATGACTGTGTACGAAGAACTATACTTTAGTAATGATATAGAGGAACTAGGTGGGGGGGAGGAATTGGAGAGGGGATAAAGGAAATCCCAGGAGCCTATGGAACTGTATCATAAAATGATAATGATAATAATAATGATATGTGAACAAAAAGAAAAAATATATCAACAGAAAAAGAAGAAAATAAGGAATTTTGAGATGAGCTGTTTGTCTCAGTGAATTTATAAAAGTAGTCAGATTCGGAGGAAGGCGCGGTGACCCTGACCGTGAACGCACTCTGCTTTGGGCGGCTGCGGCAGCTGCTCGGAGAGACGGAGCCGTGAGACGCTGCCTCTTGGAGGGAGACTGTACCCCCAGTGCTAGGACACAGGACAGGAGGCTCAGGAGACATGCGCTCTCGGCCGTTCAGGCTGCAAGGTGACAGCCCGGAGAGACCCCTGGTACATGGCCAGCAGAGGGAGAGGTGGGCAAGGCTGGAATTGGGGCTTCTAAAAAATTCTGTGTACAGGGTGGTATTTTTTTTTCAAGTCTTGTTGATTTAGAAAGTTACAGAAAGATCTTCCTTCTGCTGGTTCATTCCCCAAATGGCTGCACTGGCTGGGGGCTGGTCGAGGGTAGTGCAGGTGCACAAATCTCTGCCTGGGCCCCCCGTGCGGGTGCCAGGACCCCGATACCGCGGCCCTCTTCCGCTGCCATCCCCGGCCACGAGCAGGAGCAGCCAGGTCTTGAAGCGGCACTCGTGGTGCAGGAGGCGTCTCACCTGCTGTGCCGCTACCTCTCTTGTTTTATGTTTGTATGAAGGGCAGAGATCTTCCGTCCACCGGTTTGCTTCCCAGTTGGCCGCAATGGCCAGGGCTGGGTCCATCCTAAACCAGGAACTCCCTCTGAGCCCCCCACGTGGGGCCAGGTCCCACAGCTTTGAGCCGTCCTCCTCTGCTTCCCAGGCCACAGGCAGGGAGCTGGAGGGGACGTGGAGCAGCCGGGACCCGACCCGGCACCCACATGGGACTGCCAGTGTCACAGGTGGGAGCTTTGCCAAGGCCCGGGTGGGTAGCTTTCTGAGCGCCCCGGCTTCTCTGTCCGGCAGACATCTGCCTGAAGGAGGCGCCGTCGCTGGCCGACACCCTGTACAACATCCGGCTGCTGAGAGAGTTCTCCAACGAGCACCTCAACAGGTGCTTCTACCTCTCCCTGGAGGACATGGTGTACGCACCTGCCGTGCTCAAGGTAAGGCCCACGCGCCCCGTGCCCCACTCCCCCCACGCTCCCACGCGCCCCATGGCCCCACGTGCCACACACCACTCGCCCCACGCCCCCCACACGCCCCGCACACCCCCGTGCCACACGCCCCCACGTGCCCCGCACCCCACGCACCCCATGCCCCCCACGCACCAGTTGCCGCCCCACACGCCCCACACCCCGCGCGAGTGTTGGGGGAGCCGCTCATGGAGGCTGCTCCCCTGCAGCCCAACGTGATGGTGTTCATCGCTGAGCTCTTCTGGTGGTTCGAGAGCGTCAGGCCTGATTTTGTCCAGCCCAGGGACGTGCAGGAACTGAAGGGTGGTGAGTGACAGGCCGGCAGGCCTCCTGTTTGCCCTCACTGAGCAGGAGTGGGTTCACCCCTGGGTGCTGCTGCGGCTGATCAACTGCGGCTACTTGGGTGTCGTGTGTCTGGGTCTGTGGCGGGAAAGGGTCGGACTCTCGGGGGACAGTCATCCTTCCAGGCTGGTGGACGGTGACGTGAGGTGGCAGTCCATGCTGGGGCTCAGAGCAGCCTTGGGTCTCCATGCCCCCTCTTACCCCCCTTGCCTGCTGGCCCTTGGGGACCAGGACTCACAGATGCCAGAGTGCAACTTCCGGGCCACCCTGGGACGTGATGTGGCCAGTGGGACTCGTGGCCACAGCCTGCTGCGCCTCCCTTGTTTGGTGTCCCATCTGTTGGGTGGGACCTCCTGTAGCAGGTCAGAGCTGGCTGGCCGTCTAGCAGGAGGTGCCTTGGTCTTGTGGGGACGCTGGCCAGGAAGGGTGGCGTGCCGGCACGTGGCTGTTTACTTACTCTGGCCTCTGTAGTGACCTTGCCTGTCAGTCCCCACCGTGGCTCCCCGGCCGCCTGGTGTGTGCACCTGGGATGGCTGAGGGCAGTGTCTGTGTCCCCAAGCACGGGTCACCTACCTGTTGGGTGCTGGTACAGCTGGGGACAGGAGCCAAGTGCTGCTGTAGCCTCAGTGCCGGTGACTGATGGCAGGGGGTGGCGTGGGGGGCTTGGCTTAGCCCTGGGCCACACAGGCTCAGCTCCATGGTGCCATGTCTGTCTTCGTGGCACCATGTCTGGCCTTCGCCCAGTAGTGGACAGTTCTGGATGTGGCCATTAGGCATCCTGGGGCCAAGGCTCTCGACTCTAGCAGTGTCCTGTGCCCACCGGGGCCCTACTGGAAAGGTGGGTCCCTGTGGCTGCAGACTCCCGGGCTGTTCCTACTGGACATGCCACGTTGTCTAGCAGTAGCTGTGGCACTATAGCCTGCGCTTGCCCAGGAACCCCGGGTCCCCCAGAACCCCATCAAGAATCCCCTACTACTGAGGCCAGGGCAGCTCTCACATGCTGTGCGTCCTCCCGACCAGAGGGCGTCAAGCCTGCCACCTCCTCCCCGTCACGAGAGGTGCAGGTGGGGTGACCTGATAGGTCCCCTCCACTTCCCAGTGCACACCTAGCTGGGCGCTTGACCACGGTTCCTGCAGCAGACAGGGCCGCCACCTGCATGCTCCCCTAGCAGCGGACCTTGGAACTGTGGCCTGTGAGGATGACAAACTGGCATGAGGGCACTCGTGGCCAGAGATGGGGGCGCAGGTGCCTGATGCTGAAGAGGTGCCGATATAGGAAGTAGGAATGACAAGGACAGGTTGACTTTGGGGGAGCAGAATGACCCCCAGAGAAGCTTGTGAAGACAAGGTGTGGGTGTCCCCAGAGCTGCGGCATCTGTTGGGGGCAAATGTATTCTAGGCAGCATTTCTCAGGCCCTGCAAGTCCCGGTGTGGGTGTCGGTGGGGAGCTGTCTGCTGCGGCCATTGTGGGGGGCTGTCTGCTGCGGTCATTGTGGGGGGCTGTCTGCTGCGGTCATTGTGGGGGGCTGTCTGGAGCTTCCTGTGGCACAGCCTTGTCTTCCTCACTTGAGACTTCATGTGGCACCCGTGTTGGCTGTGTGGCTGCTGTTCCTGGAGGCAGTCGTGCTGGGCCCCCTCCTGAGATGCCGCTGGCCAGGCCCTGTGGGCACCCTGCAGCTGCACATCCTGGGTGCCCACAGGTCTGTGGCTGTCCTGCTTGCCCCGCCCTCCACTGCAGGCGGTTGTGCAGGGTGCCCATGTTGGCCTCGCCAGGCAAGGACCATCCTGTTAGTCCTGCTGGTCCCACCTTCTCCCTCACAATCCTGGCTGTGCTGTGCCAGGGCCGCTGCTCACTGGCTGCACCTGTAGCTGACAAGGCGGAGTCCCCTTAGCTCCTGGGATTTGCTGTCACAGTGGCTGGTCGCATGTCCTGTAAGGGTCCACCTGTGGGTGCCTCTGGCTGGACCGCCATCCAAGCAGCCCGGCTGGTGGGTCAGTGGTTGCTCCATCCCAGCCCTCGTTGGGAAAGAAGGGGCCTCTGCGCTGTCTGCCTTGCCCTGGGGCGCACAGAGGGTGCCGTGCACATGGGGGCTCAAGTTGAGCTGATGGCTCCTCTGTCCTGCCCCCATTGTGGGTCACGGGTTCCCACCGCAAGCGCTGTGCTTCCTCCTGGGACAGTGGGATCTGTCCAGCACTGTCAGAAAAGACAGCGTTCGGTCCCTTTCTGTGAGCTTGGCTCTCCCAAGCTCTGATATTGCAGGCCTGCACCCTCTGTTCCCTGTAGCGGCCTGGCCTGCCGGGTGCTGTGGGCGCAGTGGGTGCTGTGGGCACAGTGGGTGCTGTGGGTGCTGTGTGCACTCAGCTGTGGTTGTGACGCCCCACCCTTTGCCTTCTGCATCTCCGGGTTTTTCTGTGTCCTTGACCGTGATTTTTGCCATCTCATGTCTGCTGTGTTCGTTTTACCCCGCAGCATGGGGTCAGAGCCCCTAGCAGAGAGGCAGACTCAGGGAGTCCGAGAATCTGAGGGTCCCCAGACTCCCAAGGCCAGATCCGATGTGCTGCGTGCTTCCAGCCTAGCCTGGCCATGCAGCCTACCCGCAGCTGCTGCAAGAGAACGCAGCCTGTTGCCTTTAGCTGCCCCTCCTGTTCCTGCTGGAGCAGGCGGAGCTCAGGGCAACTCTGTGCAGTGTGTGCGCTGCTGTGTTCCTGCCCGCTGACCCTCATCCCATCGGGCTCCTCCTGCCAGTAGGAGGCTGGGCCACCACTGCACAGCCCACATCAAGCCTCTGGGGCATCACCCGCCTCAGGTCAGCTCTCAAGGTTCAGCCCGGAGCATCAGTACTGTGGCTGCAGGGAAGGACCACGTGGGACGGTGGGACATCCGAGTCCACGCGGGCCTCAAAGCAGCTGGGCCCAGACAAAGTCCTACTGGCCTTGCCTTTCTGCTGCCCGGCTTGGGTCTGGGCTTTTACTAGGAAGCAAGCAGCTTAACTGGCAGCGGACTGCCATGGGGTGATGGGTCAGACACTGATTGGCTGCAGAGTTGCCTGGCCAGAGCACAGCAGTTAGCTGCGTGCAGGCACCTGCACAGTTTGTCACTTGGGCTGTCTGTAGAAGCTGGTGTCCCAGAGCACCCTGGTGACAGCCGGAGGCTCAGAGGAGCCTCGCTCCCCGGGCGTCGAGTTCATGCGGTGCTGTCGCAGAGGGTGCCGCTACGCACCCGTGTCCACCTGTTACTCTTTTGCAGCTAAGACAGTGCACCAGCAGAAGAGCAGCCGGCCCCCGGTGCCCATCTCCAATGCCACCAAGCGCAGCTTCCTGGGCAGCCCTGCTGAGCAGCCGCCCGCCGCCCTGGCAGCCGAGGGCTGCCACCGCTGCCATCTGCACCCCGAAGAGGCCGAGTATCCGTGAGTCCAGTGGGCCGCGGGCGGAACTTCCCCACCTCGTTCCTGGGCTTTTGTGGAGTGTTTAAAATTGAGGGTGACTGGGACGGCGTGTCCTCCGGAGCCAGTGACCTGCAAGCAGTCCCTGAGCGGTTCTGGTCTGACTTGAGGATGAGGCTGTTCTCCACACTGTGTGACAGCGTTCAGGAGTGGTCTGGGGGACGCAAGGCTGAGCTTCATGGCACAGCCTCACAGGCAGCGTGCCTCCCGAGGGGTGTTCACTTGGAGTTTGCTTCGTCGTAAGGGTCAGCTCTCCAGAAACTGTCTTCCCACCATGAGGACCTCATGTGCAGCCAGCTTGGGAGGCGTTGGGGGAGGCCCAAGCTGGGCCAGCCGGAGCATGGCAGCCCAGCTCCCTCGCAGGCAGCGATTCTAAGGGAGACACTCAGATGTGGTGTTGGCGTTAGATTTGAAGATGAGAGAAGCATGGCCCCCTTGCAATGGTTCAATGGCTAAATCCTCACCTTGCACAGTGGGGTCCCATATGGGCGCTGGTTCCAGTCCCAGCTGCTCCACTTCCCATCCAGCTCCCTGCTTGTCACCTGGGAAAGCAGCTGAGGACAACCCAAAGCCTTGGGACCCTGCGTCCGCGTGGGAGACCCTGAAGAGACTCCTGACTCTGGCTTTGGATCGGCTCAGCTCTGGCGGTGCAGCCACTTGGGGAGTGAACCAGCGGGTGGAAGATTTGTCTCTCCTCCATAAATCTGATCTACTTTTCCAATAAAAATGAAAAAAAAATCTTTAAAGAAAGATGAAGGCAGTATACAAAAATGATTGTTTAAAGAATATTTATTTGAAAGGCGCAGTTACTAAGAAAAGGAGACACAGAACTCTTCCATCCACTGGTTCACTCCCTGGACGGCCATGATGGCCGAGGTTGACCCAGACCAAGGCGGGACCCGCGAAGCCCGTCCGGGTCTCCCACATGGTGTAGGGGCCAGGCTTGGACCATCTGCAGCTGCTTTCCCAGGTGTGTTAGCGGAAAGCGCTGGTGCACGTGGAGCATCCGGGACTCGAACCTGCTGTGCCAGGATGCCAGCCTCTCCAACGTGATTTCAAGGATCTGTGTGAAGGTGCGACTCCAGGAGAAGGGAAGATGATGAGCTAGTTGGCCAGCGGTGGCCCTGACACCTGTTGGGGGTCTGATGGGGGCTCGAGGCGAGGAGGAAGGAGGTGGTGCAAGGTCGTGGTTGTGAGGCTGAGCTGGGGAGGCGGCAGGTGTGGTGAGGGACTGAGGGCGTGGCTGGCTGTGGGGCCCATAAAGAGCGCAAGGCAGAGGTCAGGGGAGGCAGTGGCACGGGGCAGCGCAGGTGAGCAGGGAGTGGGCACGGGGGGCAGCGCAGGTGAGCAGGGAGTGGGCACAGGGGGCAGCGTGGGTGAGCAAGGAGTGGGCACGGGGGGCAGCGTGGGTGAGCAGGGAGTGGGCACAGGGGGCAGTGCAGGTGAGCAGGGAGTGGGCACGGGGCAGCGTGGGTGAGCAAGGAGTGGGCACGGGGGGCAGTGTGGGTCTCTGGTTGGGTCTCTGGTTGGGTTTTGGTCTCACTTAGCACGCCTACTATGTCTGTGTGTTCAGTTTGGATTTTAAGGAGAACTGACGGCGTGGACATGTCTCCGTGACCTGTACGCCGGTAGGCAGGCCATGTGGACTCCCACGCAGGGTCTGTGGCCGGAAGCTCCCACTGCACGCGTGCCGTGTGGTTTAGCTCCGGCTGTGGACAGCTGAGGGCAGGTACTCTGCTCGGACCCGCACTGCGGTCCCCGGCCCGGCCCTCAGAGGCATTTTGCTGGTTCTCTTCTTGGCTCGGGCCTCAGTCTGCCTCTGGGCCTGTGGTAGCAGGCCATCGTGTGGTGCCCGCCCCAGCCATGTTGTGCTCGGTCCCTTTGCCACGTCTTCCCCAAAGTGAGGTCCCCAGAGCTCTCCCGGGTGGTGTGCCTGGGTCATAGCTGAGCCGAGCTGTGCCAGTGGCGCTGTGGGCACTGGCCCCAGCAGTCCGGGGCTGGGAGCAGTGTGACCAGCTGGCAGCGTGTCCGGGCGTCGCTGCGGGCCTTCCGTGGGCCTCTTCCTGCCCCACTGATGGGTTGCGTCCTGCCCTCTCGTTGGGACTTTCACTCTTGTAGTTTGATGAAGCGGGGTCAGTTTTGTGGTTTTTTAAACAGAATTAGTGCAGAGGTAGAGTCCGCACGTCCTGGTTCCCTGGCCAGTGCCCAGAGGCCCCTGGCAGGGACGTGTCCCGATGCCCTCCACAGCCTCCCAGGCTCTGTGTGCTTGGGCAGCTGGGCTGCAGCAGGTCTGGGACTGGCGCCCAGGCACCCTGACACGGGACCCAGTGTCTGAAATAGCTCTGCCGGTGCCTGCCGGGTGCCTGCCCTGTCATCTGTGTTTCTGACGTTCCCCTCTCTCTTAAATTGTTTTTCAAGGTTGCGTTTTCTGCATGCGCTATGTTTCTTTTTACTTTGGCAGCCGTAGTTGTAGTTGAACTTTGCTGGCAGAACTTGAGCCTCGCAGCAGGTTGGGGCACCCCGGGCTCGCCTGGGCTGACACTTCTCCACTTTGTTTCTGTCTAGTGGGAGAGGACCCCCCGCCGGCCCGGCCCACCCCCTGCTACCACTGAGGCAGAGGCAGCAGAAGGCGGTGCAGGGACAGGACTCCCCGGGTGAGGACCACGCCCTGGCCGCCGGTCGGCCTCGCTCCTTGCGCACTCTCCACTCCTTCCCTGTGTAGTGATCGTAGCAAAGTCTGGCTTGTACGAGCTGGCAGGAATGGGCAGTGTGGCACGGAGGCAGTCTAGAACCCCCTGTGCCATCCACGCGAGAGCGTGCGGGTCCTGGTACTCGCCAGCACTTGGGTTTGGGGTCGGGTGCTGGTCTCTGCGTTACCCGCATGTCCGTCCCTACAGCACCCCGGAGCCTGGCCTGCTGGCTGCTCCCCCGGGGGTCCTGACGCCCGCAGTTCCAGTGTGTGGGGGAGTTGTGAAAGCGCTGCTTAACGCGGGCCTCTCCCCGTCCCCGCCTTCTGTAGATCAGCGACATCGCTCCAACTCCCTAACCCGTGTCGACGGCCAGCCGCGGGGCTCGGCGGTGGCGTGGCCGGAGAAGGCCAGGTGAGTCCTGGTCTCCTGCTGGAGGCTGGCACGTCCCCAGGCTGGTCACGGAGACCCTGCGGGCTGGCGCCAGGCTGCAGCTGCCTGAGGCCTGCTGTCCCAGCAGGGGAGCCAGACTCCGGACCTGCAGCAGGGGACACCCCTGTCCTCCCGCTTTGAGGAAGTAGATTCTTAAAGAGGCGTTAGATTCTTTTTGTTTGCTTTAACTTCAAAGGCCGAGCAATAGGGAGACAGAGGCCCTACACCCGCTGGTCACTCCCCCAGTTACCCACCAGTCAGGAGCTGGGCCCTCCTGGACCCGAGCACCTGGACCCACTCTCTCCCAGGCTGTGTTAGCAGGCAGTGGGATGGGAGCCAAGGCGGAACTCGGGGGCGGGCCCCAGCTGTGCCACCTGCGGTGGTGTGGTCCTTGGGGGCGCCAGCGTGGTAGGGATGAAGGGAGGTCCTCCGCTCCCCCGCCCTTTTCAAGGTGTGGGCCTTGCCCTCGCTCCCTCTGTGAGCTCACGCCCAGCGCGTGTCCCTGTGTTCCAGGCCTGTGTCCCAGCCCACACCGTCCACTCTCCCCCATGCTGCCAGCTGTGACGTGGACCCTGGTTCTGGCGACAGCGTCAGCTTGGCCCGCTCCATCAGCAAGGACAGCCTGGCATCCAGCATTGTCCACCTGACCCCACAGAACCGGCCTCAGGCCGCAGCTGCCAAGGCCAATGGCAAGAGCCTGCTGAACCACGTCAGCATCGATGACGAGGACGAGGAGCTCGTGGCCATCATTGGGACAGACGGGGCTCCCCGCCATGGGGACCCCGAAGGTCCCAGGGCCTCACCCCGGGCCCCAGGCCTGATGATGAGTGCCAGGTGCCCCCCACGGCAGGCAGAGGCCCCGGACACTCAGCCCGACAGCTTCTTCTTGGAACCCTTGACGCCGGCAGTGCTGAAGCCAGCAAAGGAGAAGCAGGTCGTCACCAAGGAGGATGAGCTTGGAGAAGGGAGGCCCAGGGGCAGCACGGCCAAGAGGGCCAGCGAGGGCCGCCAGGCGCCGGGGCGCAGGAGGCTGGTCGGCGCGCCTGGCGGCCATGACCTGAATAGGACATTCACCCCGATACCCTGCCCCGAATCTCCAGAGCCGAAGGGTGCGGGGGCCACGGGAGAGGCTGCCAGGGGGCCCCTGGCCCTCGGGCCGCTGGAGCTGACCTCTCGGGACCAGTCTGCCGGTGGCTTCTTCCTTCACGTAGGCAGGGCCGCTGAAGACTTGGGGGGCAGGATCCACGTCAGCCCCCGGAGCCCCGAGCCGTGGACCCCGCTGAGGCAGGGCTCCGACTCGGACGGCGGGGACACCGAGGACATGGAGCAGCTCTTCCTGGGCGAGGACCAGGCTGCGGCCGTGCTGCGGTACGCCGGCGAGGAGGAGTCCGCCAAGCTGCAGGAGGACATGAAGGTGAAGGAGCACGAAGACAAGGACGACGCGAGTGGCCGCTCCAGCCCGTGTCTGAGCACGGCCTCCCAGCTCAGCAGCGTGTCTGTGGCCAGCGGCAGCGTCAAGATGACCAGCTTCGCCGAGAGGAAGCTGCAGAGACTCAACAGCTGCGAGACCAAGTCGAGTACCAGCAGCTCCCAGAAGACCACGCCGGACGGGTCGGAGAGCTGCCCGCCCCCCCTGACCACCTGGAGGCAGAAGAGAGAGCAGAGCCCTGGGCGGCACGGCAAGGACGCCGCCAGCCTGCTGGCCTCCGAGCTGCTCCAGCTGCACATGCAGCTGGAGGAGAAGCGCCGGGCCATCGAGGCCCAGAAGAAGAAGGTGGAGGCCCTGTCGGCCAGGCAGCGCCTGCAGCTGGGCAAGGCCGCCTTCCTGCACGTGGTGAAGAAGGGCAGGGCCGACGGCGCCCCGCAGCCACCCACGCCGGGGCGCTGCGGGCGGGAGCTCTCGCCGCACAACGGGGGGGACCCGGACGCCGGCCCTGCCAAGGCAGAAGCCTTTCTGCTGAGGGAGAGGCTGAGCGAGGACCTCGTGGGCGAGACTCGAGACGTGGATGCGGCCAGCCTGGCCCTGCTGCAGTCCAGGCCCAGGGAGCCCGCCACGCTGCACGACATGGAGAGGACCAAGGCGCTGTCGGCCGCGCTCCTGGAGGACGGCCTGGGCGAGGTGGCGGACGTGGGCGAGTGTGAGCTGTCCATCGAGAAGCTGAACGAGACCATCAGCACGCTGCAGCAGGCCATTCTCAAGATCTCCCAGCAGCAGGAGCAGCTGCTGCTCACGGCCCCGGCTGTGCCCGTGCCCAGGAGCCACGCGCAGGACCAGAAGGCGAAGGCTTCCGTCCACTTCATCGAGCCACTCTCCCCGACTGCAGTGCCTGGGCACCGGAAGCCGCCTCGCCTCGGCCAGGGCCGGAGTTGCCGTGCAGGGAGGCCCGCGGAGCTGAAGGTCCCCAAGGACAGGCAGGGCTCCTCCCGCAGTAAGACCCCCACCCCCAGCGCCGAGAGCCTCCCGCACCTGCGCCCTTTCCCCGCAAACAGCCACCCGCGAACGCCCTGTGACCCCGACAGTGCTGCGGACTCGGGGGGCGACCCCCCAGAGAAGAGTCTGCTGGACAGCTATAGGCTTCATGACGAGAGCAACCAGCGGGCCTTGGCCGTGCCCCCCACCAAGGACCCCAACATCCTCGCGGAGCAGCTGGGCACCAGGGAGACAGGGCCGGGTTCCTCGGACCTCCCTGCCAAGGAGGCCGTGCCCCCCGACGAGCCGCTGAGGGGCAAAGCCAGCCTCATCGAGGTGGACCTCTCGGAGCTGAAGGCCCCCGAGGAGGACAGCGGCGAGGCGGAGCATGAGCAGGCCCTGGAGCTCCCCGGCGAGGGCGACCAGAAGCCTGGCGTTGGCTTCTTCTTCAAGGTGAGAGCGTGGCGGCCCTGCTCTGGGGGCAGGGAGGCAGTGGCTGGCACCTTCCCCGGAGCCAGTCCTGTGAGGGGTGGGCATCAGCATGGCTGGGGGTACGGGCCACACGGGCGCCGTGGGCCAGGCAGCTGGTGGCTTTTCCCCCGCCCGAGGACACAGGCCACGGCAGCGGTGGCACATTGAAGGCGGGCCGTTCCGGGTGCCCCCTTGCTGCCATGGCTCCCAGGGAGAGCCTCCGTTCTGTGTGGGTGTGCTGCCTCTGTGCTGTGCGTTATGAGAGCAGGGCTAGACACGGCACGGTGGGACAGGCCGGTGCGTGCCACTGAGCTCACGGCAGCATGGCAGGAACCGACTGCCGTGCCAACCCAGGGCAGACTTCAGGGCGAGCTGGGCGCTGGGTGCCCGTGAAGGGCCTGGCACCTGGTGAGGGGCTGGCCGTGTGAAGGGCCTGGGCACCCTGGTGACGGGGCTGGCCGTGTGGTGTCGGTTGCAGGATGAACAGAAGGCCGAGGACGAGCTGGCCAAGAAGCGGGCCGCCTTCCTCCTGAAGCAGCAGCGCAAGGCCGAGGAGGCTCGCGTGCGCAAGCAGCAGCTCGAGGCCCAGGTGGAGCTGAGGCGGGACGAGGCCCGGTGAGCCTGTCGCTCCAGACTCGGGAACAACGGCCAGGCGGGTGGGCCTGGCCAGTGCTTCCTAGAGGGGTCGGAACCAGCAGGGCCCTCTGAGGGTCGGCTCCATAGTCATTCCTGCAGCCCTCCTCAACTCAGGCAGCCCGCTGTCACACCAAGGCCTCCACTCCATCTCCCATGAGCGCGGAGCCCGGCGCTCGGCTCCCCCTGGGCTCCCCATGAGCTGCCGGCTCCAGGCCTCGCCCCTTGAGCCCGCGGCCTCGGTGCAGGCAGAGCCCGCCGAGCCTCCAGTCATGGCACGTGTCCCTGTAGGCGTAAAGCTGAGGAAGACCGCGTGCGGAAGGAGGAGGAGAAGGCCCGGCGCGAGCTCATCAAGCAGGAGTACCTGCGGAGGAAGCAGCAGCAGATTCTAGAAGAGCAGGGGCTGGGCAAGCCCAAGACGAAGGCCAAAAGGCCGCGGCCCAAGTCGGTGCACCGGGAGGAGTCGTGCAGCGACTCCGGGACCAAGTGCTCCTCCACCCGTGAGCAGCCGGGGCCCTGCCGTGCAGGCTGGGAGCGGGGAGTCTGCCCAGCCCGGTGGGTGTTTGGGGGCGGCCGTCTCCCACAGCAGCCTCTGTCTCTTGTCTCTGACAGCTGACAACCTGAGCCGGGCCCAGTCGGGCTCCAACCTGTCCTTGGCCTCGGCGGCGACCACGGAGCCCGAGAGCGTCCACTCGGGGGGCACCCCGTCTCAGCGGTAAGGCTGCCGCCAGGAGCTCCGGCTCTGTGCTCGGCTCGGTCCTGAGAGGGACGGGGCGTTTGCTTGCAGCCCTTTCCCAGTGCGCCTTCCTCGGCCACCTGAGGCCAGTGGGGCCGGCTGGGCCTCACCTGCTCCGTGTTTCTGGGAGCAGCCCCGCCCCGCCACCTCCTGCCATGCGCCCTGGTACTCCCTAGGCTGCACAGCCAGTGCCTTGGGCAGGCTCCAAGTCTCTCTCAAGTGCTTGGCTGAGCAGCTGGCATCCCTCTGCTGGGCTTGGCAGGGTCTGCCGGGGGCGCTGCAGGCCGGGTGGGCAGTGAGGCGCTGCGCCCCACAGTCTCCTGGTTCCTTATGTCGGGGACCCTTGGCTCTCTGGATGTGGGCTGCCTGTCCCTGGTGTGGGCATGGAGGAGTCATGCCCTGGGCTAGGCCTCCGTCCTCTTGTGCCACAGAGTGGAGTCCCTGGAAGCCTTGCCCATCCTGAGCCGCAACCCGAGCCGCAGCACTGACCGAGACTGGGAAACAGCGTCGGCCGCATCCTCCCTGGCCTCGGTGGCCGAGTACACAGGTGAGCTCGCTGCTCCCGGGCTGCTGCGTGGGCAGCTGCGGCCTCCAAGAGTCTGGTCTTTGTTTTGACCTACAAGACATTTTTGTCTAAGAAGGTTTTGGTCCGTGCCAGAGAGGGTGGCCTTGGGCTGGTGGGTGGGGAGGGTGGGTGTCCTGGGTGCTGAGGAAGCAGGCTCCCAGCTCCACCCTCCAGCCCCTGCACCGAGTAGGGCCCCAGCAGCTGGCTCAGGTGGGACTCAGGGCAGGAGGACTTCTGCACACTTGGGAACCAGAGGCTTTGGAAAATTAGGGATGCCCCTTGGGTTTGTGATCGAGAAAACAGGTGCCCCTGATTGTTTTGTTTCCGTGAGAGGGCTTGTATCCACTGGTTCGCTCTCCCAAGGCAGCATGGCCAGGGCTGAGCTGGGAACAAAGCCAGAGGCCAGGCGCCCGGTGCAGGAGTCCGCGTGGACGGCGGGGCCTGGCCATGGGACCCAGCACTGCTGAGTTTCATGGCTGCCTGGGTGGGAGCTGGGGCAGGGGCAACAGGACTTCCAGCCAGGCACTCGATGTGGGCGTGGGCATGCGTGCCATTGGTGGCACCGGGCCCGGCTGTCACACTGTCAAGGGGCACAGTCATAGGGGCTCCTCTCTCCCTAAGATGTATAGTTTGGGTATGGCTTGTCTGATTTCCAGAACCTCTTTCAGTATCTGACTGGTCCACGGAGTCCTCTGGTGTCTCTGTGGTGTGTTGGGGTTCTGGATCCTGACCTGCCCTCGTGTGTCCCCCCCAGGCCCCAAGCTCTTCAAGGAGCCAAGCAGCAAGTCCAACAAGACCATCATTCACAACGCTGTCTCCCACTGCTGCCTGGCGGGCAAGGTCAACGAGCCACACAAGGACTCGGTGTTGCAGGTAAGTGCCAGCCGGCTGAGTGCTCCCTCAGCCTGCATGCTCCCTTAGCCTGCAGTGTGCTCCCTCGGCCGGCAGTGCTCCCTCAGCCTGCATGCTCCCTCAGCCTGCAGTGTGCTCCCTCGGCCGGCAGTGCTCCCTCAGCCTGCATGCTCCCTCAGCCTGCAGTGTGCTCCCTCGGCCGGCAGTGCTCCCTCAGCCGGCTGTGCACCCTTGGCCGGCTGTGCTTCCTCGGCCGGCTGTGCTCCCTCGGCCGGCAGTGCTCCCTCGGCCTGCAGTGTGCTCCCTCGGCCGGCTGAGTGCTCCCTCGGCCGGCAGTGCTCCCTCGGCCTGCAGTGTGCTCCCTCGGCCGGCTGAGTGCTCCCTCGGCCGGCAGTGCTCCCTCGGCCTGCAGTGTGCTCCCTCGGCCAGCTGAGTGCTCCCTCGGCCGGCTGTGCTCCCTCGGCCGGCTGTGCTCCCTCGGCCGGCTGTGCTCCCTCAGGCGGCAGTGCTCCCTCGGCCGGCTGTGCTCCCTCAGGCGGCAGTGCTCCCTCGGCCGGCAGTGCTCCCTCAGGCGGCAGTGCTCCCTCGGCCTGCATGCTCCCTCGGCCGGCTGTGCTCCCTCAGCCGGTGCTTGCCGTGGGCCTGGTGCTCTTTGAAGGGCCTCTGTGTTTACCTAGAAGAGTGACAGTGACATGCCTTGCAGACGTGGCTCACTGCGCGGGGCTTCACCAGGTGGGGCCGTGGCAAGGTGAAACTGGCAGCCTGCATGTCCATGCATGGTCCTCCGCTCCCCCCAGGGTGTTAGCAGGTCGCCGCTCTGACCGCAGTGGGCGCCTGGCTGGCCCTGGGGGGTGGGTGCTGGGCTCACCGCCTGTGCCTTCACCACCTGCCAGGATGCCAGCCCCACTCAGACTCTTAAATCACTTTGCGGCAGGGTAGCCACTGGCCCTTCCCCAGGGCCCACAGGCAGTGCAGGGCCTCGCTCTGCATCCTGGAGCTCCTGGGTGCTGTGGCAGGAATGCCACTCAGAGCACATGGTGCAGGGCACAGCAGGGCCTCCAGGCCGCGTGGGCAAGTCGCAGGGGGCTGGGGTCCCTGGAGGTGACCTAGGAGGGGCGAGGGCAGCCGAGCGGAGGAAAGGCTGGCCTGGCACTTGGGGTGGCAACAGGAGCCTTGTCTCAGAGTAACCCAGGACGAGGTGGGGCAGTGTGCGCGGGGCCTAGATGCAGCCTTCACGTGCTGCTGACGGCCGGGAGGGCCCCTCGTTCATTTGGGCTAGGTGCCCTTTGGTTTGGTGGCAGACAGAGGTGACAGGCACGCTGGGTGAGGTGGCCGCTGGCGAGCCAGGCAGCCTCTGCACGGTGTCCACAGGCCACAGTGTGTGCAGGGACCCGGGGTCCCTTGCGCTCTGGTACTGTCTCCTGTGGCTGGCGAGCGGGGTCAGCAGTTGGCACATGGCCCCCGTCCCCTCGGAGCTCAGCCGGCTGCCCGCTGCCCCAACCCCGTGCAGGAGCTGGAGAAGTGCGACGCCAACCACTACATCATCCTCTTCCGGGACGCCGGCTGCCAGTTCCGGGCCCTGTACTGCTACTACCCCGACACCGAGGAGATCCAGAAGCTCACGGGCACGGGCCCCAAGAGCATCACCAAGAAGATGATTGACAAGCTGTACAAGTACAGCTCGGACCGCAAACAGTTTAACTTGATTCCGGCCAAAACCATGTCTGTCAGTGTGGACGCGCTCACCATCCACAGCCACCTGTGGCAGCCGAGGCGGCCGGCGGCGCCCAAGAAGGGCCAGAGCCGCAAGTGACGCACGGCCACCCCGCGTCCATCACTGTCAGCCCTTTGGGTACGAGTGCAGAGTCGGTCCTTTCCCCAGAGATTCTGGACAGCGAGAGGAGCGTGGCCCCAGGCTCCCGCACGGCAGCCATGCGGGCAGGGGCGAGGGGCGTCCAGAGGGCTAGCCAGGTGGACCCCTCCGCAGCCCCTGTGCACGTGGCCTGATGCCCCAGGGCTGGCCAGCCGCGACCTCGGCGCACGCAGGGCGAGACCCGGTCTCGGCTCAGGGGGCGTGCGTGCCTAGCGGGGGCGTTCCCGGTGGGACGCTGTCCGTTACAGAGTTCTACTGCCAACATTTCTATCCGGTTCTAAGGTTTTGAAGAATCTTGTCGTTCTTGCTGCTTCGAGAAAGTTTACTGAGAAACCAAGTTTACGGAAGCACTGGCCCTGCAGCCCGCCACGCTCGGGCAGTTACAGGTACAGGAGGCTGCGTGACGGTACGCGGGCTGGCGACGGCCAGCTGCAGTCGGTACTGCTCTGAGGGTGAGCCCTTCAATACAGGGCCGGGCGCTGGCTAGGGCTCGGCCTGAGCCCGTGTGACGGACCGAGCTGTGCGGGCGCCAGCATCTGCTCCGGGAGAGGCCGCTTCCCTAGCTCTGCTGCGGCTGGGGTCTCGTCGGGGGGACGTCCCTGCGTCCCCTCGTCCCACGCGGCTGCACGTGGCAGGTGTGGCGGCCGGCAGCCTGAGATGCAGTTTGCTGGCGTGGTTTTGCACATACGTTTGGGAGTGTTACTTGAATCCGGCCTGCGGACACCATCAGCGGGGCGAGATGAGGACGTGGGAGCACTAACCGAGGGCGTGTGTGTGAGGCGGGGCTCGCACGGCTGCCGAGCCTGCCTGGTGCTTCCCGTGCCAGCTCCACGGGCGCCGGGGTGGGCGTCCCAGGTGGGCCCCGCGCCCACGCTTCCCTGTGTGCTTGTGTCACGCTGTTGGACAGTATATGACCGTATTTATTGTAAGAAAGCACTACAGTGTAATAAAGGAATGAGCCAACCTGCTTCCTGTCTGTATGGCGGCGTCCAACACGCTCTGCTGCTTGCGCCCTGCACGCCTGGTGCTGAGGGGCCGTCCGTGCCACCTGCAACCCTGGGCGAGCCTGGCTTCCCTCCAGCTGAGTCCCTGGCCCCGGCCCAGGGAGGCGGCTCCGAGGCCTTTGGTGATGCCTCCTGCCCCACAGCGGACAGCCTCCCGGGCCCTCGTGGCATTTGCCGGTGGTGCCATGGGTACCTGCATTGGTCAGGCCATGGGTGGGCTCCCTGGTCACCCATTTCTGAGGCTGGGCACCCTGCTGCCACTGAGCCCTCCGTAGTGTCGCCCAGGGACCCGGGGTCTGACGAGCTCATGTGTGAAGCTCTGTGCCTACGGGAGGCTGGTGCTGCAGGAATCCCACCCTGCACACATCCTTACAGCATGTGGGCATTTGTGCCAGGCTGTGCCCAGTGCCCCGTGACTGCCAGGAGCTCCCCTCCGGGGGGCAACCTTGGGAGAGACACGTGCAGTTAGTTCAAGGTCACATGTTTGTGCCCCGGAGCTGCCATGACTTGGACGGTAGAGTTCTTCCCGAACTCCTGGCTGGCCCTCACAGATGGCTGACGTGTCTGTCGGTGGGACCTGGCCTTCTCAAGGTCACCTGCTGGCACTGGACACGAAGCCAGATGATGTTGGCTCTCAGCTGGCATTCCTTTGCAGGGAGCGCAGGGGTGCCAGTGGGTGCCGCTCACGGTCAGTTGGGACAGGAAGCCGAGTCAGGACCCCATGCAGGTGTTCTGAGACGCTGTGGGCCCGGGGGCACCCCAACTGCTGTGCCAAGCGCCAGGGGCCGGCTGGGGCCGTGGTTCTGGACCCCTCCCCGCAGGCCGGGCATGGCCGGGCTGCTTCCCTGGGGTCACTCTTGGCTGACCTGTTTGCTGAGGAGCTGGGGGCTTGTTCTGGGGGCTGCATTTGTCATCCACATGGGGGAGTGAGCGCCCTGGCTGCTGCAGCCAGCTGGGCAGTAGCCAGCACATGGGGGGTTTCTCTCTCGCTTTCCAAATAAAAAGGAAATAAATTTCTAAAACCACAAAACTGTAAGCTCTGCGTGGCCAGGCCAGCCTTGTCACTGATTGTCAGGGTCAAACCTGTGTGCAGTAAACAGGCGGGTTGCCTCTGGCGTACCGCAGACCCCGTATGTCCTGTGGGGGGCCCACGTGCTCACGCGCGCCTTGTGTGGAGCGAGTCCCTGCCCTGTGTGTTGCCCACTTGGCACTGCAGGGGGATGTGGCTGGAAGCCACCTCACCCTTGGCTACAGGGCCCCCTGCCCCGCCACAGACACGCACACTCTGCCACCAACACCGCCAGGGCGTGATGGGACGAGCCTGCCGGGAGGCACCATGGCACTGCCAACGTGACCGCAGCAAGACTGGGCTGCTGTGGGTACGATGCCTGGCCCTGCGGAGGGCGCGTCTGCCAGCAACCTCCCAAGGACTGAGTGATGGCCCGGGCTGGGGACACCCCCTCGGGCAACTCATGGGAAGTAGCCTGGACCAACTGGCGGCTTGGTGTGCCCCAAGCCTGTGGTGTCTTCTAGAACGTTCGTCACCTGTGCCTGAGGCTCCGTGGACACTGCATCTCCTGGACTGAGGGCCCAGTGAGAACATTCCAGCTTCCTGTGGTAAGCTTTTTAACACACACGCCACTTGTGCGCTGTGGGCCTCGTCACGGCCCAGGAGTGGCCAGCACGTCAGCGGAGGCCCAGGTGCTGCTGCCCACAGCAGGCCTGACGAGCGCAGGGTGGCCCAGCCTCGCGTGAGATGCGCACGGTCCAGAGCCCGCTGCACGTGGGCAGCCGCGTGTGGGAAGTGGCCAGCTGTTCAGCCTCGCAGCACAGTGAGGCCTCCAGTGCCGCCTCCGGGCCTGCATCCCAGGTGGGCGTTGGTGGCAAGCCGACAGGCAGAGGTGCTGTGGGTGGGGCAGCTGAATTCACAGTGGGCGTTGTGGCACTGCCTACTGACCTTCGAAAGACACACTGGGCCTGTGTGCTTTTCCTCTGGGGCCTTGGGCAGGAGGGTCACCGGGTTGCTGTGGACTCCGAGAGCGGGGCTGCTGCGGGCATCACAGGGCCACCAGAGCCAGGCCTTCGATGATGTCTGCAGGCTGGGGCCCGGTGCCCAAAGAGCCGCCCCATGCAGGGCCTGAAAGGCAGAGTTACAGGGAGAGACACAGCTTCCATCTGCTCAGTCACTTGCCAAAGTGGTCACCAGAGCCAGAGCTGGGCTGGGCTGTGCCAGGAGCTCCACGTGCTCCCATGCGTGGGCTCTGTCCTCCACCAGGTGCTCCATGTGCTCCCACACGCGGGCTCTGTGCTCCACGTGCTCCCACGCGTGGGCTCTGTGCTCCACGTGCTCCCACGCGCGGGCTCTGTCCTCCACCAGGTGCTCCACGTGCTCCCACACGCGGGCTCTGTGCTCCACCAGGTGCTCCACGTGCTCCCACACGCGGGCTCTGTGCTCCACGTGCTCCCACGCGTGGGCTCTGTCCTCCACCAGGTGCTCCACGTGCTCCCACACGCGGGCTCTGTGCTCCACGTGCTCCCACACGCGGGCTCTGTGCTCCACCAGGTGCTCCACGTGCTCCCACACGCGGGCTCTGTGCTCCACCAGGTGCTCCACGTGCTCCCACGCACGGGCTCTGTGCTCCACCAGGTGCTCCACATGCTCCCACGCACGGGCTCTGTGCTCCACGTGCTCCCACGCACGGGCTATGTGCTCCACGTGCTCCCGCGCATGGGCTCTGTCCTCCAGGCACATTGGTAGGGAGATGGATAGGGAGAGGAGCAGCCAGGCCTTGAACCAGCGCCACAGGTGGAGGTGACCTCAGCTGATGGACGGCCTCCATGTGGCCGCTGTGCCCCCTCGCACAGGGACCTCGGTCATACCAGATGGGAGGTCATCCAGTAAGCTCGTGGCCTGGCCACACATGCCGCCCTGTGGAGCGCCAGCTGGGATCGGGCACTGGCACCCACAGCCCTAGGCAGCATTGCTGTTCCCGCACGTGGGGGGCTGGCTGGTCTGGGAGAACTTAGCCCCGTGGTCCCTCCACTGCTGCTGCCACCTGCCACAGGCCGCTGTCGGCTCTTCTCAAAGCCACAGTGGGAAGGAAGACAGGGGCCCATGTGCAAGTCCCAGGAGAGGAGCACAGCCCGCGTGGGAGCCCTGGGCAGGGGGCGCGGCCTGCGTGGGAGCCACGGGGGGCAGGGGTAGGACCCCCATGAGAGCCCTGGGCACGGAGTATGAAATCCAGGCCAGAGCCAGCTGGCCAGGAACAGGTCCAGCCTTCCGTCCTCGCCCCCCAGCCCCAGGTGGAGGGCTGGTGAAGTCCAACTTGGGCCTACTGCCACCCCAGCTCATTCCCCTGGCCCTTCGAGAGGAAGTGGAGCTGTAGGGACGCATACAAGATTCCAGGTGCCACAGGCTGCCTTTATTAGGTTAGTGACAGACTTCCATGGCAAACTGGCAGCCACCTTTGCCCGCCTAGGAAGCAGGGCATCCATGGGGCCACTTCAGCCTGGGTGAGTGCCGGGCACCGCAGTGTCCCCAGGGTCAGGGTGCTAAAAGGGCCATAGAGTGCCTGTGTCCCTCTTACGTGTCCAGTGCTAGACAGGAAGTGGCTGCTAAGGCCCTGGCTGGCAGGAGCTCCGGAAGTCGGTTTGCAGCCCGGATCCTCCCCGATGGTGGTGCCTTCCCCAAAGGCCTGGACACCTAGGGTGGCACCTCCCCTTCCCACTGCTCCCGACTGTGTGGTCACCACCAGGTAACAGACCCGGTCCCTCCTGCTGCAGGATGGGGACTGAGGGGTCACTGTGGGACCCAGGACCCTCATTGGGGCCCCGAGTCTGTGCTGTTCCTTTCTGGGGACCTGCGAGGTTTGGGTCCTGGGCTTTTGGGCACTTTGTGGGCAGGGAAGTTACAGTCAGGCCAGGAGCTGGGTGTGTGGCAGGGCTGGGCGCAGGGCCCCACACAGGGTTCCATGTGCCCAGCTGTAGGAGGGACTGCCCCAGAGCTTCAGCCCCTGACACACTGGTCTCCAGCGATGCTTGCATGCGGATACGGGCTCTGCTCACTGCAGGGACGAGGCTGGTGTGTGCCCAGACCCGGACAGTGATAGGGCTGTCGAGGCCACGTGGGCACCTTCCCAAGCTGGGGGGCACTCCTGCAGGGTACGCCCTGGAACAGAAGCTGGAGTGGAATTGTGCTTGGCAGATGGGATGAGGCTGCAGGAGGGCCCTGGGGTGCCAGGCCTGGCGCTGGGCAAGTTCAAGGAGGGGACTGCCCCTCTTCCCACGAAGGGCTTCCGGGACCCTCCGCTGCTGAGCCTTCTGGGCGCTCAGGATGCAGGCTGAGGAACCCCAGCTCATCCCTCGGTTCTGGGAGGCTCAGCCAGGAGCTGTGGGGGACGCACGGCTTGGCGTGCGACACCCCAGCCCCTCAGCACAGCCTGGGCTCGGCCACTCAGGGCCACTCAGGGCCACCAGGGCTCAGCCAGGCGCCAACGTGAGGTGTGGTGTCTGCCGACGCGGAAAGAGGCCAGAGAAGGGCTCCTGCAGGCGTCTCGGGTGTGCGTGACAGCACCCGCTGGCCGGGCTGCTCACAGCTGCGTCTCATCACGTGTCTCGGGGTTGCAGGACAGCTTGTGGCTCGGGGAGCTGCCAGCCACATGGGCCAGGGGGTCTGAGCGGATGAGGTACCTGTAGGAGACACGCGTGAGGCCGGGGATGTGCGGCCAGGGCAGCCTCGCTTTGGCGTCCGTAGGGCTGCTGCATCCCGAGGCGTGGCTGGGGGCTGGGGGGACCCGGGGCTGGGGAATAGGGGGACAGGGGGCTGCGGGACAGCGGGCCGGGGGACAGATGGAACTCACACGATGTCGTTGGGTTTCAGCGTCGTGTCAGGCGGGGGGTTGATGAGCACATAGGACAGGGTGTTCTGCTGGTCACTGATCTCATCTACAAAGGACACAGCTGGGCAGAGGGCGGGGCCCCGTGCTCAGAGGGCTGGGCCTCGTGCTCAGAGGGCGGGGTCCCGTGCTCAGAGGGCGGGGCCTCGTGCTCAGAGGGCGGGGCCCCGTGCTCAGAGGGCGGGGCCTCGTGCTCAGAGGGCGGGGCCTTGTGCTCAGAGGGCGGGGCCCGGTGCTCAGAGGGCGGGGCCCCCGTGCTCAGAGGGCGGGGCCTCGTGCTCAGAGGGCGGGGCCCCTGCTCAGAGGGCGGGGCCTCGTGCTCAGAGGGCGGGGCCCTGTGCTCAGAGGGCGGGGCCCGGTGCTCAGAGGGCGGGGCCCCGTGCTCAGAGGGCGGGGCCCCTGCTCAGAGGGCAGGGCCCCGTGCTCAAAGGGCAGGGCCCAGGCCTTGCCTGCCTTTCTGGCTGTTCTACCCAGCCCCGGCTGTTCAGTGGCAGGGGCAGCTCGCCCTGAGGGGAAGCCATGAAGCCATGCCGGGGTCCCAAGTCCTGCCTGGGCCAGCATGCTCAGCCTCAACAGCCAGAAAGGGTGGCAATTCACTGCTGGAGGCCCCAAACAGAGGTGCCAAATGCACCTGCCCACACCCCCACCTGCTCACACACACCTGTGCACACCACCACCTGCTCACACACCTGTCCACACCACCACCTGCTCACACACCTGTGCACACCACCACCTGCTCACACACCTGTCCACACCACCACCTGCTCACACACACCTGTCCACACCACCACCTGCTCACACACACCTGTGCACACCACCACCTGCTCACACACACCTGTCCACACCACCACCTGCTCACACACACCTGTGCACACCACCACCTGAACATACACACCTGTGCACACCACCACCTGCCCACACCACCACCTGTCCACACCACCACCTGCTCACACACACCTGTGCACACCACCACCTGCTCACACACACCTGTGCACACCACCACCTGCTCACACACACCTGTGCACACCACCACCTGAACATACACACCTGTGCACACCACCACCTGCCCACACCACCACCTGCTCACACACCTTGGTAGGCGATGCCATGCTGGCCACGGCTGCTGCTCCCACACCCAGGGACAGTCATTTCTGTAACCCACCCCCACCTATGCCTGCACAGCCAGTACAGCTGGACCCAGCCACACACCCATACCTGCCCCATCACCCCTCAGAGCCCAGCAGTGCAGATTATGGTCAATGGCAGTCCCACGGCCATAGGAAAGGACAGGATCCTCCAAGAAGCCCAGTGCCTTGAACACAGCACACTGTCCAGAGGGGTTGCCAGGCTGGGCGGCCCTGGCCAGGGGTGAGGGGTGCTGGTGTGGCATTCCTGGCCTCAAGCACAGCCCTGAGGGAGCCACTGGAGCCTCAGAGCAGGGGCTTCCCACCCTCAGCCCCGGGCCAGCACCCTGGGATCCCTGCTCCTGAGACCACAGCCAGTGAGGATGCTGGTCCTGTGCCCGCAGCCCGGTCCCTTCCCTCCTGGCCTGTGCGGGTGGAGGCTAGAGCAGCAGCAGCCACTGCAGGACGAGGCCGGCTGGGTCGGGCACGGCATTAATTCCAGGACCCAGGAAGGACAGCAAGGCCTGGCCGGCCCAGGTCAAGGCCAAGTGTCCACCCGCCAGTAGGTGTACTAGGGCTGCAGTGGGAGACAGGGCTGGCTTTAGATGTGCTCAAGAGGGACTGGTCTGGGGTGGGTCACCCTGATCCTGCGTCCCAGCCCCACTGCTGCACCAGGACTTGGGGTGGCCGCCATGCCTCCCTCCCAGGGCACACTGCGGAAGGTGAGGGAAGCTGGCATGCCAGCCTGTCTGCTCACTGGAGGTGCCGCAGGTGCACAGGTGGGACCCAGTAAGTGCCCGGGGCAGCCTGAGCTCACGTGCTCGCCTGTCAGGGAACTGCCACAGAAGCAGATGTGGCCAGGCAGAGGGGGGGTGACACCGCCAGTGCCCGCCAGTGCCCACCTGTCCCTTCTCCCTTGAAGCGCTGCAGGTTGCAGGGTAAGAAAGCGCAAGGACCTGGTGCCATGTCGCCTGTGGCCACCTAGGCCTGGGTCTGCCTTAACAAGGAGGCCCCAGCCAGCCAATGCCCACCGGGCCCAGGGCCCCCAAGCTAGCTCCTAGCCTCCTGTGTGGAGGCTGGCAGGACAAGGTCCCAACTGTGGAAGCCCACAGCTCAGACCCTCCCTGGGCTCCAACTGGGGCCCTGGCATGGGGCGGGGTGTGTGTGGACTTGGGTCACCCTGGAGGTGAGGGGAAGTGGGTGTGGGCACGCCCCATCTCAGTTGTAACTCCTTGGGACTCTGAGCCCAGCAGCCCCCAGCACTCCAGCAGAACCCAGGAGCCTGGGTCACTTCTCACGGCTGAGGGCCCTACTGCTTGGAGAGCAAAACAGGGCAAGGGTGCCTGGGACGGAGCCAGAACCCAGTGGGGCCCCCACTCAGGGTGGCCACAGCCTAAGATGGAGGAAAGGTGCAAGGGGCCAGCCCAGAGCCAGCTGGGAACACAGGGCGAGTTCGGGGGCATAGGGGTCAGGGCTCGCCTGCTAGCTGGGGACATAGGGGGTGGGGCGGGGCTCGCCTGCTGGCTGGGAGCACGGTGGATGGGGGGCTTGCCTGCTGGCTGGGAGCACAGTGGACTGGGGGCTTGCCTGCTGACTGGGAGCACGGTGGATGGGGGGCTTGCCTGCTGGCTGGGAGCACGGGGGGGCAGGGGGCTTGCCTGCTGGCTGGGAGCATGGTGGACGGGGGGCTTGCCTGCTGGCTGGGAGCATGGTGGATGGGGGGCTTGCCTGCTGGCTGGGAGCACGGGGGGCAGGGGGCTTGCCTGCTGGCTGGGAGCACAGGCCCCTTCCCTGCAGGAAGTGCTTGGGCTCTGCAGCCCAGAAGCCTCTCTCTTCTGTCCACCCTCTGGCTGGGCCAGGGTCAAGGTCAGGTCAATGTCCCCAGAGCAGAATTACCTTGCAGGTATCCCAGGTTTACCCGGTTCATGACGTCACTGGCTGTTAAGTTTGCTATGTCCTCTAAGAACACACAGGAGGGGCACGGACAGAGAGAGAGCAGTGCGGTCAGCAGGCAGTGGCCAAGCGGGGCATGGCACGGGCAGGCGGCCGCAGCTAAGCCAGCCCAGCAGGGGAGAAGGGCCCGCTTTGTGCCAAGCGGTGGGGGTTGGGCCATGCGCCAGCTCAGGGAGGGAGTGGGCAGGGCCAGGACTTGGGGGCTGTGACTACCATTCTGTACCCTGATGGTCAGTGTCCCCCTGAAGGGGGCAGGCAGGAAGACCTGGGTGCCCCCAACACTGAGCCTGGGGCTGGGAAAGGCCCGGGGCCCCCTGGCCTGTCCGCTCTGGGGCTGCAGCTGGTCCAGGCTGGCCCAGCGTGCACGGCCCTGGCTATTCCTGGGCAGCTCCCAGGGGCACCCTGGGCACCTGACCCCACTTAGAGCATCCCAAGGGCCCCTGACCCCGGCGACCATCAGCAGAAGCAGGTGGACACGGAAGTGGGCCTGGGTGGGGCAGAGTCCCCAGGATGGAGCCTCATGGCAGTTGGGGCTCCCAGGCCAGGGTTGGATGTGGCCAGGCTGCAGCCAGGCCTGTTGGGCCACATGGGACCAGTCACACCGCCCTCACCCGCCCGCGGGCTCAGTGGATGTGGGCAGCAGGGCACCTGGGAGGTCGAGCTTTCCTGGCCTCAGTCCTGGGCTGCTGTGTTGCCCGAGAAGGTCCCCACACACTGGCTTAGCCCGAGCTGGCCAGGGACCCACTCCAGCCCGCAGCCCCAGTCCTCCGCTCCAGGGGGCTACCTCTCAAGCGACCAGGCCAGGAGGGCGGCCTGCGTCCCAGGGCGCTGCGGCTTGTCCTTACCGTAGCCAGTGGTGGGCAGCCCCAGGTGCTTCATGCGGTTCTTGACCAGCTCAGAGAGTTCCTGGCGCTCGGATCGCTGGCACAGGCTGAGCCGCTGCTGGCTGATGCGCTCAGCAGCCGCAGGTGTCTTGGCCGGCTGGCTGCCCTTGCGGCTGAGTTTCCGGGCCCAGGACAGGCTCTTCCGCCGCAGCAGGGGGTGCTCCACCGGGTCGTCACCGTCCGCGTGGCGGCCTTGGGTGCTGCCGCCGCCACCGGGGCCCACCTGTGCCTCCCAGGGCCCCGGGGCCTGTCGCATGTCCTCACAGCCCTCCATGTTCACGGAGATCTGGGACTGGGGTGGCAGGGCTATGGGGACGGCGGCCTGGCCCCGGCCTCCTGCCTGGCCACAGGTCCGGGTACCAAGGAGGCCCCACCCGTGCCCCTCCCCTGCCCTCCCATCTCTGCAGGGGTCCCTCCCGACTCCTCCACAAGGGTTATCCCCAAGCAAGTGGCCCAGTAGAGGCCGGTGAGAACGGTGTGGAGGCACAGGGGATGCAGGGTCCATGTAGGCACTGCCTGGGGTCCAGAGTCAGGCCGGACCACTGTGGGAGAGGCCGTGAGCCACCCCAACTGTGCATGGAGGGGGAGGGGCACGCTCCTCAGGGTCCCTCCCTGCCCATGTCCCCAGGGTGGGGTGGTGGTGGTGGGGTTGTTGCCACAGCGCCCAGTGGCTGGGGTGCCAGGAGGTACTCGGGGTGCTCACCTGGGCTCTGAGGTCCTGGGGCTGCCAAGGAAACAGGATGGTGGGCCAGGGCCAGGGCACCCTCCCGCGTGGGCCTGGGCACCCTCCCGCGTGGGCCTGGGCCAGGGCACCCTCCCGCGTGGGCCTGGGCCAGGGCACCCTCCCGCGTGGGCCTGGGCACCCTCCCGCGTGGGCCAGGCCCTCGGCCCCTCCCGCGTGGCACACCTCGGTGAAGACGTGGCTCTCGGTCCTGTAGATGCCAATGGGCACCTCGGCGCTGGATGAGCAGAGCTTCTGGAAGAGGCGGCCGTAAGTGCGGATCCACAGGTCGTCCTCGCCGATCTTCATCTGTGACACGTCACGCGGGTCTGAGCGGCAGCAGCAGGGCACCCCCACGCCGGCCACCCCTCGGCCCTGCACTCACGGCGCACAGGTAGCCGGAGCCCGGCGTGGTGTCCAGGCCTAGCAGCAGCCGCGTGATGGTGATCATGTAATCCTTGACAAACGACTGTGAGGAACAGCCGGCTGAGGCAGGTGGGCGTGCGGGGCAGCACCCCGCCCGCGGCTCTACACCTGCAGGGCGCGGCCTCGCCTTCCCTGCCCCCAGCCCGAGACAAGGGGACACGCAGGCAGGCCCTGTCAGGACTGGTGGTTCAGGCGGTCCCCCACCCCCCCGCGTCACACAGGCTCCCCAGGCAGGGACAGGTGGGGCCATGCTGGGAGCCAAGCAGGGTGGTTCCCCGGGAGGTGCCTGGCCGTCAGCCTCCACCTGGGTGCCCAGCTCTGCACCCCTGAGCCCACTGACCTGGTAGAGCAGCGTGTCCAACATGCTGATGCTGAACACTCGGCCAGCGGCAAAGGGCAGGCGGAACATGAAGGCCAGGTTGGAGCCGTTCTCACGCTCCCGCTGTGGGAAGCGAGGGCTCAGGTGGGCATGCCGCCCCCACCTGTTTGTGGTGGGCTGCAGGGAGCCGGGGGCCTGGGGGCGGGCGGGAGGTATCCCTGCTCCCGGGGGGGCAGGAGGGTGGCCCACTCACCTTTTCCAGCTTGGATAGAGCCAGCGAGTAGCTGTCCTTGGCGCGGAACTGCATGAAGCGCATGTTGGAGGGGTGGGTGAGCTCCGTGGTAATGCTGAGGCTGGGGAAGAGCCTGGGAGAGCAGAGGGCTCAGGGGGGCCCGTGCCAGGGCTGGGGGCTCAGGGGTGCCCGTGCCAGGGCTGGGGGCTCGGGACTGAGGGGTGCCAATGTTCATGACTAGGGGTGTAGAGGGGCACCTCAGGGTTGGGGGCTGCGGGGCACCTGTGTCAGGGCTGGGGGCTGAGGGGTGCCCAGGGTTGAGCATCTAGGTCCCAAGCGGCTGCCGGCCCCGCCAGGCTCACCGGAACATGGTCTGCACGTTGACAATGGTCTTGGCGTCGGCCATGTAGTCCTCCTCGGCGCTCATGGTGCTCTCCTTGTCCACCACCACCAGGTTGTCGGCGTAGATGATGCCACACTGCAGCAGGCTGTCCAGGCTGCAGCACAGGCTGCGCTGAGGGCCTTGCCCCCCAGGGTGCTGGCCACCCGCCTGCCCAGCTTGGGGAGAGGCCGGGGCTGAGAGGCTCCCCACGCACTTACTTGTCCACGGAGCCCTCCATGTAGTACACCATGGGAAAGCAGCAGATGGCTTCCAGGAAGTGGCGATCAGGCCTGGGAGCAGAGCCAGGCTCAGGTGTGGGCTGGGCTGCACTTCCCCAACCCGTAGGGACCCCAGAAGGGTAATCACCAGTCCGGGGGTGGCTGGGGGGCCAGAGCAGGGGAAGGAGGTGTGTGTAACAGGCAGTAGGGCAAGTGGGGTGAGGCTGAGAGCAACTGGAAGAGGGAGGCCTGGCCATCCCTCCCTGCCCTAGAGGCCAGGGTTGGTCCATGTGGGCAGGGCCCAGAGGGGCACACTGAAGGGGTCTCGAGGGCTGACCCAATGGCAGGGCCCAGAGGGACATGTCACAGGGCCCCAGGGGCTGACCTACGGGTGGAGGGGTCCTGAGGGCTGACCCACGGGTGGAGGGGTCCCCAGGGGCTGACCCACGGGTGGAGGGGTCCCCAGGGCTGACCCACGGGTGGAGGGGTCCCCAGGGCTGACCCACGGGTGGAGGGGTCCCCAGGGCTGACCCACGGGCGGCGGGGTCCCCAGGGCTGACCCACGGGCGGCGGGGTCCTGAGGGCTGACCCACGGGCGGCGGGGTCCCGAGGGCTGACCCACGGGTGGCGGGGTCCCGAGGGCTGACCCACGGGCGGCGGGGTCCCCAGGGCTGACCCACGGGCGGGGTCCGAGGGCTGACCCACGGGCAGCGGGGTCCCGAGGGCTGACCCACGGGCGGCGGGGTCCCGAGGGCTGACCCACGGGTGGAGGGGTCCCCAGGGCTGACCCACGGGCGGCGGGGTCCTGAGGGCTGACCCACGGGCGGCAGGGTCCCCAGGGCTGACCCACGGGTGGCGGGGTCCTGAGGGCTGACCCACGGGCGGCGGGGTCCTGAGGGCTGACCCACGGGCGGCGGGGTCCCGAGGGCTGGACCCATGGGTGGCGGGGTCCTGAGGGCTGACCCACGGGCGGCGGGGTCCCGAGGGCTGACCCACGGGCGGCGGGGTCCCGAGGGCTGGACCCACGGGCGGCGGGGTCCCGAGGGCTGACCCACGGGCGGCGGGGTCCCGAGGGCTGACCCACGGGCGGCGGGGTCCCGAGGGCTGGACCCACGGGCGGCGGGGTCCCGAGGGCTGACCCACGGGCGGCGGGGTCCCCAGGGCTGACCCACGGGCGGCGGGGTCCCGAGGGCTGACCCACGGGCGGCGGGGTCCTGAGGGCTGACCCACGGGCCACCCCGGCCCACCTGTTGTCCAGGAGCAGTACGATGGGGTTGAGCTCCCTGCGCGGCCGGTAGTAAGCCCGCAGAGGCACGATGAAGTTGTAGAGCCCGTTGCCGGCCGTCTCTGCCGACACAATGATGAGCTTGTTCTTGAAGCCGTAGGCCTTGGCGTCCTCGTAGCTGTTGTGCTCACAACCCTGGGGGCCGAGGCCACAGGCACACTGGGACCCCTGGGCAGAGCGCCCCCAGAGCGCCACCGCTGCACCTGGGGGACAGGGCTGCCGGTACAGGGACCAGCATCCACAGAGACCACGCATGTGCACGAGGGCCCGTGAAAGCTCGCAGGAGCAACTACGGAACAACTTTGGAAGTTCTGTGTATCTGCATGTGTGCATGAGCGTGTGTGGGCACAGGTGTGTGGGCACAGGTGTGTGCGCACAGGTGTGTGGGCACAGGTGTGTAGGTACAGGTGTGGGCACAGGTGTGGGTACAGGTGTGTGGGCACAGGTGTGTGGGTACAGGTGTGTGGGCACAGGTGTGTGGGTACAGGTGTGGGCACAGGTGTGTGGGTACAGGCGTGGGTACAGGTGTGTGGGTACAGGTGTGTAGGCACAGGTGTGTGGGCACAGGTGTGGGTACAGGTGTGGGCACAGGTGTGTGGGTACAGGTGTGGGCACAGGTGTGTGGGTACAGGTGTGTGGGCACAGGTGTGTGGGCACAGGTGTGTAGGCACAGGTGTAGGCTCAGGTGTGTGGGCACAGGTGTGGGCACAGGTGTGTAGGCACAGGTGTAGGCACAGGTGTGTGGGCACAGGTGTGGGTACAGGTGTGGGCACAGGTGTGTGGGTACAGGTGTGGGCACAGGTGTGTGGGTACAGGTGTGTGGGCACAGGTGTGTGGGCACAGGTGTGGGCACAGGTGTAGGCTCAGGTGTGTGGGCACAGGTGTGGGCACAGGTGTGTAGGCACAGGTGTAGGCACAGGTGTGTGGGCACAGGTGTGGGCACAGGTGTGTAGGCACAGGTGTAGGCACAGGTGTGTGGGCACAGGTGTGGGTACAGGTGTGTGGGTACAGGTGTGTAGGCACAGGTGTGTGGGCACAGGTGTGGGCACAGGTGTGTGGGTACAGGTGTGGGCACAGGTGTGTGGGCACAGGTGTGGGTACAGGTGTGTGGGTACAGGTGTGTAGGCACAGGTGTGTGGGCACAGGTGTGGGTACAGGTGTGTGGGTACAGGTGTGGGTACAGGTGTGTGGGTACAGGTGTGTGGGTACAGGTGTGTGGGCACAGGTGTGGGTACAGGTGTGGGCACAGGTGTGTGGGCACAGGTGTGGGCACAGGTGTGTGGGTACAGGTGTGTGGGCACAGGTGTGGGCACAGGTGTGGGCACAGGTGTGTGGGTACAGGTGTGGGTACAGGTGTGTGGGCACAGGTGTGGGTACAGGTGTGTGGGTACAGGTGTGTGGGTACAGGTGTGTGGGCACAGGTGTGGGCACAGGTGTGTGGGTACATGTGTGGGCACAGGTGTGGGCACAGGTGTGTGGGTACATGTGTGGGCACAGGTGTGTGGGCACAGGTGTGGGCACAGGTGTGGGTACAGGTGTGGGCACAGGTGTGTGGGCACAGGCGTGGGCACAGGTGTGTGGGTACAGGTGTGTGGGCACAGGTGTGGGCACAGGTGTGGGTACAGGTGTGGGCACAGGTGTGGGCACAGGTGTGTGGGCACAGGGCTGTGCCATGATGTGCCTGTGTGTGTAGACACACACGTGTGCACACGTGCTCATGTGAGCTGGTGTGTGCAGCTGGCCATGCAATGCATGTCTACTCAGCGTGTGTGTGTGGAGCAGAGCGCACGGGTGCTGTACACACCCATGTGTGCCGGCCTGGCACCGGGAGACGGGCCCTTCTCCAGTCCTCACGCCCACCAAGGGCAGTCTGGGCTTGGGCCAGGGGCCGGTCCCAGCTGCCTCGGGAGTCTGCACAGCGTGGACCCCCGGCGTCCGGGCGATGGCGTGTGAGGACCACGGGGGCCCCAAGGCCACAGGCACACGGGCATGCGTGAGGGAGGACACGCGTGGGGTAGCTTCCCTGTGGCAGCTGTGAGAGGCGGGTCAGTGTCAGGAACAGCCAGCCAAGCCCACAGCCCAGCATGGGGTGGTCTCACCATGATTCTAACAGGGTGATATGGGGTACCATGTGTGTGGGGGCGGGTGGCTCACCCCAGCATGCATGGACTCTCGCCAGGAGCCCTGGCCTGTCACGTGGGCCGCGTGGCCAGAGAGGACAGCGCAGGCTATGGACGTCCTCGTCCCGACTTTCAGAGGCGAGGCGTCTCTGTATTGTCTGGAGACCCATGATGTATGTGGGGTGAGGCGGGGGATGGCACTGTGGGGGCCCCGGGGTGAGCCCGAGTCCTCGTCCGCAGGCTGCCCGCGGACAGGCATGGGGCGCGGCCCTACCTTGTCCAGCCGCAGGCAGCAGAAGGGCGCTTTGACGGGCAGCAGGTGGCAGAGGGTGGGGGAGCTGCCGATGTAGGGCGAGTTGGGGGGGTAGCCCTTCACGTACCTGTGGGGACAGTGGACTCAGCACTGCCCCGTCATTCCCACAAAGGCGCCGGCTCCTGGGGCTCACGGGGACCCCCGGCCACAGCAGGGCAGCACACAGCCCCAAACGGATAGGCCATGCTGGGGAGTGGACGGCGCCCACCCTGCAGGGCCCAGGGCTGCCTGCGGGAGGAGCGAGCCAGGCGAGCAGGGACAGGAGCTCAGGCCCACCAGGCAGCCCTGAGCTATGGCAAGGTCAGGGTCAGGTGGGGGGGCCACGCCCAGCACCGCCCTTTCCAAAAGGTTGGGGGGGAGCCACGTGTCATCTGGAAGCAGACACAAGAACACACACACACACACAAAAACATCAGAAATATGGATGTATAGACAGGACATACACTGGGACATAGCTACACCTCTGTACACAGACCTCTTCACAGGGACAGACACACCCCCTGAACACACGCCTGTACACACACACCTGTACACACACACACCTGTATACACACACCTGTATATACACACACACCTGTACACACACCTGTACACACACCTGTATACACACACCTGTACACACACACCTGTATATACACACCTGTATATACACACACACCTGTACACACACCTGTACACACACCTGTATACACACACCTGTACACACACACCTGTATATACACACACCTGTATATACACACACACCTGTACACACACCTGTATACACACACCTGTACACACACACCTGTATATACACACACACCTGTACACACACCTGTACACACACACCTGTACACACACCTGTACACACACACACCTGTATACACACACCTGTATATACACACACCTGTATATACACACACACCTGTACACACACACACCTGTATACACACACCTGTATACACACACCTGTATATACACACACCTGTATATACACACACACCTGTACACACACCTGTACACACACACCTGTATACACACACACCTGTACACACACACACCTGTACACACACCTGTACACACACCTGTACACACACACACCTGTACACACACCTGTACACACACCTGTACACACACACCTGTACACACACACCTGTATATACACACACCTGTATATACACACACCTGTACACACACACACCTGTATACACACACCTGTATATACACACACACCTGTACACACACCTGTATACACACACCTGTATACACACACACACCTGTACACACACCTGTACACACACACCTGTACACACACCTGTATATACACACACACCTGTATACACACACCTGTATACACACACACCTGTACACACACACCTGTATACACACACCTGTATACACACACACCTGTACACACACACACCTGTACACACACACCTGTACACACACACCTGTACACACACACCTGTATATACACACACACCTGTACACACACCTGTACACACACCTGTACACACACCTGTACACACACCTGTACACACACACACCTGTACACACACCTGTACACACACACCTGTATACACACACACCTGTACACACACCTGTACACACACACCTGTACACACACACCTGTATATACACACACACCTGTATATACACACACACCTGTACACACACCTGTACACACACACCTGTATATACACACACACCTGTACACACACACCTGTACACACAGGGTCACAGACGTGATTGTGCTCATGGACATGGGCATACACAGGAGCCTAAACATGGCTCAGCAGGTGCTCTGACGCCTCCTTCCCTCCTAGGCTCCCAGCGCCCCATGTAGGCCCACCTCCTGCCCTCTGCCCCCTGCCTGCCCTCTGCCCTCTGCCCCCCACCTTCCTCACTTCTTTCTCCCTGTCAGGGCCAGCAGGGGTCCCCACTCCTCCCCATTGGGCCCAGCTTGCAGCCTGCCAAGGACCAGCCCTCCAGTGCCACCTGCAGGGGCCGGCTCGGGCACAGGCTCAGGGCCCAACCGGCCAACCGCCCTCGGTGTGCAGAGGACTAGCAGGCCCGTGTCGGGGCCACGCCCCACAGTCGGCTCTCCTGGAGCTTCCCCGAGGAGCACATGGTGGGAGAGCACCATGGCACACAGGCCCGCAGTGGCCGTAAGGCGACCTGGGTGTTCTAACCAGGGCCTTGAGGCTGAGCTGCCGCAAGCACGGGGTCTCCCTCCATGACCGGATGCAAACCCCGTCACAGATCACCTTGGATGGGGCTGTGGCTCCCAGGCTGAGTCACCCTGGATAAAGTGGGCGGGCTGCCCCCCAGGGGGCCGCCCGGGGTGAGCCCTACCCCCAGAGCGCTCTCCGCAGGCAGCACTCACTCCACCGCAGAGAGGCCCTCCTCATCCGAGGGCGTCACCTCGTCCTCCGACTGGTCAGTCAGCAGGTCGCAGGGCAGCAAGGCCGAGTTGTCGGCCAGCTCCAGGACGGGCGCGATGCTGGGCCGCCGGCTGCCCGAGCCATTTTCTGAGGGCAGTGCCAGTTTGCTGCCCGCGCTGCTCTGGGAGGGCCGGCACTCGGCATTCTGCAGGTCCATGGCCACCGTCCCTGGGAGACAGGGCCCAGCTTGGCGGCACCTGCGGCAGGTCCCTGCGCGGCGCACGGCTCTGTGGTTTGGGGGCCACTCTGCCCAGGGCCTCCCACCCCCAGGAACCCCGGGCTCCCGGCCCCTTGGCAGACGAAGGACAAGCGCTGGGCTGACGCGACCCCCAGGGTCTGCCTGGACGTGAGGAAGGCCCAGGACGCGGGGAGGCCGCGGAGGGGCGGGGCCTCACCCATGGAGGCGAGGATGCTGCGCACGGGCAGGTGCGGCCCCGGCCCCGCCCTCTGCTTGCGCCGCTCCTCCTGCGCGAAGACGAAGGCCGAGTTCTCCTCCTTGGTGATGTTGATGTAGAAGCAGGTGTCGGAGGCGGCCAGCGTGTGCCGCGGGCCCGGGTTCAGCAGGATGCTTTTGTGCTGCTCACGCTTGAGGCCGATGAGGCACACCCCATACCTGGTGGGCACAGGTCCCGTGCCAGCCCCACGCCGGCCCCCGGCTCGCGCCCCCTTCCCCGGGAGCCCTCTTACTTCTTGTGGGCGTGGAAGGCGGCGTAGGTGAAGCTCTTGCCCTCGTACTCCCGGAAGAACTTGCTGTCGCCCATGCGGATGTGGTAGACCTCGTTGCCGGAGCAGCGTCCGTACGTGCGCTGCCACTGCTCCGGGGACTCCTGGCCCTCCCTGCAGGTGCCCAGAGACGCTCAGCCGCGCCCGCCGCCACCCCAGCCCCACGGCGGCCCTCCAGGCCCTGGCCGGGCTGCGGGCACTCACTGGCCACGGGAGGTGTGCACCAGCAGGGTGATGAGGGTGGAGGTGGCCGGGCAGATGCAGTTGAGGGCGAGCATGGCGAACTTGCACTCCTCTTCGCACACCACGTGGTCTGCGGCAGAGCGGGGCGGGTCCACGCCGCGCCCACACCTGCCCTCCCCTTGGCGCGGACGCTGTTGCCGCCCGGTGTGGCGGGTCCACGCCGCGCCCACACCTGCCCTCCCCGGTGCCCTTGGCTGCTGTGCCATGCTCCCAAGTTCCTCGCGCACACAGAGGTGCTGCTGCCGCCCTCCACACCATCCCCAGGGTCCTGGGTGAGGCACCCCCCCACACACTCACCTGCTCTCACCAGCCCGCACCCCTGTGCCCGTCACAACCGCACACTGAGCACTTCCCTTGCCCATGTGTACCTGCGAACTTGACGTGGAACTTGTTTTCTGGCTTGAGGATCTGGACGTACAGTGGGCAGTTGGGGGCAAAGTCCTTTACGGCCCAGGCCCGAAGGATGGTCTGGTGGTCCTGGGGGGGGAAGTCATTGCTGACACAAGCCCTGTGCGCACGGCTGGGGTGGGGGTGGGGGTCCGGGCTGCAGCGCTCACCGCGGCCGTGCGGTCCACCTCGTTCCGGCTGCTGAGCAGGAAGCAGGCCTCCCCGTTGTCCATCCTGTAAAGGCACTGGGCTGAGGGCAGGGGTGGGGACAGAGGGAGGGGCACCCCAAGAGGAGGTGTGGACAGGGAGCTCGGGGCCCCAGGGATCTGTGGGGCCCAGGTCGGAATGGGGGGTCAGCCTGGCCTGGCCCAGCAGTGCCCCCTACCCCTACAGCCATCTGGGAGGTACCTGCCCAGCTGCCACAAGGCCACCGAGCCAGCCTGGTCCCAGAATGCAGGGGTGGAACTGTGGGGCACAGGTGCCCTGTAGAGCCTGCTGCCAGGCTGCCGGAGGCCCTGCGAGTGGTCTCAGACTTGCCTGTCCCCACAGACAGTGTGGCCACCCCCATGGACTACCAAGCTGGTGCCCAGGGAGCTGGCCACCTCGGCCACCTGAGGTGACCAGTGGCTGGGACACGGGGCTGCACCTGTCAGGGCCCAGCAGGTGAGGGGCGAGGGATCCCCGGGCCTCCCCCCGCGCCCCTCTCACTTTGCTCGCATGAGGTCCTGGTCCTTGAGGGCGGAGCCCTGGAGGTAGATGACGCGCTGGGACCAGAGTGGGATCTGCAGCACCCTGCGCACCTGCATGTCCATCTCCGCAGGGCACAGGATGATGACGTAGTAGTCCTGCGGCCAGGCCCGGGTCAGCCGGGAGAGCCCCGAGCCCCTGCCCACTGCGGCCAGGCCCGGGTCAGCCGGGAGAGCCCCCAGCCCCTGCCCACTGCGGCCAGGCCCGGGTCAGCCGGGAGAGCCCCCAGCCCCTGCCCACTGCGGCCAGGCCCGGGTCAGCTGGGAGAGCCCCTGCCCACTGCGGCCAGGCCCGGGTCAGCCAGGAGAGCCCCTGCCCACTGCGGCCAGGCCCGGGTCAGGCAGCACAGCCCCCAGCCCCCTGCTCCCCGTGAGCCCCGCTCGGGCAGCACCTGGAGCCGCGGGTGCGCGTAGAACTCGTTGAGGAAGTCCATGAGCAGGTCGATCTTGAGCGAGCTCACACACAGCACCACGTGCTTCTCCGTCTGGGCCCGGTGGCGGCTGTAGTTGCCCCCCGACTTCTGCCGCTCCATCCAGAGGTAGACCAGCTCCTCGAACTGCAGGGGCGCAGGGGTGAGGGCGGGCACCCAGGGAGAGGCCCGGGCACAGGCCGGCTGGGCAGAGCCAGAGCAGCAGACCTGAGGTCGGCCCTGCCGAGGTGCCTGGGAGTGCCCGCCTGTCTCGGCAGGGAGCGCCCGGCCCTGCAGGCGCGGACCTCCAGGCCTAAGTGTCCATGCCACGAGGTGGCCTGCTGCCCCCGTGGCCCACTGCCCTGGGAGCTTCTCAGAGGGGGCCCGCGAGTGGCATGGCCACTGTGTCTGTCCACGGGTGGCCACTTGGTGATGGTCGCAGAGCAGCCCTCGGGGCCCAGCACACAGGCCTCAGGGCAGTGGCGGGGAGGTGGGCGAGGAAAGGCAGCCTTCCTGGACCCACACAGAGGAAGCGCCATGGTGTGGCCTGGGTCCCCAAGGGCATGTGTCCCCCTGTCCCTCTCCCGTGCCAGGCCAGGCTGGGGTGGGGCTGGGCTGCCTAGGTCCGCCCTCACGCCCTGGCCGGCCCCTCAGCCCCTCATGCCCTGGCCGGCCCCTCACGCCCTGGCCGGCCCCTCACGCCCTGGCCGGGCTCCTCACGCCCTGGCCGGGCCCTCACCTGCAGCGGGAGCACCACGAGGGCCACACAGATCATGACGACCACGAGCAGCTGCGACGGCCAGATCTTGGGCGTGACGTCGCCGTAGCCCACGGTGGAGAAGGTGACGATGCAGAAGTAGAAGGCAGTGAGCAGGGACAGGTTCTCGCCGGCGCGCTCCAAGTGCTGGATGCCACAGGTGCTGTGGGCGCGAGCCGGGCTCTGCTGGCCTGCCAGCCACGCGCTCCCGGCCCGGCCCGGCCCTCCCCCGGGCAGGGCCTGGGGTCGCCAAGTCCCATGGGGTCCCACGAGGGCTGGCTTAGCAGGGGCCAGGGCCCCGGGAGGACGGACAGGTGGACACGCTAGCCCCCTGGGTGGCGGGGTCAGCCTGCTCTGCTGTCCCTGCCCTACAGCCTCGGGACGCCCCTCTGGCAGGTGCCCCTGGAAGCAGGGTTCTGGGGGACAGGGAGGGTGGCCTGGGCAGGCCACGGGCTCTCTCTGCGTTCACCCTGGTTGCTTCCAGACCGGCCCCCACCCCCGGTACCCCTGAGCTTGAGGTGGGGAACGGGCCATCCTGGAGGCCCAGGCCCTGGAGGCGCTGCACTTGAGCAGACACCAGCAGCCTGGCCACCATGGCCCCTCCCCTGCTCACGCACCTGCGCTCGGCCCAGGAGGAGTGGCCCGAGCAGCACTCACCCTGTGAACAGCAGGCACAGCAGGGTGCAGAAGAGGATGACCACCTGGTTGGACATGGCCGACTGCGTCCGCAGGATGGCTCGGTGGAAGTCATTCTGCCGGGAGCCGACCCATCAGCGACCCCTTGGTCAGTGGAGGCGGAAGCGGGCTGCCCTCAGCCTCCTGGGCGCCCCAGCCATCCCCGCGTCTGTCTGCCCACACCTGGCCGGGGCTGCCGAGCGCCCAGTGCATCCAGCCCTGGGCTCCTCACAGGACAGAGACCTGACTGGCACTGACGTGGACATCAAACGGACCCTGCTCAGGCTGAGCGGCGGGCTGCACCCCAGTGTGCAAGGGGCTGTTGTCCTGTTGCCCCCTGGTGTGGCCCTCTCCTTGGGGGCCGGCTGCACCCAGTCTGCCCTGCGGCCTCCTCCCACCCCTGCCGGTCGCTCCCGGCCGCCCCTCCGGCCACCCCTGCAGGTCACTCCCGGCCGCCCCTCCTCCCACCCCTGCCGGTCGCTCCCGGCCGCCCCTCCTCCCACCCCTGCCGGTCACTCCCGGCCGCCCCTCCGGCCACCCCTGCAGGTCACTCCCGGCCGCCCCTCCGGCCATGGCTTACGATCATGTTCTCCAGGGCGTGCTTGGCCAGCCAGCAGTTGAGGAACACCGGGATGAACAGGTTGCGCAGCGGCGGCCAGAAGATCTGCAGGCACAGGTCAGGGGCGGGGCCTGGGGCGGGGCCTGGGGCGGGGCGGGCGGGGCCCGGGGTGGGGCAGGCGGGGCTGCCAGCAGGGGCGGGGCCTGGCAGGTTGGGCGGGGCATGAGGTGGGGTGGGCGGGACTGCCAGCAGGGGCGGGGCCTGGCAGGTTGGGCGGGGCATGAGGTGGGGTGGGCGAGGCTGCCGGTAGGGAGTCTGGCACTGGGGTGGGCGGGGCCTGGTGCCAGAGGGCCTGATGCTAGGATAGGGCTGCTGGTGGGGGCGTGGCCTGGTGCCGGGTGGGCGGGGCTGCGGGCGGGGCGGGGCTCACCCACCGTGATGATGAAGGGCAGGGTGTTGATCATCTCCAAGACGAAGGGCACGCGGAATATCTGCTCCCAGATGTTGCCCTGGGGGCCGAGGGGGGCTTGAGTGGACAGGCGGGGGCTCCGGGTCCCCAGGGCCCCCGGGCAGCGGCCTCACTTTGTAGCTGAGGTAGATGAGGAGCATGGTCTCCAGGAAGCTGATGACCGCCACCACCACCTGTGCCGGAAGGGAGGGGTTCACAGGCAGGACAGGCCCTCGGGCCGGGTGTGCAGGGCACGGCCAGCAGGAGAGCCCCGCTTCCAGGGGCACCTGCCAGAGGGGCGTCCCGAGGCTGTGGGGCAGGGACAGCAGAGCAGGCTGACCCCGCACCCAGGGGGCATGGCGGACGTGGGCAGCGGCACGGCTGCAGGGCCTCCCGCTGGCATCGGCCACCCTCCCTGACCCCACACCCTGGCGTCTGAGATGGGAGCAGGTGGCAGAATTGAGGAAGAGCCCCTTGGGTGCGGCCAAGGACAGCCTGGGCCATCCACTCTCTCTGCAACCCCCTCCCCATCCCCCGGAAGCCAGCAAGGACGTGGGGGGGTCAGCTGGAGGAGATTCAGACAGGCAGGGAACAGCATGCCCTCGAGTGTCTCCAGGACAGGTCCTCCCAGGGCTTGGGCTTGCCCCGTGTCCTCCCAGGGGGACTGGGCTAGCCCCGTGTCCTCTGGGGGGGCCTGGGCTAGCCCTGTGTCCTCCCGGGGGGGGCCTGGGTTCGCCCCGTGTCCTCCCGGGGGGACTGGGCTCGCCCTGTGTCCTCTGGGGGTTCCTGGGCTCGCCCCATGTCCTCCCGGGGGGACTGGGCTCGCCCCATGTCCTTCCTGGGGGGGCCTGGGCTTGCCCCGTGTCCTCCCGGGGGGACTGGGCTCGCCCCATGTCCTTCCTGGGGGGGCCTGGGCTTGCCCCGTGTCCTCCCGGGGGGACTGGGCTCGCCCCATGTCCTTCCTGGGGGGGCCTGGGCTCGCCCCATGTCCTCCCAGGGGGACTGGGCTTGCCCTGTGTCCTCTGGGGGGGGGACTGGGCTCGCCCCGTGTCCTCTGGGGGTGCCTGGGTTCGCCCTGTGTCCTCCCGGGGGGACTGGGCTCGCCCCGTGTCCTCTGGGGGGTCCCAGAGAAGCAGCACCTACCTGGATTACCCACAGAGCCATCCTCCTCTCCACCCACAGGATGGGGGCCCTGGAAAAGCACAGTGGTCGGCAGGGATGCAGCCAGGACCCCTCAGCCACCCCAGCCCAGAGCCCACGGCCACTGGACCACTGCACAGCCCCTTGGGCAGGCCAGCAGGCCCTGACTCTGCCCTCGGAGGGGACAGGAACGCCAAGCGAGGGGGAGGCTCCCCGGGTGGCCGCAGGCAGGCCCCTGGGTCGGCTGGTAGCAGAGCCTGCCAACACACAGGGCCTGTGCTCCTCGTCGGGGTCCCTGCTGGGGTGTCCTTCCCATGACATGCAGGGATGGGGGGGTGAGGCCCGGCCACTCGGTGCCCCTTGGCCACAGCATGGTGAATCAGAAGAGCAGTCACAGGCGGGGGTGACCGCCCCCCGACGCTGCGTCCCACAGGCATGTGGAGAGTGGAGCCAGGGGCCAGCCGTGTGAACTACCCCCACCCCGGGCCCTGGCTCCAGGGGCCCTCCCCCGCCACGCCCCTCCCCCCCACGCACCAGTTGATCTGAGAGGAGGAATCGTTGAAGGTGTAATTGCGCTTCTCGCAGCCCCAGCTGTGGAGAGACGGAGCTGGCCAGGCTGAGGCCCCCGGACCCCTCCCCAGGGCCCGAGGACGTGAGCGGCCAGCAGGCCGCCCACAGGGGACCGGGACGGTCTCTAATGTCCGAGGCATGGCTGGGGGCCTGGAGTCTGACAGGGAGACGAGCTGCATGCCACAGTGTGGGGCATGTGAGGTGTGTCTTGGTGAGGGCAGAGCCCCCGCCTCTTAACCCCCTCCCACATCTTACCAGGGTCTCTGCCAACTCAGGGCATCTGCCATCCTGTGCCCCATCTATCTTATCCACCAGTCAGCACCTGCCAGCCTGCCCATCACCATGCTCCACCCACCGCCAGCATTCACTCACGCTCCGTCCATCCGTCCATCCCATGCCCCTCCATTATCGCCCCACATCCTCCCACAGTCCTGCCCTCCCCTGCGGTGCCCAGCAGGCTCAGACCTGAGCTCTCTGGGGCCATGGGGCTTGCAGGGGTGTGGAAGGCAGGCAGAGCGCCAGCTCTCAGACCAGTGTGGGTCCTCCCTCCAACTGGACAAAGATGGGGCCTGTTGGTTTCCTGCCACTGGGACAGGAGTCACCTTCCCTCTCCTTAAATAAACCTTGCTTTGCAAACTGGGAAAAAACAACAGCGAGATGGGGCCGTACTCTGCAGAGGACCGCTGGTCCCAGTTCACGCCCACGTCCTCAGGGCCCGGCCTGCTTGCTGGGTCGGCCTGAGGAAGGGACCCACCCCTGGCACTGAGGACATTGCAAAGCTCTCATCTGACGTCGGCCATGCGGACGATGGTGCAGGGCTGGGGAGGGGGAGCTAGGGCAGAGATGTCGGGGGCTGGACAGGAGTGTCCAGCCTGTACGGGCCTGGCACCTCAGCCCCAGGGAGCCCAGGAGGCCCTGCACAGTCCCGAGGGGCTGCCTGAGCACAGGGGCTCCCCAAGGAGCAGCACAGGGGTAGGGGCAGCCTGCGGGACAGGCAACGTCACCCACCATCCGATGCCCTGGCCCGGGTCATCCAGCAGCACGCGGACAATGTACAGCAGGCAGGTGAGAAGCTTGAGTGAGAAGTTGAACACCCGGATCCTCAGGCCTGCGGAGCGGATGGCAGGCAGCACGGGGCCAGGCCTCCCCGGCCAGGGACCTTGGGCTGCCTTCTGGGGCTCCCCTTACGGAGCTCAGGGAACCCCCATCCCAGCGGGAGCACTGCAGGGGGGCCTTGGGGCAGGGCCAGGAGTGGCTGTGCAAAGGAGAGGCATCCCAGCCCCACCCAGCTCCTCCCAGCCCCACCCTGCCCTGCCCGCCCAGCCCAGCCCAGCCCTGCCCAGCTCCTCCCAGCCCTGCCCTGCTCGCCCAGCCCCTCCCAGCCCTGCCCAGCTCCTCCCAGCCCAGCCCTGCCCGCCCAGCCCTGCCCAGCTCCTCCCAGCCCTGCCCTGCCCGCCCAGCCCTGCCCAGCTCCTCCCAGCCCTGCCCTGCCTGCCCAGCCCCGCCCTGCCCTGCCCGCCCAGCCCAGCCCTGCCCGCCCCGCCCAGCCCTGCCCTGCTCGCCCAGCCCAGCCCTGCCCAGCTCCTCTCAGCCCTGCCCAGCTCCTCCCCGCCCTGCCCTGCCCCCATCTCTTATCTCTCAAATGTACTGGTCCCGGGTGGCAACAAGCTGAGCCGGGGCACCGCACTGCCTGGCCACTCAGCGCTTCCCAAAGTGCCAGGCCTCACTTACTGGATCTTTGGTTTTTGATGAAGAAAAGCTTCAGGCGCTCCTTGAAGGTGTTCTCATTGACATAGAACTCCACCTGGACCCTGGGGGTAGGAGGGCCCAGGGCTGGGGACCTCGTGTCGGGAGGGCGCCCGCCTGCAGCCACAGCGCCCTTAGCATGCCCGGGGCCCTGCTGGCCCGGGCTGGCCAGAGGGAGCCTGTCCTGTGGGGTCTCTCTGGCTCCACAGAAGGGGCCCAGGACCGGGCGGCTTGACCTGTGCCCCTTGGACTCCAGGGTGGGCACAGGCCAGGCCAGCAGGTCAGCAGGTGGGGTAATAACAGCAGCAGTTGGGGTTTGCGGCTGCCGTGCTGTGAAAGAGCCAGTGCACCCCAACACAGCACGGCGTGCTCCAGCACTCCCCACTGCACCCCGGGGTCCTGAGGCGCCACCTGGCCCCTAAGCACAACCCCAAGGGAGGGAGGGGTCTCCTCGTCTCAGCCCGCACTGGGCTCCGTGCAGAAGGCAAGGTGGCCACGCTGCCCCCTCCCTGTCCCCCGACACTACTCTGGTCCCCAGTGCTCACCCCGTTTCTCACCCTAGCCTGCCCTCTGCATGCCGCCCTGAACGTGCAGCCCTGGGGACCCTCGCAGGTGCATGAAACGCCACTTGGCCTCCGTCCCAGCCCCCTGCCTTGCCCCCTCCCCTGCACCCCCGGTCCTCTCCTCCTGGGACCCTGGAGTTCCCCGAAGCAGAAGACATACACATCCCGATGGCCGGTGCCCTCCCTGGCGAGCTGCCATGTCCCTGCTCGGTGCCACAGAGGTGCCCTTTGACTCCAGGTGGGCTCTTGGCTCCGTCCCAGCAGTGTCCCAGCCGCTCACCCCCACAGAGGTGCCCCTCTGACTTCAGGTGGGCACCCAGCTCCATCCTGGCTGCATCCTGGCCGCTCGGCCCCACAGCCCTCACTAGCGTACGTCCTGGCCCCGTCTCAGCTCGGCCCCCCAGCCCTCACTAGCGCCTGTCCTGGCCCCATCTCAGCTCGGCGTCTCCTGTGGCCCCGGGTCCTGCACAGCCAGCTTCCCGTTCCTTTTGCCGCCTCCTGCATCTGCCCACTCTTGCACACAGCCACGATGGTCTCTCGGCTGCCCAATGGACACGGGAAGATGTCGCCCTCTGCTTTCTGCCAGCCCCTCTCTGGCAGAGGGGTCCCCAGCTGGGCACTGGTCACCCTGGTTCCTCTGCTGCCACCACTGGCAGGGGACGAGCGACCGCCCGCTGGCAGTGACCAGCAAAGCCTCCTCTCTGTGTTTCCCACTAACCACAGCTGCCCACATCCCTCCACCACAGACTGCAGATCAACGTGCGCCAGCCGGTGGCTCTCTGGGGCCTCGCTGGTCACCAAGGCGGACAGGAGGCAGCTTAGAAAGCGCAGCAAGGGGTCCGCGACCAGCGGCTGCCTAGGGCAGTCCTGGGGATCACAGGCGCCCGCGGGGCCAGGTCAGAGCCCCAGCGTGCCAGACGCAGCCATACCCCCTTGCCCAGTTCTGTGTGCTCCATCCGGCTTGGCCTTCACCCTCCCAGGGTGATGGAGAGAAGACACGGCCACCTCCCACTGTTGTCATGGAGGTGCCGATGGGCAGAGGGCACACTGAGACCCAGCCAGGGCCCCCGTGGCTTGGTCTCAGAGTGCAGGCTTAGGCAAGCAGCCTGGAGGTGGGGAAAGCCCCAGAGCTGTGGGCATGGCTGGGCACCTGCCTTCCCTTGCCCAATGCCCACCATGCCAGTTCACACATCAAGGGCTGCCTTGCATCAGGCGGAGGCACAAACCCTGCCTGGACCCAGGACAAGCCCTGCCCCCACAGTGTGCCCACAGGCCTATGGTCTGCGGGAAGCTGTGCCCCCGACCCCAGGACAAGCCCTGCCCCCACAGTATGCCCACAGACCTATGGTCTGCGGGAAGCTGTGCCCCCGACCCCAGGACAAGCCCTGCCCCCACAGTGCGCCCACAGGGACCCACGCTTGGGCTCTCGGCTGGGCACCCAGTCCTAGTTCCATAAAGATGAGATGAACGGGGATGGGGCCTCTACGGAGGGCTGGGCTAGTCCCATCCCGTGTCCCTGGCTTGTCCACGTGGCTCTGCCCCACTGCCTGCCGGTGTCCAGGCCCAGGGTGCCCCAGCAACCGCGATGTGCCCCAGCAGCCCTGGGGAAGCCAGGCCCAGCTGCCCAGCGGTGCACGGGCAGGGATAGTCAGTACTCGTGCGTCCTGGGGAGCTCATGGGAAGACAGGAGAGAGCCAGCCCCGTGGGCATTCCTGGCACACAACTCCCGCACCGACAGCCTAGGCTGGGAAGCTCCAGACAGCCAGGCTGCCTGGCGCCAGCCCAGGGACATGGGCGGGCACAGCGCCGGAGTGCCCACCGACCTGCCGTCACAACCCTGCAGCCCCGGGGCCAAGGCCTGGGCTGCCTCCCTGTGGGCGGCTGTGTGCTGGGCACAGGGCAGGGCCCTGCCAGAGTGCCGACTGGAGTGCCCACCGACCCTGCAGCCCCGGGGCCGAGGCCTGGGCTGCCTCCCTGTGGGTGGCTGTGTACTGGGCACAGGTAGGACAGGCCCCGCCAGACCAGAATCGCATACTCGGGGCCTGCGCGAAGCATATGGCCCAACTTGCCCAGAGCTGGTCCAGCAGTGACCTGCTCCTGGCCACCCGTGTCCTCGCTCTCTGGTCCCCAGCAGGGCACATGACCAAGTACTGAGGGCTGAGGTGTCCCCTGGGACCCCCTGGGACCCTGTTCCTCGGGTCTGCCTTGGTGGCCTCCTTGAACCTGTCCGCCCAGGTCTGGGCCTGTGCCTCGGGTGCTGAGCGAGCCCAAGGGCACTGCTCAAGCCTGTTCCTCAGGGGCCCATGGCACCTCAGCCTGGCAGACGGAGGCCCAGGTGTGGCTGCCAGCCCGACTCCCAGGAGGGTGCTTGCAGGGTGGCACTTACTGAGACAGGGAGGAGTCGAGGCTGGACTCTTCTGCCTGCAGCCTGGGAGCACAGAATATTGTCACCATGAGTGGGGAGGAGGGACTGGGGCAGCCCACGGGAGGCAGGGATGGCAAAACCAGTGCGGCCCCTCGGCCCCAGCCATGAGCACCCCTGACCTGGGCGGGTGAAGTGCCAGCGGCTCGCGCTGGGGCCAGGCCAGCAGGAAATGGAGATGGTGCTGGCACGCCCAGGCCCCAGGGCAACCCAGGAAGCCGCAGGCAATGGGCGGTGCCCGGGTGGGTCACACAGCCAAAGCTGTCCGTGGGCTTGCCCAGCCTGCCCAAAACTCCTGTGTCCACACAGCTGCTGGACTGTGACACCACAGGACCACCGCACAGGTGCTTCTACAACATTCTGCTGGCGGGAGTGGGCAGGGCCACAGCCAATGGTGTGGAGTGCAGTGGCGTGCATGCCTCCCTCTCCAGACTCCCCCTTGCGTCCCGGCTTCCCAGGGCCGCACCCTGCCTGTGGCCCTGGGTACGACCCAGAGGCACCACTTTGTGACTTGAGCCAGCCCCCAACCCCGCACACATGGCAGCACCCCAGGCCTGGCGAGGGGGACTGCCCTCCAGTGCATACCCTCCTCATCCCGTCTTGGGCAGCCTGCCAGCCTAGCTTGTTCCTGCAACCCTGGCCCTGGGTGCCAGGGGCATGGCCTGGGTCATCCGCTGGGCAGAGTCCACACCCTGGGGCCGTCTCCTGTCTACAGCCTGGTCAGCCAATGGGCAATCAGAGGCAGCACTGAAGGGCAGAGCGAGGCCAGTAGAGACCTGCATGTCCCCGGGCTGTGCAGGGTCTCTGGGGAGGGGGAGCTCTCCAGGGGTCGGGCAGGGGTCTGCAGGGGCTATCACCAGACTCGGTTCCCAGTGCCCTGGCCCCACCCACTTCTGGGCTTTGGCTGAAGGGCACCTGTCCCTGCTGGTCCAGCCCTGAGGGGTTGTCCCCTGCCCTCCACATCCAGGGCCCAGACCCGAGCCCCATCTTGGGGCTCCCCACGACCCATCCACGTACACAGGAGGGTCCCCCAGTAGCTCCAGCCGTTCTTGTGGTCCCCCGGTGTGTGAGTGTATCCCCACTGCTGTTTACCCCCCGGCCCGGCCCCCACCCAGCTTCCCCAGTCACCTGCTGCCTGCTCTCCAGCCCAGGGGCCCCTGGGGCTCCCCTTTATTCAAACCAAACCCACTCCTCAGAACCCAACACCCCCATCCCAGCCTGGAAGCCTTCTCAGGGAGCCCTTTCTCCCCTGTGTCAGGGCGCTCTGTCTTCCCTATGTTGGGGTGTCCTGTCTCCCCAGTGTTGGGGCACCCTGCCCCCAGTGTTGGGTCAGCCTGCTGTCACCTGGGTTGGGGCACCCTGTCTGCAGTATTGGGGCACCCTCTCCTCAGTGTTGGGGTGCCCTGCTGTCACCTGGGGTACCTTGCAGTCAGACAGGGAGAAGAGGTGGTGGCTGCTGGCGGGTGGCGGGTGGGCGGTGCGGCTCCAGCAGGGGCTTGGCCCGGGGTTGCAGGGGGTCAGGCAGAGCGGTCCTAGCACCTAACCCAGGCCCCCCACAGGGCTCCCCGGCACCAGAGCTCCTCCACCCCACCAGGCTCAGGTTCTTCTGCCGCCTCCCACAGGGAGACCTAGGAGCTGGTGGGGGCACTGGCCCATTGTGACGGGGGGGGGGGGAGGGTGCCACCTGCCACTCTAAGACTGCAAGGGCGGGCTCCTCCCTCCCTATCATGGCCCCGGGGGCAGCACACACCCTTCCCACCACCTAAGCGGCCACAGGGCTGGTCCTGGGCTGGTGGCCATGGTGGGAGCAGCTGCCCTGCTGCCGGGGCCTCTGGCAGATGTGCCTGCCTCCCGCCAGGGTCCTGCGGGGGTGGGGGAGTGGGGAGGGTGTCAGGTCTGGACATTGGGGTGCTGGGCAGGCCCTCTGTCCCCACTGGCCGCCTCAGAGGGACGGGAGGGTCACTGGCGGAGCTTCCCGGATCGCCGGCCCACAGTATCCAGGAAGAGGAGGAGGAGTGGTCCCTAGGGCGCAGGCTGTGCCGGGGCTCCACTGCCCGCCGGCTGCCCGCTAGCTGGGGGAGGGCTGCCAGAACGCTCTGCCCTCGCCTCAACAGTCTCCTCCAGCTAATGGGACTAAGCGGCAGGTGCCTCACCCCAGGGTGCGGGGGAGCAGGTGCGGGCAGCGAGGGCCAGGGCCCGTGGCATGCGGGGGAGGGGCAGAGCCTAGTTTGCAGGCACCCTCCGTGCTGCCATCTGTCAGCCCGGCCTCTGTCACCACCCCCAGCCCTGACTCAGCCCTGCACCCCCTGGCTGCTCCTCTGTCCCAGGAGCCCTGCTGGGCCAGGGCCTCAGGAAACCCAGCTCTCTCAGCCCGGCCTGGCTCCCGCACCCCTCCAGCAGGCGCAGGGCCCCTGCCCACGACCTGTGCCCACACCAGGCCACGTCTGATTCACCCTGTCGCTCACAGCTCCCAGGGCAGCTCCTGGCATGGCGAAGGCACTGGCACAGGGCAGGTGTGGGGAGCCCCTCTGTGGAACTGGACGCTGCCCCCCAGCCCACTGGGGTCCCTGCCCCAGGACGGCCTCCTGCACGCTGGCTGCCAGGGCACCAGGGCTGGCCCTGGACATGCCCCATGTCGCTGGGCCCTCCAGGGGACCCCACTCTGCACCCCACCTCAGGTGGGGGCCCAGAAGCCAGCCCTGCCTGACCCAGGGACTGTGTGCCCAGCACTCCCTCCCCCAAGGTTCACGCGGGCCAGCCGCGCTCGGCCTCCAGGGGCACAATGGGCTTCCCACAGACTTGCCCAGGGTCTGGCAGGTCTGGACCCTGGGCCCCACAGACCCCCTCCCTTGCTGCAGCGACGCGCAGGTGCGGCAAGCGAACGTGCGAGCGATGCGTGCAGGATATCAGCGCGGACGCGAAGCCCCTCCCGGCCGCCCTGCGGGGTCCCAGGCCCCGCGCCCGCCCCTACCTCTGGCCCACGTCGCTGCCCACGGAGCCCCCGCCCGGGGCCGGCAGCAGCGGGCTGAGCCCGTGCGGCTCCTCGGGGGCCGTGGCGCCGGCCGGGCCGCCCCCGGGGCCCGCCTTGCCCTCGGACGGCGAGCGCGGCAGCTTGGCCCGCGCCATCCTGCGGGAGCGCACGGCGCGGCGGCGGCTGGAGCGGCGGGGGTGGCGCCGGGCGCAACCATCTCTCCGCGCGCGCGCGCTCCCCGAGCCGCCGCAGTGGAACGGCCGGGGCGGGGGTGCCGGGAGGGTGGGGGCCCGCAGCGCAATAAGGACGGGCGCACGTTGGGGGCAGTGGCAGGTTACCCGCCTTCGGACCAGGAGCTGCTGGGACGGGGGAGGGGGCGCCATCCATGGTTCTTACCAACTGCGTCCTAGGTGCCCCCCACCCAAAAGGGCACCCCTTCTGTCCTGCCCTGGGCGGCGGGCACCAGTTGGCCCGGTGTGAGTGCTCCGGGGGTTGGGGTGGGGGCTCAGTCTGCAGCCCCCCAACCCTGTGCCCCGAGCCAGCACGTGGTGGTGGAGGCTTGGTCCCCAGCGGCCCAGTGCCAGGCAGCAGTGGTCTGCTCTGGACGCAGGTGAGGTCTCCCAACTCAGCAGGTGCGTGTACCTCTGTGGTCTCCGCAGAGTTGGGGACCAGAGGCACTGCGGAGCAGGAAGGACCAGACTGTGGAATCGAACCCAGGCCCTGCTGGCTTAGACCCTCCAGGGGTGACTGCCAGTGTGGGAGAGGCTGAGTTCCTGGGCTGAGCTGAGCGGCCTCACTGCTGGTTCCCTCCCCGTGCTGCTCATGCTGATGGACACTGCCCCTGTTCCCTTGGCGCTGGGAGGCCAAGGTCAGAGGTTGGCGGCGACGACAGCCAGCGCCTTGGACCAAGCACGTGTGCCAGCAGAGCGTGGAAGAGCTGCTGGTGGCTGCAGGGGTGGGTCAGGAGCCCAGCAGCCTCCTTGACGCCTGGGCAGGGCCCCAGCCCCTCCTCCCTGTGCCGCGGCCCAGGCTGTGGGTTCTAGAGAGCAGGGCAGAGGGCCAGCTTCTAGGGGCCACAGAAATGCCGTGCTGTGTACTTCCTGCAGCCACGGGAGCCAGAGCGTGTCCTGTGGGCTCAGGTCAAGCGCCCCAGCCAGGGCAAACCCCCACTGGTGGGGTCATCTGGGTGGGGTGCGGGACAGGGTCATGACCCTGTTGCTTGAGGACACCTACAGGCAGGTGGGGATCCTGAGCAAGGAGCCAACGTGGTGACAGTGACCCCACCCCAAGGGCCAACACGGGCCAGCAGTGCCCACTCGCGGGAATGTGCCCTGCTGGGTCAGGTTACCAGGCAGCTGTCAGGGTAGGCCACAGGCTCAGCCCCCGGGTGTGGGCAGCGGGTCCTGAGTGAGAGGCCTCCCCCCAGCCCTTCCTGGGCTTGCCCTCATGGGTCAGGTGGGCTGAGCACCCCCAGCCCAGACAGCGCTGAGCCGGGTGCAGGCCCTCAAGGGCCTTGGCAGTGGGCCTCAGCACCCCCAACCCACTGGCCGCCTCTTGGCACCCCCTCCTGATGCACTGCCAGGGCACCAGGAGCAGGTGTGGCCATACACTAAACCGTTGGCCAGGGAGGTCCAGGCGACCTCAGCTGCGCCCTCTAGGGGCTCTGCTCGGCGGTGAATGGTCATGTGGCAGCGGGGCTCTCCCAGTGACCTGGCCACCGACCCAGCTCCCCACACTCCACCCACAGATAATTGGGGAAAGGCCCAGCACTAAGTGGGGTCACCTGACCCGGCAGCACTGTGTGCCTGGGCTGCCCATGCCAGACAGGGTGCCACAGAGGCTGCCAGGGCCCCTGGGGAGCTCTTGGGTACACTGAGGCCCTGGGGCCCTCTCCCTTATCAAGCGTGAGGCCACCCCCCCAGCCCGGCTCAGTGCAGCCATGGGCGGGGCTCCCACCTCCGACAGTCGATGACGAGGCTGGCACAGGTGGCCTGGGTGAGAAAGGTGGCGATGGGAGGAGCTCTTGGACCTGGGACAGTGGGGCCATCAAGGTACGTGTGGTGAACTGACCCTCTCCTGCGCCCTCACACCTGGAGTGCACGCTCGGTGGGCCTGGCAACCCCACCTGTCCTTCATGCCCGCCCAGGACCAGACGCGGGCCAAGAGGGCCCCGAGAGGGCTGGCCAGCACATGCCTGTCCCTACACCACAGTAGTCTGGGAGACTGGAGAAGGTGGGGGTGCCCCCAGCAGGTAGGGACTTGTAGGGAGCCCAGGTGCTCAGCTGGTTGTCTAAAGGCCACTGGGCGGTGAATTCATGCTTGTTACAGGACAATGGTACAAACCCACGTGGGCACCTGTCATACGGACAACTCCCCCAGGCAGACGCCCTGGCCAACAGCAGGCTCCGATGCCAGCTGCTGGGTCTCTGGCAGAAGCAGAGCCATGGAGTCTCTTGAGGTGGCCACTGCCTGCTGTCCAACACGGGAGGCCTCTGTGACCAGATGGGTGCCCATGCGCAGGAGACATGGGCACTGCGGGCCCTGACACGGTGCCCGCCAGGCCCCCAGTGAGCCGTCTCCTGCTGCAGACTGCCCGGCTGAAGCCACGCGGTAACTGGCCTCCAGCTGTCCTGCCCCTGCCCTGAGTGGAGCGGGGACCGGGCGCGCACTGACAAACCCGCTGTGCCCAGGGCAGGGTGTGGATCCTGGCACATGCTGACCCTGGTGCCCGCTGACCACGGGGCGCCCGCTGTGGCGTCTGCGGGGGATTCTTCTGAAAGCTCAATTTGTGTTCTGACAGTTTCCAGTCTAAGTGCTCCACGGGGGAAACGGGAACCACTGCATGGGGCGGGGGTGGGAGGTGCAGGTTGGCCCGGGACCCAGGCGGGCAGGAGAGCCGCCCAGACCCGCCGCGCACGCGCCAGCCGGGGGCTGCCAGGGCCCGTGTTTACCGAGCCGGCTGTTTGCGGAGAAGCGCTGCCCGCGCGCTCGGTGCAGGGCTTACCGCTCTGCACGCGATCCGCCCGCCCTTCACCAGAGCTCCGGCCGCGGGCGCTCAAGGGCACAGCCCCTGGGAGAAGCCATGAAGCCGCGGGCGCCCGGGCGCTCTCCAGGTCCCCAGGGCTGCGGGCCGGGGGCCGCAGCAGAGCCGAAGGCCCGACCCCACAGGGCTCCCCAGCCACGGCTCCCTCCCCGTCACGCGTCACGCGCCTGGCCCCGGCCCCACCCCGCGAAGTTGGAGGGCGCGGGGCGCGGCCTCCAGCACCGCGGACAGCGGCGGGTGGTCCTTACCTGTCGTCGCTCGGAGGGGGCTGCTCGCCCAGCAGCAGGTCCCGGAAGCGGTAACGGGGCGGCAGGGGCAGCACCTCCGAATCCCTGTCGCTCATCTTGCGCCCGCGGCCGAGTCCAGGAAGCTTCCGCGCTGGCGCTGGGCCTCCTGCGGGCACAGGCGGGTGGCGGGCACCCCTCGGCCGCGGGCACCCCCGCCAAGGCACGCGCGCCTCGCTCCGCCCCTCCCGCCGGCCAGCAGGTGCCCCCCGCCGGCCCTCTCCCCTTCCTGCCCGTCCCTGTCAAGCCTTCCGCAGCCTCAGCCCCCTCCCCAGTCTCCAGGCACCCCCTGCCCACTGCCACCTGCAGATCTTGACTATGCCCCACTGTGTGTGTGTGTGGGGGGGTTACCAGGCACCAGCCACTCTGGCCCTGCAAAGCTTAGTAGCCCCAGCCATTGTGACCCCCGGCTGGCCAGCCTGGGCACCTGCAGGCTGGGTGGGGGACAGGGCTCACCCCAAAGCAACCCCAGTGCTTGATGGGGGACCAGGAGGCTCCCAAGTGGCCTCTGTCCTCACTGCCCTGGACCCCTACCCGACCCTGCAGCGCCAGGACCACAGTCCTGGGCCAGGCTGCTCAGGGCTGGGGGCTCCAGAGGCAAACTCCCCTCCTCGAGTCCCCAGTCAGTGTTCAGGAGGGGCGTGCAGACAGCCCGGGTCCCTGGGGGTCCTGGCCAGGCCGCGCGGGCGTCTCCCAGGCTCCTGTGCCTTTCCTGTCCCTGTCTCCACCAGGCTGGCTTCGGCCACGGTCACACCCACACTGCCAGCAGAGCCACGTCTCTGGGCCCCCGGGGCAGCAGCCGGACCACCCAGAGCATCACCAGCACCTGTCGGGGGCAGCCGACGCCCCATGTGGCAAGCAGAGGGGGCTGGGGCTCCGCGGGGTAGAAGCCTCAGGCTAGCACCCCGGCTCGGTCCTGGTCATGACTTGACTGTCCCCCAGCAGCCCCTGCAGGACGCATGTGGGGGCACTTCTCCCTGCCCTCCTGGAGCCTGTGCCCCAGGGCTGGGCATGTCCCCCCAGCCCCTTAACAGCAAAGACCCCGCCTGGGAAGGGTGACCCCCTCATGGTCCTGCCAGGGGCGTGCTTGAGGCTGAGTCTCCCTGGTTTCTTCCAGGCTGGGGGTGTGGGCAGGTGCCGAGGGTAGGGGCTCCCCCTGCCCTGACCACGCGTGTCCTTGAAGAAGTGACCAGCACAAGGGCAGGGTGGGGGTGCAGAAGCCAGCGTCGGAGCCTGCTGACCACGCTCGGCTCCCTGCCATGTGGAGGGCTGGGGGGGCACTCAGCGGGGCCCCAGGTCACAGTGGCCCTAAGCAGCCCTCCCGGCCCTTCCTCGCGCAGTGTCCCCACAGCTCCCACCCGTGGTGAGCGGCAGGTGCTGGTTGAAGCACTTCCTCCAAGGGCTAGGGGACCTGCAGTGACTGTCCAGGAAGTGTTTCGAGTGGCGGTGTGGGCCTTGTCCCTGCCACTGCCCTCCCATCTCAACAGGTGGCTCAGGCTGCACAGAGAACGCTTCTACTGGCGTGCTGCTGTGGCTTCCACCGCCACGTCCCTGCCCACTGTGTGTCCTTGCCATGTCCCTGTCCACTGTATGTCCTTGTCCACTGCAGCCCCTGCCCCACACCCGGTTCTGGTACCTTGGCCTTGAGGCGCAGTCTGGGCACTGGGTGTCCCTAGTCCCTGCAGGCGGCCAGGGACAGGGGACAAATTGCCCATCCCCTCAGGCACTGCTGTGGCAGCTTCCTCCCTGGCCCAGCAGGGCCACAGCCCATGTGGACACTGCCCAGGGACCAGGGCTCCCGGCGGTCTGGACCACAGCCTGGTGCAGGAGTGGCAGGGCTGACGAGCTGCTCCCGCATGGGGGCGCACTGCAGTGACCCCCCCAGCACAGCAGGGGGGACTGGCGGCTCCTCCAGCAGGGCCTGGGCTCTTTGTGGGAGAAGGGGGCACAGCTCACACCTCACCCCCTTCGCACAGCCACCTCCCCACATGACCCAAGGGCCCTGGGGGAAGTCGGGGACCCCGAGGCCACACTTGGCCAAGCCACAGGGCCTGAAGTGTGGCTATACTCAGACTTGGAGTGCCAACCTCTGCCAGTCCCTCCCCACATGGCCACCCAGCCTGGACTGAGCGCTCTGCCAAGCCTTGGACAGCTGCAGCACCTCATGCGCCATGGCTTGAGGCTTGGCTGCTGGAACTGGGGCCACGGCGGGGCCGCAGAAGGGCTGCGAGAAAAACAGGTCAGTTGGCAAGGCACCGGGGCAGGGGGCCTCTGCCAGCAGCCAGTGCCCACAGCTGCCCTCCAGAGACGAGGCCACGCCCCAAGACGTCAGATGGTCCCATCGAGAGGTGGGCCCTGGGGACACCTCGAGCCTCCTCTCACACGTCCCTGGCTGGCATGGGATCCCCGCACCAGACCCAGGACTCGGGCGCCAACTGGTTATCTCTGGGGGTGTCAGCCAGCCACGGGCATCTGGCGGAGAGATGGATGCCCGTCCCCATCATGGTGTCAAGCCAGGCATAAGGCTGGCAGGAGGTGCTGGCAGCCAGAGCCGGGGTGCAGGGGCCTGGCACCCCACAGACGCAGCACCAGACAGGAGGAAGGGCTGAAGAGTGGTCAGTGGGAGTGGCAGCTGTGACCCCCGCCACCCACACAGGGTGGGACAAGCTAGGCTCTGGCCGAGATGGGACCCGGAGGGGTGAAGCAGGTGTGAGCTGAGGGATCCGCCCCCCAGGGCTACCAACGGCACAGCAGGAGAGGCGCCAGAAGCGGGCACAGCAGGAGAGGCGCCAGAAGCGGGCAGACGGGCGGCCTGCAGGAACTGTTTTATTTGAAAAGCAGTGTTAGAGAACTCCCACGTCGGCTGCAACGGCGGGGCTGGGCGGGACTGGTGCTGGGAGCCAGGGGCTCCATCCGGGTCTCCCAGGCAGGTGCAGGGCCCGAGCATTCAGTTTCTGCTGCTTTCCCAGTGGCGTTAGCGGGGAGCTGGATGAGAAGTGGAGCAGCCGGGACTTGAACAAATCCCAGATGAAGCTCGACCCGCTCTGCCCTAGTGCCAGCCCCTGGAGCAGCTGATGACATGACAGTGGTACCCTCCTCCATGCCACGTCTCTGCAGGGACACCCGGGCATGTGTGCGGGCACAGCCTCACTCAAAGCAGACCTTGCAAAGAGCCGGACATCCATTAAGCCGGGCCTGGCCGAGGCCACGCCCCAGGCTGCTGTGCGCGAGCAGCTCCCCTAGGGCCCGCGTGAACACAGCACTGCCAGAGCAGGAGGCACCTTAATGGTACTTATCGCCAGCCCACCGTCAACCATCACCTCCGCACAAACGCTCCCCCCACATCACCTCCCTGCAAATACTCCCCCCAGCACTGCCTCCCCACTCCACGCCGCCCCACAGGCTCCCCTACCCACAGCAGAGGCTCCAGGACTGGCCAGGAGTGGGCAGTGGCCTTCTGACCACACAGGGTACCTCTGTTGGCAGCCACCTGCATTACGAACACCAAGAACACAGGCCTGGGGCCCCCACCCCAGCCCCCGACGGAACCAGTCACGGCTGCCTGATCCTGGAGGGGAGTCTGCCCCTTGGGGTGGGCATGGAAGGTCAGGGAAGAACACCAGGGTCCCTTTCGGAGTTCACTCAGGGCCAGCAGTGGCTAAGCAGATTAGGCTCACGTGCAATGCTGGTTTGAGTCCCAGCTGCTCACTTTCCATCCAGCTCCCCGCTTGTGGCCTGGGAATGCAGAGGAGGACGGCCCTGACTCTTGGCCCCGGCACCCATGTGGGAGACCTGGAAGAAGCTCCAGGTCCTGGCTTGGGGTGGCTCAGCTCCGGCCGTTGCGGCCACTTGGGGAGTGAACCAGCGGCTGGGATCTTCCTCTGTCAGTTTCCCCTCTTTGTAATTCTGCCTTCCAGATGAACACATCACCGCGCACCCGGGCTTAGGGGTGACCCCTCGCCTGTGTAGGCTGAGCTGCCCAGCAGCGTGAAGGGGACACGGCTCTCGGCAGGTCAGACACGCGCACTCACAGATGGGTGCAGAGACACCCTGGTGCGTGTCTGTGTGAGCGTGGGCAGCCTGGCCAGTGCCAGGCAGGGTCCGAGCGTGCCCCGGGCCGGGTGCCAGCCAGAGAGGAGCCGCAGAGCCTGGCTGCTGACCTCGGCAGAAAAGCCCAGTGCTTCCGGGGCTGTGTGTGGGCGGGCGTCCCCAGGTGACACCAGCCGTGCGATGTGGGCGGGTGGCAGCTGCCACATCTGTTGAGAGGCATCCGGGCTCACAAGGGAGCTCTGTGCACACGGGTGGGGCGATGCCAGCGGGAACGGCAGGCGCTGGGTCCCAGGCAGCCCACCCTACGCGGGGGCGGGCCTCTCAGCTGCTGACAGTGCCCACTGGCCACCAGCCTGAGCTGCCAGGATGCACGGCCCGAGGGTGAGGTGTGCTGGGCGGCATTGGTGCCTCTGTAGTCCAGATGCCCTTGGAGACACTGGGCTGGGCTCGGGCTCTGGCCCCGAAGACCCAGGCCCCCAGCCTGGACCCCGGTCAGCCCTGTTGGGCCACCCCAGGGCCCTGGCTCTGCCCAGGGGTCAGCAGGTGGCCAGAACAGGTGCCAAATCCCTTGGACCCCAGGCTCCGGGATCCAGAACCCCCACCCAGCGATCTCTGATCCCTCCAGTGACCCTCGAGAAGGGGCCTCCACAGCCACGGCTCCCAGCTCTGAAAACCCAAGTGCTTGCACCACGGACTCAGCTCAGGGAGCAGGGGTGCAGACAGGGGGCCCCGCCTCCCGGGCCTCCCCCCATACTCCCTCCTGCTGCCAGTCTTGAGATGACACCTTTCCCTTCCTGCCCTGCCCCTGTGCGCCTGCGGGCCGTGCTGCTGGCCACCCAAGGCAGTGTCCCCTGGCTGTCCCGCCCTGCCACAGGACGACACCCCAGGCTGCAGGGCGGAGCGCGGTGGCGGCAGCGCGGGCCCACACCCGGTGGCCTGTGCAGACTCAGCCCTGCCTGGGGACACTGGGGCCACCATGTCTCCTCGCACGTGCCGCACAGCCTCTGAGGCAGCAGAGGGCCAGGCCGCACGGAGCCCAGCCCCGGGCAGCCGGGATGTGCATGACCTCAGGGTCACGCAGGCTGCTGGCGCCCCCAGCCCAGCCCGCCCGATGCCCCGCGGCTGTCCCTCTGCCAGCCAGCGCCGTGCTGATGCTGGGGCCTTCAAGCCCTTCCCACGGCCAGGGCAGCGCGCTGTCCCCTAACACGGGCCTCTGGCCAGCACAGGCCCTGGCCGGGGCCAGACCCACACGCGGGGCAGCGGGCAGGCAGCGCCCCGGGGAGGGGTCCAGGGCGGGTCACTGAGGCCACGTGCCTTCCTGTGTCCCTGGCTGCGGGCCCGTGGCTAAGCCTGGGGTCACAGCGCTGCGCCCTGGACCCCAGAGCAGCGGGACGGGCCTTCCCGACGGGCCGTGCTCAGGCTGCGGCCCCCAGGGTCGTGGGCGCGGGACCCCAGCCCACCCGGAGCTGCGCGAGCCGCCCCCCGCCGGGGCAGGACTCACCAGCTTCTGGCACCTTCTGTAAGCGGGGGGCCTGGTGAGCTGGGGGCACTCCCGGGGCGACGGCGGAGCAGGCCGCGGGGCAGAGGGGGCGTGCGTGGGGAACAGGGGCGCACGTCGGTGGGCGGGGCACGCGTCGGTGGGCGGGGCGCACGTGTGTGGGGCGGGGTGTACGTCGGTGGGGCGGGGTGTACGTCCATGGGGCGGGGCGCACGTGTGTGGGGCGGGGCACGCGTCGGTGGGCGGGGCACGCGTCGGTGGGCGGGGCACGCGTCGGTGGGCGGGGCGCACGTGTGTGGGGTGGGGCGTACGTCGGTGGGGCGGGGTGTACGTCCATGGGGCGGGGCGCACGTGTGTGGGGCGGGGCACACGTGTGGGGCGGGGCGCACGTGTGGGGCGGGGCGCATGTCCTGTGCCGACCAACCAGAGCTCACGCAGCGGCTGCAGGAGGACGCAGCGTGGACGCAGCGTGGCGTGCGTGGGCCAGTGCCGTGTAGTGGCTCGCACCATGGCGTCTTGGAGTCCGGAACCCGACGCGGGAGCCCCGTGCTTTTCTGTCTTCCGGGGGTGCAGGTGAGCGGCTGAGGCCGTGCCCGCGCTGCCCGGGCGCTGGGCTCCGGGTGACCCAGGCCTGTCCTCCCGCAGCTCCCCGAAGACCGCCTCCGGGCTCCTGGTGGCCTTCTCGGGGCTCGTGGAGCCCCGCGCGCCCGGCCGGCTCAGCAGCGGCTCCTCCGCGCGCGGCGTTTCCACTTCGGAGGGTGCAGTGTCCGGCGGGGCCGCCGCGGCCAAGGGTCCCTGCGTGGGCCTCCCGCGGAACGTGCTCAGCGAGAGGGAGCGCAGGTGGGCGCTGCAGGCTGCGCGTGGACCTGGGCGGGGGGCCGAGGTCGGTGGTGGTGCTCGCCTGGGGTGGGCCACGGGACAGACCATGGAGCAGGTCACGGGGCGGACCTTGGGGCAGGACACGGGACAGACCTCAGGGACAGGCCACGGAACAGGCCACGGGGCAGACCTCGGGACAGGCCATGGGACAGACCTCGGGGCAGACCACGGACCGGCCATGGAGCAGGCCACGGGGCGGGCCTCGGGGCAGGCCACGGGACAGACCTCAGGGACAGGCCACGGAACAGGCCACGGGGCAGACCTCGGGACAGACCACGGGACAGACCTCGGGGCAGACCACGGACCGGCCATGGAGCAGGCCACGGGGCGGGCCTCGGGGCAGGCCACGGGACAGACCTCGGGGCAGACCACGGACCGGCCATGGAGCAGGCCACAGGGCAGACCTCGGGGCAGCCCACGGGATAGACCACGGGACAGACCTCGGGACAGACCTCAGGGACAGACCATGGGACAGGCCACGGGGCAGACCTCAGGGACAGGTCACGGGACAGACCACGGGACAGACCTCGGGGCAGACCACGGACCGGCCATGGAGCAGGCCACGGGGCGGGCCTCAGGGCAGGCCACGGGACGGGCCACGGGACAGGCCACAGGGCAGACCTCGGGGCAGCCCATGGGATAGACCACGGGGTAGGCCACAGACCGGCCATGGAGCAGGCCACAGGGCAGGCCACGGGACAGACCATGCATGGGCCTGGGTGGGGTGCCGAGGTCAGTGGCAGTGCTCTCCTGGGGCAGGCCGTGGAGCAGGCCACGGGGTAGCCCACGGGGCAGCCCACAGTCCCCCGCTCAGGCGCGCCTTGTCCTGCGGCAGGAAGCGCATCTCGGCGAGCTGCGAGCGGCTGCGGACCTTGCTGCCGCAGTTTGAGGGCCGGCGCGAGGACATGGCGTCGGTGCTCGAGATGGCCGTGCAGTTCCTGCAGCTGGCCCGGCGCCTGGCGTCCGGCTGGGAGCAACCTGGCGTGAGTGGGCGCATGGCCCGGCCCGACCAGGGTCTCCCCGTGGGCCACCCCCCCACACCCCATTTTCCCTGTCCTCCTCAGGGCTGGTAGTCCCCCCAGATCCTGTGCATGGGGTCCCCAGGCTCTGCCGGCGTTGGGGCACATCTGGGTCCTCTCCAAGATGAGCTCGGCTCTACTGGCTCCCTGCACGTTGGGCAGCCGAGCTGGCCGTGGCACCGCAGGTGGTGGGGAGTCCCTGGTCCTCTGCCAGCCTCCTGCCATGCCATGCCTTGTCGGCGTCCAGCTGGTGTCCGGCTGGGTTCTTGGGTGCTGCGGGGGTGGGGGGGACTGGGGTGTCACCAGCTGTTTTCTGTGTGTAGACACTGCAGCTTCCCGTCTCTGCCAAGGACGCGTGGAGCCCATGGTGCCAGAGCATCCGGCACCTGACCCTGGCCAGCCAGAGCCCAGCCGCCAAGCCCAGCTCCGAGGCGGACGCTCCCGGCGACACCTCGTCAGTGCCTCCTGGGGCCCTCCCTGGGACAGCAGCAGGGAGGGCGGTCCCAGCAGTGGCAGGGTGCAGGCTTGGGCCCATCCCTGGCCCTGGCGCTCTGTGCAGGCCGCCGGGTGGCGGGGCCTGTGACTGCATGTGGCGTTCCTGGGATGGAGGGGCTGAGGAGACTTGGCACTGGGAGGGGTCGGTGGGCAGTGGGCGGTCCAAGATAGGGTGCTATGTCAGGGAGGCAGGCAGGGCTCCCCCGGGTGCTCAGCACCCCGTCACGTGTCTAGGCGGCAGGACCCGCACCTGGATGCAGTGCTGGGCACAGAGGAGAGTAAGGCCACACCGGGCCTGGTGAAGGGGCTGGACGTGCTGTCCCCCAGCCCCGGTGAGTGTCGTCGGCTGGGCTGGCATGGGAGCCGTGCTTTGGGTGGTAGGGGTGGGGAGCTTGGCTGTCCAGAGCTGTGAGGTTTGGGGGGACCCCAGGGTCAGGTATGGGGTTTGCGCTCCCCAGAGGCTCTCAGGAACTGGGGTGTAGGGAGGAGCTGAGGGCTACGGGCATCTTGCAGGGAGATTTCCCCTCACCCCCAGATTGCCGGGTCCAAACCGGCCATGGTCCCAGGGCTGGCCCCCAACCCCTCTCCCTGGGCCTTTGGTTTAGGGGGCAGGGCAGGGGTGACCTACCTGCCTTGGTCTCTCTGCTGCCCCTGCCCCAAGGCCTGACTCCTGGCCAGCCACCGAGGCCCGCACCCTGGCAGCCCAGCTTGGGGCAGCTGGCTTCCTCCGAGGCGAGGGAAGAGGCCCCGGGTGTGCAGGGCCCGGCTGGGCAGTCGCTGCGGGCCAGGGGTGCTGCGTCTCCAGGGAGAAAGGCTGAGGAGGCCGAGCTGGCCCTGCCGCGCGTGCCCAGTGCCAGGTGCGTCTCCCCGCGGCGGGTGTGTGAGAGTGCCTTTGCATGCCACCTGGCCGTCTTAGCTGGGTGGGCACGGGCTGTCATATGGTGTGGCCCGCACGGTGGGTTTCTGGCCTCCATGGCTGTGGATGAGTGGCTGCTGAGCTGGCCCTGGGGACCGTGGTGGGGCGGGGCAGAGAAGGTAGGGCTGCGGGGTGCCCCAGGGGGACCCTGCAGGCCACTCGGACCTGCTCTTCTCTAGGTCTGTGCCAGGCCCAGATGTTGAGGAGGGGTCGTCCTTCCTGCTGACCGCTAGCCCCGACTGGTGGCTGGGTGAGTGGGGGGCTGTGTCCAGGCCCCGTTTGCTGTGTGTCCTGGCAGGGCGAGGAGAGAGTGGCTGCAGACAAGTGTGTGAGCCAGCGTGCTGGCCAGCGGGGTGCTGGCTGCCTGAACCTCGGGGTTGGGGCGTCCTGTGGGGGCCGCCCGCCTCGACAAGGGCCTCTGGGAAGGCAGGGTGGCCGCGGGCGGGCTTGGTGACTGCTGTGTTTGTTCGCAGGGTCCCTGGATAACAGAGGCCGTGGTGCCCCCAGCTGGGCGGCATCTAGGAGCAGCCTGGTGCCTGGGATGGAGCCAGGCTTCCCGAGCGACCCAGAGCCTGGTCCTGGCCCCCAGGAGCTCCCGGATGGCCCCCTGGAGCCGTGGGGCTCAGACGTTGGCGGCTTGGGCCTGGCCCTGAGGGAGGAGACAGACAGCATTTTCCCCGACTTCCTGGTCTGTTAGTGGCCGGGCCCTGCCCACCCAGACACCCTCAGTTCCATACTGTGGGTCCCGCCCAGCTGGACCCCTCTGCCCCCACTCCACCAGCTCTGGCCGGGCCCTGCCCACCCGGACACCCTCAATTCCAGCTGGACCCCCTGCCCCACGCCACCAGCCCTGGCCGGCCCTGCCCACCCAGACACCCTCGATTCCAGCTGGACCCCCTGCCCCACGCCACCAGCCCTGGCCGGCCCTGCCCACCCAGACACCCTCTATTCCAGCTGGACCCCCTGCCCCACGCCACCAGCCCTGGCTGGCCCTGCCTTCTGGCCTGAGCAGCAGGTTATTAAAGGTGAAGCTGTGTTGCCCAGACACGTTGCTGCTGTGTGTGGTGTGAGCAGCCCAGACAGGTGGCCTCCGCACTGGTCCTTGCCATCATGGTATCTTGGGTCCCTACGGAGCCCAGCCCTGCGTGGGGCAGCAGATCTTAGGGTCCAGTGGATGGTCTGGGCCACTGTCTTCCCTGCATAGGGTCCTGACCCCTCCCCCAGCCCACCTGGGGTCCCAGCTCTCAGTGCAGGCTGCACAGGTGGGGCCAGTCCCGTGTGCGTGAGGAGACCCAGCCCTCCCAGCAGAGGCAGCCAGGGGCTGTCCTGTGCCCCGGTCTAGAGACCCCAAACCCAAGGTCAGCCCGTCTTCAGGGCCAGATCATAGGATGCAGTATGGGCTTGGAACTGCTGCCCTGGCAGCCCCCCACTGCCCACCATGTAGATTTGGGAGGTGTCTCAGGAGGACCCCGAGCACCAGCGGTGGGCTTGTCCTCAGGATCCTGTGCCCCAGGGGTCTGGCTGTGGCCTCTGCCGTGTCTTCGCCTACCCACCGGCCTGCTGGCATGCATGCTCCTGGCAGGGTGTGTGTGGGTATGCCAGTCCACAGCACTGTATGGCCTTGTGCCCACCACGTGCTCCTGGCAGGGTGTGTGGGTGTGCTGACAGAGCCAACACTGTGGCCTTGGCACGCCCACCACGTGCTACTCGCTGGAGTAGCAACTGCCCCCCCCCCCGAAAAGCAGGACCCAGCCACTGCCTGGTGGACACAGCGTCCAGGGAGGTTAGGGGCTGGGCAGCAAGCTTGCCCTCTGGAGGGAGCTGTATGCTGCCTGGATGCCCACCACACCTGGGCTGGGTGCATACCCCGGGCCTGTGTATGGGCTCCCAGCTCCATCTGGGCCTGGGGGTGGGAGGGTGGACCATGGGGTAACAGTCGGCCCTATTTCTTGTGGTCGGGCTGGGTGCCCATCAAGCCCTGGGGTGATGTTGCCCACAGCCCCTGCCAGTGGTGTGGGGTCGGTCTGTGTGTCCATGTGTTGCCAGGTGGTGCCGCTCAGGGACACTGCTGCCCTGGCTCCTTGGGGGCTGTTGTGTCTGAGACTGCCTTTGGAGAGCAGTGCCCAGGATTTGCCAGCCCATCCTGGGGGCTGCTGAGGGTGCCTGGGGTCTGCCAGCCCTGTCCTGAGGGTGCAGGGGGCACACGGAGGCTGCCGAGGGTGCCTGGGTCTGCCAGCCCTATCAGAGGGTGCTGAGGGTGGGGCAAGGCCGGGGCAGCAGTGACCCTGGTCGGATCCTGTATCTGGTGCCTGCAGTCTCTCCTTTGTTCTTCCCTGCTCTCTGCACTGCCAGGGCTGGTACCTGACAGCCTCTGGGGTTCCCTGTGAACTGGCTGTGTCACACACCCCTGCTCCCTGCTGTCCTGCCCTAGGCCAAGCAGGTACAGGCCTGTGGTGGCTGCAGCCCACACCTGTGTCAGGATGCTCGGCCCGTGTAAGGTGCACGAATGTGGGGGAGTCCAGCGTGGAACTCCACAGGCTCCTGGGGCTCACCTGTGCAGTTCCACCATCCTCGGGCTCACATGGCGCAGAGCTGTGCATTTGCCACCCTGTGTGGTCCTGCCAGAAGCTGTCCCTGGGGACAAGCCCTGAGGCTGGAGCTGCTGGGCGAGGCTGCCTGGGGCTTCACTCCTGTGGTGGGGAACAGTTGAACTGGTCCTGCCCACAGGCCAAGGGCTGGGCCGGGGCCGTGGTGCCGCTGGCTGCTGTGGGTGAATGCCCAGCACCTGCCCCTGGTCACCTGTTGGGGGTCCACCTGGTGTCCCCACAGGCTTCCCTGCACTTGCTCGCCCACCTCTGGCTGTGCTTGTGGGCTGCCATAGCCCCCTGCTTCCTGTGGCCCCTGCTAAAGGGAGGGACCCTGAGCCACAGGCTGACAAATGGATGTACCCTCCAACATTGGGCAGGCTGGCCAGCAGTGCCCAGGCTGAAGCTGGTAGTGGCGGGTGCTTCCCAGCGGCATGCCTGTGCCCTGCCTTGTGGGATGGGCCTGGCTGTGGGTTGCTGCTCTCACATCCACCTTGCTGTAGAAGACTGGAGTCCTGGGGCTCCTGGCAAGCCCTTGGGGCTGTGCTGGGCAGTCACGGGCATTGCCGCCCTCTTGCCATGCCGGGGTGCCTGGCCTCAGCTCCCATTCTTGTCTGTGGCTCCAGGAATGTGCCCCTGGGCTGTGGGTGCCGAGGGCTGCACCTCTTGCTGGGGTCCGTGTGATGGGTGTGGGAGACAGGAAGGTGTGTGGAGTACTGTTCCATTGCAGGCAGGGCCACAAGGAACTTCCCGCTGCATGGCAGGGCCGGGCGGATGTCTCTACGACACCTGAACGCAGCTCCGCCTCCCTTTGCATGGACACCGGACAACCCCGCTGAGTATTCTGTAATCTATTTAGGCATTGTCTGCCTCTGCAGAGTTACTGTTTAATATCAATGGGAGCTTGGAAGCTGATGTTGCTGATTCCGTTTTTAGCCAAAAAGCCTTTCATTATTGCTGTCACGGCTGCCCCCTTGACAATTTGCTGATCTAGGGTGCTCACTCCCCCTTTGACCATACGCTAACCAAGGGTGTTCCGTCCCCAGGTGCAGTGGAATCTATTCTTTCCCTCCTTCTTTGATCTTTAGCTCCTTCTGTGATGCATTTCCTCCCTTAGCTGATTCAAGACTAAGCCGTAGAATGAGGATTGTGGTAGGAATGTGTTACTGATTGACACACACGTCTATTGAGAACCTCCTGACCACCAGGATGGATAACGTCCTGCCTTAGGTGAAACAAAGGGCGGAATTATCCTCAGAAACACCCACTTGACCGTGACGTGGAGTCTGAGCAGAGTTTGGCTGGCTCTGTATACATAAAGCGGACAGCTTTCCCACATGGTCCAGGACGATCCTGGAATCCTGGTGGCCCATTCCTTTCCTCTTGAGGCCTGCTCCACGCACCCTTCTCGAGTTCCGAACTCGGCTGGAGCTGGACCCCGGCCCTGTGCCTGCCGTCCGGGTGGGTGCTGGCTCCTGCAGCGTCCAGCTGGAGGCCGTGAAGGTCAGTCATTCCTGTCACTGCAGATGGTGTGTCGCGTGGCCCTTGGGAGCCTCACGGGGAAGGTTGGTCATAGAGGACCCCAGGGGGCATGGACCTGCCATACCAGCTTCAGCCAGCGGCAGTGGCTTGCAACCCTGGGCTGTGTGGGCCAGGAGGCCCTGGGCTCATCTGTTCTGTTACATTGTCACCCAGCGTCCCCTTGCCTGCTCCCTGTCCCCTCCCTGCCCTCAGCGCGTCCCCGAGCCTGGTCGGAGGAGGGAGGACGCCAGGGCTCTGGCCCCGGCGCCTGGGCTGGGGAGCGTGGGGCTGTGTGCCTGGGGTGTGTGTGTGGTTGGTTGTGTTGGCTTCTGCGTGTACATGTGTCCAGCCAGGCCTGTTCCATCCGCAGTGCTCGGGGGGCCAGCAGAGACTGCACTCCCACAGGGGTGAGCCCACACTGCCCCCCAATTCTGCTATCAGACCCTCTCCTCTCTCTTGTTCCCCAAACCACGGAGGTGTCAGCCCCTACTCACACACATGTTGTGAACTTGTCTGTGGAGGACCCTCAGCTGTAACTCCTAACCTGGGCGTAAAAACTGCAGGTCGTCTCCCACGCCGCCTGTGTCATCCTGTCACCCCTGTAATCCGAGACCTCTCAAACTTGGGGCGGCCTGAGGGCTTCTGGGGGCACTCTCAGGGGAGGGGGCGGGAGTGGCCCCAGCCATGCCCTGGCACGGAGCGCCTATCTCTGGCCACAGGGAAGACGGTCAGTGCCAGCGAGACTGTCGTGGCCTACCAGGCAGACGAAAGACAAGTACACCCTGGACTGAGGGCCTGGGTTGGCGGGCACCGGTGGCCAGCCCCAGGTGGGAGTTGGGGGCGGGCACCCCCGGGTTGGATGAGCACCCCAGGGTCGGGCGGGCACCCCTGGGGCCCAGTGGCCCAACACTGAGGCAGCTCTGTTCCAGCAGACGGAGCCACAGCCAGCTCTGCCTGCTACAGGCAGTCCCTGACGGCTACCTGGTCAAGTACAAGCTGAGTAGAGGCATCAGCCCAGCAGGACGGCTGAGCTGCTGGGTGAGTGCCACCCACCGCCCTGGGAGGGGACCTGCAGGTAGAGCAGCCAGTGGCCAGGTTCCAGGCACGTCCACTCCTGCCACCTGCCTGCCTGGCCACACCCCTCTGCGCTCCCTGCAGGCTGCTGGGAGGGGAGCCCACTGGCTCCCCGGCTCTGTGGGGGTCCTTTGTTTCTGGACCGGTGGGGGTGACACTTCTTCCAGCAATGGCTATGTCCCTTCCTTGGCCCCCACCCTTCCCCCAGTGCCCCAAGTCCACATAGAAGCCAGACCAGGATGCTGGGAGCCCTGGGCCTCTGCCTGGGAGTCTCGGGCAACACCTGCTCCCTGCCTCCACCCCGTCTCCCGCAGCCATCCCTCCCACCCCTGGCTGGCAGGGCAGCCTGATAGCCCCAGTCTCATCCTGGCAGGGGCAGGGTGGGGCTGACAGGAGGAGGTGGCCTCCTTGCCTGAAACCCTGGGCTGCCTAGGGGGCCGGACTCTGGGGAGTTGGGCTCCACCTGTCCACGTGCAGGGTCCTGACTGCTGGCGGGAGTGTGGGCACCGTGCATGCGGAGGGTCGCTCTCAGGAAGCATGGAGTGGGACAGCCAACCTGCCGCTTCACTCCCCCAGTGTCGCCAGAAGCTCCATCTGTGTCCCCCATGTCGATGACAAACCCAACCACTTGAGCTGTCGGGTGGATCAGAAGGGGGGCCCGAATCAAACCCAGGTGCCCCATTTAGGGCGCGGGTGTCTGGAGATGAGGTACCGCCCAGCGGGCAGTGCATACCCGGGGTGTGCCTGCTGCCCGTGGCAGCTCCTCCTGGGTGTCGCACTGGCCAGAACCCCACTCCCTCCTCCATCCCAGGGGCCTGGGGATGACGTCTGTGTGTTCTGTCCCTGCTGTGTGGTCCCTGCCTGGCTGTGTGTCTGTCTTCCCCAGCCCCGAGCACACGCAGCTGTTTGCGACCCAGACAGGCCACCCCCTTGGCCCCAATCCCACAGAGGCCTTCTGGGGGTGGCAGGGTCCTGGCCAGGGACGTTGGGGCCGGGGAGGTTCAGGGACCGGGGCCACCTTAACCCAGGGGAGTCTTCCTAGCCCCAGGGCACCTCCTCCAGCCTGGGGCATCGGGCCTTTGCCCCTTCCGCATGCTCTGGGTCATGTCCAGTCCTGACTCTGCATCCCCTTATGGGGTTAAACTCAGGGTACAGGCCAAGATCAGGGGGCATGGGACAGAGGTATCCCTGCCCAGATGCCTGGATGGCTCTCTGAGACCACCGGCCGGGGGTGGGGTCCCATAGCATGCTGGGAGATGACAAGCAGGTTCCTGTCCCCGGGCTAGCCTGAGCAGGGGTCTCGTCGCTCGGTTCTGGGGTGGGGGCAGACCTTCCAGGAGTCACCAGGCAGTGGTGGCCAGTGGGATTGCTGTGTCAATCTGGTCCCACTGGTCCAGTCTCTCCAGCTCCCTCCTGTCGCGTGCTCTCCTCTGTGTCTTTGCCCCAAGGGCCTGGCCAGCGTCACCCTCTGTGTCCATGTGGGCTTCCTGGCTAGCTCTGGGCGCGGCTTTGAAAGCGAAGCTGGGACAGCACAGTGTGCTGGCGGACACACACTGGGACATGGCCTGTGCTCCTGTCCACCCTGGACTCGGACCGTCCTGCTTTTGACCCCTGAATGTCCCTGGGTGGGGAGAACCCCTGCCTGCCACTGACCCGGGCAGAGCCCTGGTCACTTGCGTCACCCCGGGGAGCCTCGGGGTGCCTTTGCTTGCAGAGGCAGGGAGGCGGCAGGGCTGACACGGGGGTCCTGCGGGGAGCAGGGGACAAGTGCTGGCAGCCCTGAGGGCCCGCAGCAGCAGGAAGAGATGTGGAGCCGCCAAGCTAGTCAGCCATGCCAGGGGCAGGCCGCAGGCGGCCGCGCGTGCAGTGCCACCCCGAGCGGGGGAGGGAGGATGGGGTGTGCTCCGCCACGCACCTGGAAGAGCCCAGTGCCGCCTCAAGCTCAGGCACGGTGAGTGTGGTCACAGATGCCATGTGTGTCGCCGGGTACTCAGTGTGGGCGTGCTCAGCAGAGGACTGGGACCCGGGGTCGCCCAGACTCCCGCCCTGGCCTCGGCCTCACACTGTCCCCGCCCCAGGCCGCCTGACTCTCTTGTCCTGACACATTGTATATACAATCTTCAACTTTACATTTTTGGTTATACAGTTTATTTAGAGGTGAGGAGCTCACAGCCACCTGTGAGTCCAGGGATGGAGGGGGTGGGGAGGGGAGCTGCTGGGGGGAGTGTCCCCCTTAGAGTGGCCAGGACGCGGGCTCGGCTGCGGTGCTGTCCAGTGCAGGCGGCAAGGACCTGGGGCTGACCTGTCTGACAGGGTGGGATCGACATAGTGTGGGGGAGGTGTGATCCAGTCTGTCCACCCTCTCACGGGTCCCTCCCCGAGCTGGAGACCTGCGCTCGATGCCCGGGGCCGAGCTCGGTGCCCAGCTGACCTGCGCTCGATGCCCAGGGCCGAGCTCGGTGCCCAGCTGACCAGCGCTCGATGCCCAGGGCCGAGCTCGGTGCCCGGCTGACCTGTGCTCGATGCCCAGGGCTGAGCTCGGTGCCCGGCCGACCAGCGCTCGATGCCCGGGGCCGAGCTCCCAGGTGACCGTCCAGGGACGCTGTTGCTTCGCTGGACAGGAGCTGAGAGCCTCTGACCCAGACAGGCTCCTCACTTGTCTGTGTTTACCCTGCAAGGCCTACAGGCCGACCGTGGCCATCTCTCACGGAGCGACCACAGGCAAGAGAACTTGCATGGACATGGCCAAGCATGGGTCAAGCTGCTTCTGTCTCCACCCTTGGCGAGGGCCTTGAGACCCCAATAGAACATTCCACGCTACCCGACACTGGCTCCGACGTCCTCACTGGCCCTGCCGCTGACTGATGGTCTCGGGCGGGACTGCTGTCCGCTGAGCGGTGGCTGGGGGGCGGCCTTCCTGGACAGAAGCCACACCCGCTCCATCCCCAGCGAGGGTGGGGGCATGGCTCGTGGCCGCAGTTACCACCCGGCTGGGGGCCCGGCCTCTCACACCCCAGGCTTCCCGCTGTCTCTGAGCGCTCAGGAGCCAGGGTCACTGCGGCCGAGTCCGTGGCAGGGAGACAGATGTGCCCAGGAGCCATGCTGTGGTCGCGCAGCAGGATGGGGCAGGGGGTACCCTGGACTGGACCTGAGAGGTCCAGGGACAGGCAGAAGGCAGGGCGGCGGAAGCTGAGGGTCCTGCTGAAGGCACAGGACAGTCCCGAGCCAGGTGGGCGAGTGGCCCTGGCTGACCACGACGCTGCCCTGGGCTGCAAGAAAGCAAGACGCTGCCCCATGGCCACTGTCGGACACTGGGCCTGACCCCTGCATTGTTGGCACCGAGCCCCGAGCCCTCGGCTGCCTCTTCAGGGACAGCCAGTGGATGGGCCTGACCCCTGCATTGCTGGCACCGAGCCCCGAACCCTCGGCTGCCTCTTCAGGGACAGCCAGTGGATGGGGCGGGCATCACAGGGCTGTCAGCTCCAGGCGGGGCCCATGGCCACCCATCCAGCTGGATCCTCCCCACCACACTGCCCGCTTCAGCCAGCGGCTCACCTACAGGATGGTCCAGCTGCCACTCTAGCGCTCCTGGTAACAGTTATCTGAGGAGCAGGAGAGCTAAGGAGCGACCTGGGACACCCCCGCCCGTCCTGCGAAGGGGTGACCGGCCAGCCCCTCCCGGTGTGCTGCACTTGGGAGCCCACCTTGATCCTTGAGGGGCAGGATGGTCGCGGGGTCCAGCCCGAACCTCTTGCAGGCTCCCTCAAACCGCCTCAGGAAGGGGCTGCTCAGCTGGGGGATGCGCCCTGGGGACAGAGAGGGGACCACGCATGTGGCATGCTGGGGGCCCCGCCCCGGGTGTGCACGGGGGCAGCGGGGCGGGCACCCACCGTACAGCGCCAGCGCCTGCATCTTTGTCTCGCCCTCTGTGTTCTCCAGGTACAAGATGATAAACAGCCTGTAGTCCGTCTCCAGCACCTGCATCCGGCTGTCGCCCTGGTCTGGGCGCAGGATCCGCTCAGCCGGGCCCAGACCCTCCCGCTCCCCCAGTCCCCTGGCGGGGCGGCACCGGGCTGTGTCCCTCACTTCAGGGTCAAGGGGTGTGTGTGTGCATCCCGGAAGTCACCAGCACGTGGCCGAGACCCGGGCCGACGGGGAGCGGTCACTCACAGGGGATGATGTATTCCCCGTCCTTCCCTGTCCTCTGGCCGACCATGGTCACAGGCACGCACTGCCCTTGCACCCTGGGAGCGGGCAGAGTGAGCTGGAGCACAGTTCGGCCCTCCCCCGCGGACAGCGCCCCAAGCCGGGACCCCGCGGGACCCGCCCCTTGGGGTTCACCTGAAGCGGAGGACCCGCCCCTTGGGGTTCACCTGAAGCGGAGGTTGAACTTGAGGTTGCCGTTGTCCAGGTACTCGAGGCGGCGCACGAACACGCGCAGGTCCCCGTGCTCGCGGATGCGCGTCAGGTTGCTGGAGGCCACGGAGATGGAGTACCAGACGCCGGAGATCTAGGACGGAGCCCGGTGGGTGCGGTGGCCCGGCAGGGCTCCCGTGCGCCTGCAGCCCGGCCGCCGCGCCTCCCCCGTCCCGCAGCCCGGCCGCCGCATCTCCCCCGTCCCGCAGCCCGGCCGCCGCGCCTCCCCCGTCCCGCAGCCCGGCCGCCGCGCCTCCCGTCCGCAGCCGGCCGCGCGCTCCCCGTCCGCAGCCCGGCCGCCGCCTCCCCGTCCCGCAGCCGGCGCCGCGCCTCCCCGTCCGCAGCCCGGCCGCCGCATCTCCCCGTCCGCAGCCGGCGCCGCGCTCCCCGTCCGCAGCCGGCCGCGCATCCCCGTCCCGCAGCCCGGCCGCCGCATCTCCCCCGTCCCGCAGCCCGGCCGCCGCATCTCCCCCGTCCCGCAGCCCGGCCGCCGCCCACCCTGGCCATGTTGTAGTTGTTTTGCACGATGCTCCTCAGGTTCAGCTCCTGGGCAGCGGCGGGGCTCGGCTCCAGCCCCGGCCACAGCCCCAGCAGCCCCAGCAGCCCCAGAAGCGACAGCGCCATCGTTCCCCTGTGCCTCGCCCCGCAGCCGCCCTTATGGCCTCCGCCCCGCTCCACACACATCCTGTGTGCCTGGGCCTGCGGTCAGAGCCCCCACGGCCACCGCCCTCGGAGACCTGGGAGAGGGGGCCTGTGGACGCTGCCCCCACCTCGAGGTGAGGAAGAGCAGTCCCCAGGCCCACGTGGTGTCCAGCCCGGGCCTGCCTGACTGGGATGCACTGCTGAATGTGGGGTGAGGGTTTTGGGAGATGTGGGCCTGTCCTCCAGCTGCGGCCTGGCCTCTTCCTGGCGGGGGGAGGAAGGAGAGCAGGGGTGGACACGGAGGCAGGAGGCAGCTTCCTGGGCCCGGGATGGGGACAGGGTGACCCTGGGCATAGGCCACAGTGGCGGGAAGTGGGCACGCAGACGGACATGGCTCCCACATCAGAGCCTTGTGTGGTTGGAGGTCAGCGTGCCAGAAAGGAGGACGGTGGCGCGTGGTCGGCCTGCCCCAGCCAGCCCAGCCTGCTTCTCCGCGGCCACCTGGCCTCCTCATTGCCGTGCCTGGCAGGAAGTGCCACCCTCAGCAAAGCCCCTTAAAAACTTGTATAGAAGCCCAAGTTCTGCAGTGTGGGGATACCGTCTTCCATCGCTGGCCCACTCCTCCAAAAGGCCAGACTGAAGCCAGGAGCTCCCTCGGGGTCTCCCCTGTGGACACAGGGTCCCAAGCGCTCGGCCCAGCCTCTGCTGCTTTCCCAGGCCACAGGCAGGGAGCTGGATGGGAAGTGGAGCAGCCGGGGCTTGAACCGGCGCCCGTGTGGAATGCTGGTGCCGCACGCACAGTGCTGGCCTCTTTGAGTGTCTGCCTCAGAATAAGCTTTCCTTGTAATTCCATTTCTCTGTGGACTTTGTGGAACTCCGTGGTGGAGCGGATCGGGACCCCGTGGGGCAGGCGGAGGCTGGACAGTCACCGACGACAGCAGGTGGCGCCAGAGGCCGGCCTCAAGCCGCGTCTCGGCCTGCGAAGGACAGCGCTCCCCCAAGCTTTGGGGACAATTTCAGACTCAAACTAAAATGCACAGGGGACAGTGCCAGCCGACTGCCAGCTGGGCTGGCTCACTCTCCCCCGATGGCCAGAGCAGCCAGAGCTGGGCCAGGCAGAAGGCAGGAGCTCCGCCCAGGATCTCCACGTGGATGCCAGGCCTGGGCTGCGTCCACCTGCCTGGGCTGCGTCCACCCACCTGGGCGGCGTCCACCCGCCTGGGCGGCGTCCACCTGCCTGGGTTCACGGCCGCCTGGGCAGCGTCCACCCGCCTGGGCTGTGTCCACCCACCTGGGCAGCGTCCACCCGCCTGGGCTGCGTCCACCCGCCTGGGTTCACGGCCGCCTGCAGGCTCGGTGGGCTCCCGGCTCCCCGCATTACAAACGGGGCAGACGGAGGGCGTCCCGCCCACGCCCACTCACACAGAGCCCCGTTGGACCCCAGCAGGTTCTGCAGCAGGTCCGCGCGCTTGCGTCATCAAAGGAGTCCGGTGACGTCGTGGCGACAGAAGACTGGGGCCGGAGCGCTGCACCTGCAAGACGCGGACCCCACCTCGGCTGACCTCGGCTGACCTCGGCTGACCTCGGCGCCCAGGCCAGGTGAGGGGGCTTGGGCGGCGGGGAGAGGCGCCACGTGAGGCGGGGAGCCCGACTCAGACGCGGGGCACCCCAGAACCGGGGGTGGGGAGCCGGCCGCCGCCCGATCCTTCTGGGAAGCTGAGGGCGGGGGCTATGGAAGGGGAGCCAGTGGTGAAGCCTCATGGAGCCGCCCAATGCCGCCTGGGGGTCTCCTTGTAGAAACAGGCCACTGTCTAACTCAGCCTCCACCTCGTTCAGGGGCGCGACCTGCGGACTCCCACCCTGTTCAGGGGCACAGCCCCCCACACCCTGATTCCATTCTCCCAGCCTGCAGGCTCTCTACAGGCCGCAGCGTGGACAGCGGCCCGGGGCTGGGAGACACTCGGCCCCACCTCCCTCCAGCAGGCAGAACATTCTAGAAGCAAGCCCCTGGGGCCAGTGGCGCCCAGGTTGCCAGGCTGGGATGCGCTCCAGGAGCAGGATGCTGCTGCTGACCGCCTTGGTGGTGTCCCTGACGACGCTCCGGCACCACCTCAGGTCCCCGTGAGCCGCCCCGGGCAGTGGGCTGTGTGGGAAGTGCGGCAGCCAGGACTGGAACCTGCTAGTGTCGCAGTCACTCAAACACCAACCCTGCCTTCGACCTTTCTAAAGCCTTCCACCCAACAGCCAGAGTCTTCCTCACCACCCTCTCCCCGTGAGGGCCCTGCCTGGCATGGCTGCCCCCACGGACGGAGAGGCACTGCCTGCTGGTGCTCCCCATGGGCTGGGGCACGGGGTAACCCAGCTCTCCCTGTCCCCAGGGGCCGGCACCTGGAGCTCCGGCTCGCAGACTGGTTTGACCCCAGGTAAGGGCTGCCCTGCCTTGGTCTGAAGGAACAGGGGTGTCCCTGAGTGGCCGGGCCGCTGCCCGGGGAGGCGTCCCGAGGGTGAGCCCCGGACCCTCAGCTGGGCCGGAAGCTTCCGCCAGCATGCCAGGCTGCCTGGGACGGTCTCCATGGAGGCAGCCAGGCCCCGAGCACGGCCTTCCTGGCAGCCTCTGCCCGCTTCCCACCATGCCACTGGAGGCTGGCCGGACATTCGGTGCCAGTAACAACACTCTCCCCTCCACGTGTGCTTGTCTATGACAGGGCACAGCGGGTTAAACTGCCACTCGCAACAGTAGCATCCCGTATGGGTGCAGGTTCGAGTCCCAGCTGTTTCCCATCCAGCTCATTGCTCAGGCTGAAGCCCACCCATCGGGGGGGGGCCATCAGCTGCCACCTCCCAGGCGCCCGAGAGGGAGCCTGCAGGAAGTGGAGCAGCGGGCAGAGAACTGGTGGGACGGGCGCTGCTGCCCCACCCCCAGTCTCAAGCCAGTCCCCCCGGCCCGCTTGTAAAAGGGCTCCGGTCCTGCCCCCCTCCAGGGGCTGGGGATGAGGGGTCCCTCCCGCGTCTGGGGGTTCCGCAGGAAGCGCCCGGATGTCATCACGACCACCCCGTGGCTGGCGCCCGTCGTGTGGGACGGCACCTTCGACACACAAGCCCTGGAGAAGTTCTACCGGCGGCAGAACCTCACGGTGGGCCTGGCCGTGTTCGCCGTGGGCAGGTGGGCGCCCGCGGCCTCGCCCCCAGGCCCGGGCGGGGGCTGGCCGCGCCGTCCTCCCCTCGCCCACCGTGGTCTGCGCCTCCAGCTTTGCAGAGGAGTCGCTGCTGCTGTTCCTGCGGCTGGCGGACGCGCACTTCCTGGCGGGCCACAGGGTGGTGTTCTACGTGCTGAGCGACGGGGACCTGGCGCTGCAGGACCTGCGCCTGGGCCCGCTGCGCGCGCTGCGCACGCTGGACATGGGCGGCCAGCACGCGTGGCCGGAGGCGCAGCTGTGGCGTATGCGCAGCCTGGGCGAGCACATCGTGCAGCGCATCCAGCACGAGGTCCAGTTCCTGTTCAGCGCCACGGCCGAGCAGCTCATCCAGAGCGCTGTGGGCGCCGAGGTGCTGGGCGCCTCGGTGGCGCGGCTGCACGCCTGGTGGTACTTCCACGGCACCAGGAACCTGCCGTACGAGCGGCGGCCAGCCTCGGCCGCCTACATCCCCTTCGGCCAGGGCGACTTCTACTACGACGGCGCCCTGGTGGGCGGCACGCCCCTGCGCCTGCTGGACTTCATCGATGAGTACCTGCGGGGCGCGGCGCACGACTTCCAAGCCGGCCTCAACAGCACCTACGAGCGGCACCTCAACAAATACTTCTTTGTGCACAAACCCAGCAAGCTGCTGTCCCCCGAGTACGGCTGGGACACCACCTTCAACCCGCCGCCCCAGATCCGCTACGTCAAGGTGGCCCAGCAGCCGCGGCGCGGGTGGTGACGGCTGGTGAGCGCCCCGACGTGCCCGGAGCTCCCAGAGGCTTCTCCGTTGCTTGCTGGCGGCGCGAGGGCACCAGAGGGGCCGGCCAGCCCGGAGCTGGTGCTGGGCAGAGAGCCCGCCCGCGCAGGCCCAATAAAGGCGTGCTCTCCCGGCAGTGACTTCCTCCAGATGGCGGCCGCCCCGCGCGGGGTGGGTACTGGCCTCCACAGGGTCACGCCCACACACAGACCCACACAGCCTCATAAGTGGGGGGCTGAGCCCCGCGCCCTGGGGAGGGGGTCTCCCCAGGCCTCCTTCCCGGGAAGGGAGGGGTCAGGGCCTGGGGTTAGTGTCTCTGCTAATCTTGGCTATCCTTGCTCTGGCCCAGTACGGGCCTGGCCAGGTCCTGGTCACACTGGCAGGCTGGGCTGGACGTGAGGCCGATCACCTGTGACTGCGGCCTAGGGAGCAGGGACCGAGGAGACGCTGGTGAGGTGCCTGAGCCTGGCTCAGGTTGCTGTCGGCACAGTGCACCCTGGTCTGTCCCCGGTCCCAGCGGCAGGGCCGTCTGTCCCCAGTCCCAGCGGTCCCAGCGACAGGGCCGTCTGTCCCCGGTCTCAGGGGTCCCAGCGGCAGGGCCGTCTGTCCCCGGTCCCAGGGGAGGCCCTGGCCACAGAGGAGGAGGCGGTGGTGCAGAGGGTATGGTGTTGTGTTTATTGCAGGGGGAGGGGCAGGGGGCGTGGGGTGGAGGCACAGCGCACAGGCGGGGGGCTCCAGGAGCAGGACCTGGGGGGATGCCAGACACTCAGTCGGGTACCACACTCCTGGGAGCAGGAGCACTCAGCCCCTGGACAGGGGTCCCGGCCTGGAGACGCGGCCCTGGCCCTCCACCAGCTGCACCCAGTGCCACAGCCTTCCGGCTCCTGGCTGGAAGAGGCCTGGGGGACCTGGCTCTGACCCCACTCTGGAGCCTTGGGGAAATGAGGGGTTTAGGGGGACTTCAGGCCCACCACCCTCTGTGGGAAACCTGGAGCCAGGAGTGAGTGGGGGGTCAGCTTCCCAGGGGCCTGAAGGCTAAGGGGCAGCAGGCAGCTGAGACCCTGCCCGGGACCCTGAGTCCAGGCAGAGCTGCTGGGTCCAGAGGATCGCCCCGCTGCCCCGCATGCCCCTGGGGGCTGCAGCTGCCACTCACCTATGGGCTGGAGGCGCTGCACCTTGCCGCTGCCAGAGAGAGGCCAGAGGTCGCTGACCCACTGCTTGTCTGTCCCAGCCACACCCCAGCACCCAGGGTACCCCCTCTGTTCCAGCCACACCCCAGCCCCCCGGGAACCCCCCTCTGTCCCAGCCACACCCCAGCACCCAGGGCACCCTTTTCTGTCCCAGCCACACCCCAACACCCATGGGCCCCAGCTCAGGTCTGAGCCTCAGGCAGCTTACGGTCAGCAGTGAGGTCCACTATGTCCCCAGGCTGGATGCCCCGGCGGTGCGTGTGCCCGTCGTAGGCCTGCTGCCCCAGCTCACTGGCCAGGGGAGTCCGACCTGCACCCGCAAGAGTAGGCATGAGGCGGGAGGGCACGGCCCCTCTCTCCGCTACCCCTGGCCGGCTCAGGGCAGCTCCAGGGCCCTGCCCCAGCCCCTGCCCGGTACCCTGCGGCGAAGCGACACCCACTGTGCAGCTCGGCCACAATGAGCTGGCCACTGTCCTTGTGGTTCTCCAAGTCTATGACCACGAAGTCGTCCCCGACGGCCACGAAGGTGAGGTAGTTGAGGCCTTCATCTGGAACGGACAGCGGAGGAGCCTCGGTGGGGCCAGGGAGCCCCCGCCTCTGGCTCAGCCCAGGCCGCCCCGTCCTGCCGGCCTCCCGGGCCAGCTGTGACCCAGCCCCTAGGCCTCTGTCTGTCTCTGGGTTTGAGGGGGCAGTAGACGCAGCAGGAGGCGTGCTGGGGACCTCTTCACGGTGACGGACGGGGTCACCACAGCCCAGGGTCAGGTGGCGCGAGCCCCCTCACCTCCCGGCCTGGGAAGCTCCTGTTTCAGGGCCTGGAAACTGGGGGACCCCAGGCCTGTCCCCTACCCCACCTCCTAGACGTCTCAGTGGAAGGGGCACCCCCACATTTTACAGGGAGTTCTGCCGGCCTGGGTAGCAGCTGGGGAACCCCTGCCCTGGGATTTTTTTACCTTGGGGAGCATGGCTGCCAAGGCTGTGCCATCTCCCCTTGACCACCTTCCTCCTCCCCTCCCCACCTCTTCCAGAACCTTCCACCAGGCTCTGCAGCTGCCTCAGGGCAAAGGTGCTGGGCGCTGACACTTACACTGGAAGGTGTAGCGGCCTGGGCTGCCCGTGGGCTCCCCCATGTAGAAGTCCTCCACACACCTGCCGTTCTGTCTGCGGAGGAGGCAGCTTGTCTACGAGGTGTCCCTGGCAGGCACCAGGGCATGGCCTCGGGGACCCGAGCAGGACTGTGGGTCCTCCCCAGGCATGGTGAGCCGGAGCAGCTGCAGGCTCTCGGAGAGGGACCCTGGGCGGCCTCACCTGTGGAAGTAGGTGACGTTCACATTGCCGTTGTCCAGGACCCGGATGCTGGACATGTAGCAGCGGTAGGAGCCGCCCTCCTCGATGACTGAGCGGTCAGTGGAGCCCAGCTGCCTGGTATACCAGAAGCCCTCCACCTGCGGGGTGGGGTGCATGCTGACCATGGCCTCTCGCAGCGCGGGCCGGCGGTGACAGGGCTGGGCGTGCAGCAGGGTGAAGGGCGCACACCCCACCGTGTCCTAGTTGTCCTGGAGACCCCTCCCAGTCCCCCATGGCTGCCTGCTGGGGGCCTTGTCCCTCGGGCTGGAGCCTGGGGGACTGGGGTTCGGGGCAGCCACAGGAGGAAGGATGAGAGTCCCAGGTCTTGTGTGAAGCTGGGTGAGCTGCCACCGTGCAGGGTCCTGCAGGTGGTGGGGGTGCACAGGGCATGGCGGGGACAGGGTCCAGGAGAGGCCTGGGGACCCCGGGGTGCTTCTCTGCGCTCCTGCTGGGGTCCCTGGGAGCCCCACCTGCTTAGGATGGAAGCCAGGCTGTGCGGGCACCTGGCTCTCGTCCTGCTGGGCCCTGGCCAGGCCCAGCCCAAGGCTGAGGAACAGCAGCGGCAAGGTTGGCATCTTCACTGTGGCAGAGGGAGCCCTGGCTGCCCATATATGTGCCAGCCTGCCCCTGGCACCTGCGTCACCCGGCATCCAAATGTTTGCAGAGTGGGCATCTGGCCAGGGATTTGGGCAGCCCCAGGCCATGGGCTCCCCTGAAAAGGTCAGGGCCAGGGGACTCAGCCATCTTTACAGGGTACAAACCCCAGCACCCCTGGGCCAGGGTGGGTGCAGGTGGGCGGGACCCTCTGCGCTCAGCATCCCCGTGCACATGGGGCCTCTGGGAGGGAGGCGTTGGGGTGCACAGCTGTGTGGGGGAGGGAGGTGTTGGGGTGCACAGCTGCGTGGGGCAGGGAGGTGTTGGGGTGCACAGCTGTGTGGGGGAGGGAGGCGTTGGGGTGCACAGCTATGGGCAGGGAGGTGTTGGGGTGCACACAGCTGTGTGGGGGAGGGAGGTGTTGGGGTGCACAGCTGTGGGGGAGGGAGGCGTTGGGGTGCACACAGCTGTGGGGGAGGGAGGTGTTGGGGTGCACAGCTGTGGGGGAGGGAGGCGTTGGGGTGCACAGCTGTGTGGGGCAGGGAGGTGTTGGGGTGCACAGCTGTGTGGGGGAGGGAGGTGTTGGGGTGCACACAGCTGTGGGGGAGGGAGGTGTTGGGGTGCACAGCTGTGTGGGGGAGGGAGGTGTTGGGGTGCACACAGCTGTGTGGGGCGGGGAGGTGTTGGGGTGCACACAGCTATGGGCGGGGAGGTGTTGGGGTGCACACAGCTGTGTGGGGCGGGGAGGTGTTGGGGTGCACACAGCTGTGTGGGGGAGGGAGGCGTTGGGGTGCACACAGCTGTGTGGGGGAGGGAGGTGTTGGGGTGCACAGCTGTGTGGGGCAGGGAGGTGTTGGGGTGCACAGCTGTGGGGGAGGGAGGCGTTGGGGTGCACAGCTGTGTGGGGCAGGGAGGTGTTGGGGTGCACAGCTGTGTGGGGGAGGAGGTGTTGGGGTGCACACAGCTGTGGGTGGGGAGGGTTCCTTGCGTTCCCTGCTGTCAGCATCCTGTGACCCCACGAGCCAGGGAACCCTCAGAAGTGGCCCTTATGTTACCAGGGGTCTTGCTGCCACCCCATGCACGTGGGGCTCTGACCATGCAACCTCGAAACACAATGGCCTGTGTCCCAGGCAGGGTTGTCAGCCGGGCACCACTGGGCTGAGTCAGGGCCACTTCCTGACACTGGACACCTGGGCACTGAGCCCCCATGGGTGGCAGGGGCCCTGGGGCCCGGTCCCCTCCTGCTGCGGCCACAGGTGCTGGCCAGTTCTGCTGGCTCCACCCAGACTTAATAGGAAGTTCCTGCAGCGTGACCAAGAGGATTGGGAGGGAACAGGCCAGCAGCCTGGGGAGCCAGTGGGGTGGGGGCTCCCCTTGTCTCTCCCTCCAGGGCTGCCAGGAGAGTGGGAGGCAGTGGGGATCCCGTGGAAATGCTGGGTCCCTCTCCATGCCCTTTGGTTCTGCGGGGCTCAGTGAGCGGCACAGTGTACCAATGTACATACATGACAGCAACGCCCGCTCTGGTGTGCACGTGTGTGCTCTGTGCCCGCTCTGGTGTGCACGTGTGTGCTCTGTGCCCGCTCTGGTGTGCATGTGTGTGCTCTGTGCTGCTCTGGTGTGCACGTGTGTGCTCTGTGCCCGCTCTGGTGTGCATGTGTGTGCTCTGTGCTGCTCTGGTGTGCACGTGTGTGCTCTGTGCCCGCTCTGGTGTACATGTGTGCTCTGTGCTGCTCTGGTGTGCACGTGTGTGCTCTGTGCCCGCTCTGGTGTGCACGTGTGTGCTCTGTGCCCGCTCTGGTGTGCACGTGTGTGCTCTGTGCCCGCTCTGGTGTGCACGTGTGTGCTCTGTGCCCGCTCTGGTGTACATGTGTGCTCTGTGCTGCTCTGGTGTGCACGTGTGTTCTCTGTGCCCGCTCTGGTGTACACGTGTGTTCTCTGTGCCCGCTCTGGTGTGCACGTGTGTTCTCTGTTCCCGCTCTGGTGTACACGTGTGTTCTCTGTTCCCGCTCTGGTGTGCACGTGTGTGCTCTGTGCCCGCTCTGGTGTGCATGTGTGTTCTCTGTGCCCGCTCTGGTGTGCACGTGTGTGCTCTGTGCGGGGTCACCCTGTGCCTGCATGTGCAGAAAACATCTGATGTTTGGGGACACACTCAGGGGAAACTCATGGTTGGGGTGCCGTGGAGGTGCCCCACACAGGGATGCCATGCTGTTTGCCAGCGGTATGAGGCATCAGAGGCAGAGGGGCCCAAGCTGGCCCTCACTGTGCCCGCTGGCCATGAGGCCTTCTCCTCAGCCCCACGTGGTGCCCTGCCAGGACCCCTGCATCCCAGTCACTGCCTCTCCTACCCAGCCTCTCCCTGCCTGGCACCAGCCCAATTCCAGATCCCCTCTTCTCCACACTGGCGAATCACACAGGACAGCAGGGGTGAGGAGGTCCAGTCCACCTGTTGAGCCACAGGCCGACAACCTGGGCCTCCTGAGACACAGCACAGGTGCCCACTGGTCCTCGTTCCTCAGGTGCAGGGGAAGTCGGTGGCGGCCTCTGTGGCTTCTCCGGGACCACAGTGTCCCCGAAACCAAGTTGGCAGAGAGGGAGCCAGCAGCCAAGTAGGGCAGCCGGGCACGTGGAAGCCTGGGTTGGTCCTGTGTGGGCTCTTCCTTTGGGTGTGCGCTTGGGACGCCAACCCTGGCCGGGGTCCCGGCCCTCGCCCCCCGTCTTAGCTCTTCCAGACGAACTGCGTAAATGACAACAGCTCGCTGCAGCTAATGACCTGGGCCGGTACGCCAGGGGGGAGGGCCGGTCATGCCAGGCCTGACAGAGGAACCTGTTGGACAAGCCAGGGAGCCAGAGGCGGGGCAGGGCCCTGTGGCTGCCCAGGGCACCCAGTCATGTGCCAGCCCTGGGGACAGGCATGCCAGCGTTGCCAGCTGTCAAGGTCGTAGTGTCCTGCACTCGCTCTTCTGGCTCTCAAAGTCAAGGCCGATTTCAACCAGCCCCATCCACTGTGCCCACAGGGCCCAAGGGTCCTGAGGGTTGGCCCTCTGCCTGGACTCCTACACTACTGCTGTCTCAGCCCCCACCCCCATGGGCACTGACCCAAGGGCCACTGTCCCTGTCTGGTGGACTTCTAGGCAGGCCAGCCGCCCACCCCCACACACCGCTCCCGACTCCTTGGCTGCTGCTCCCGAGGCTGAAGAGGTTCCCTCCTCCAGAGCTGATGGCACTGGGTGGTTCCAGCAGGGTGCATGGCCGGGTTGCACCCCAGTGAGGAGGCGGGGCCACTTCCTCTGAGCTGATGTGTGCTGTGTGCCGTGTGCACACCGCCTTGCCTGCTGTGTATGCCGTGTGCACACCGCCTTGCCTGCTGTGTGTGCTGTGTGCACACCGCCTTGCCTGCTGTGTGTGTGCAGGGTCCCTCTAAAGCTTTCCCCCTCATGGCTCCCGTCGGGGCCAGCCGGGAGGCCCCTTATGCAATCCCCCATTGCTGGAGCTGTCCGAGTCTCTCCCTGCTCGTTCCTTCAGCCTAAGCTGCCCGCCCTTCTCTGCTCTCTCTGTCTGCTCGTTGTCTATGATACACGGCAGCCATCAGTGCAACCTTGGGCAAGCGCGACTCCAGTTCGAGTCCCAGATGTTCCACTTCCCGCCCTGAGAAAGCAGCAGGGGACAGACCAAGTGCCTGGGCCCCTGCACTCATGTGAGAGACCCAAAGGAGGCTCCAGGTCCAGCCCTGGCTGTGGTGGCCACTGCGGAGCGAACTGGAGAAGCTTCCATGTGCGGGGCCTCAGAGCTCTGGGGCGGCCCACCCCGCACAGGCTGCCCCGGGGAAGTTGGCTGCCCGTGTCCGTGGGCACACGCTGCTCCTGCACTCCAGTTTCTAAGATTTATTTGTTTGCAAGACAGAGACACAGTGAGAGGAATGGAGGAAGTGAGCAGTCTTTCGTTGCTGGTTCCCAGAGGGCTGCAGTAGCAGGGCTGGGCTGGGCCAGGAGCTCCATCCGGGTCACCCCGTGGGTGCAGGGGCCAAGGGCTTGGCCAGGCTGGGCCGGGAGCCAGGAGCTCCACCTGGATCACCCCGTGGGTGCAGGGGCCAAAGGCTGGGCCAGGCTGGGCTGGGAGCCAGGAGCTCCATCCAGGTCACCCCATGGGTGCAGGGCCCCAAGCACTGGGGCTGCCCTCCACTGCTTTCCCAGGCACATCGGCAGGGGTCGGATGAGAAGTGGAGCAGCCAGGACCCCTGACTACCGAGCACGCTGGCGTCAGAGGCGGCGGCTCAGCCCGGCGTGCCCCACACTAGCCCCACACCCACCTCGATGGCACCACTCTTGACCCTCAGGCTCCTGGCATAGCAGGTGCCTCCTCAGTTGCCAGTGCTGATCCAAAGTATGGCGACAGCCGCTCCTCTCCCTCCCAGCTTGGTCAGCAGAGCCAGGGGCCAATTGGAGGGGTGCCCACTCTCTGGGCCTGTGTGGGGGTGAGCGAGCTGTCTGGGGGTGGGCACTCTGGGGCCTGTGTGGGGGTGGGCGCTCAGCTGCAGACTGGTCCGAGGGAGAGGTCTTTCTCCTTGGGGGTTGGACTGCTTGCCCTGGCCGGCGGGAACAGAATTGAGGAGGCTGCGAAGGCTCCCTGCACTGATGGGATGTGGGACGCAGGATGAGAGCCGGTCTCCACCCACTTCTGACCTCCTGGAGCTGAGATGACCAGCAGGGTTTGGCAGCCTGGAGCTGGGGTGGGCTGCCCTGTGACTGACCGCACAGTTGGGGTGGGGATCCCTTGGGCTCCACCCTGAACCAGAGACCTCAGCCTGGAAATCCCTGGCACAAAATGGGAGTCAGGGGTTCCCTGTGCATGGGAAAAGCTGGCTCCTGGCAGGTGAGCAGCCCCCACAGTATGCCCCCTACACGATGACCCCAGCACCAGCCCTCACACCCCATGCCGAGGGCCCCCACACAACGACTCAGGCAGGAGGAGGCATTCATGGTTTATTCACGGCTGCCTGGAAGGGGCTGGGAGCCCGGGAGGGGCAGGGAGAGACCCCACCACGTCCTCTGCCTGGACCCCAGGTCAGCTCTGCTCCAGGAGGCGGGGCTCTGCACCTGGGGGCGGGGCTCAGCTGTGACGGGCAGGCATGGCCCCGCCCACCGGATCCCCGCAGGATGAGGGACCTCCCTGCCCCAGGCCGGCCCCCCAACCCGCCCAGTGGAACTCAGGGGTCCCAGAGGCGCTGGCAGGTGGTCACAGGACCTTCCCTGAAGTGCAGGGAGAGGCTCAGGACCTGCCCCTGCTGGTTCCGAAAGCTGGACCCAGGAATGCCTGGGTCTGGGGTCGCAGGGAGAAGCCCCCTCAGCCCCCAGGCTGTGGGGTGGGGCTGGCACTCACCTGGCGGGCAGCGGCAGATGCTCTAGAGGCGGCAGGGCTCTGGGAAGGGGACAGGGCGTCAGCAGGCACCTTACCTGCACACGCCTGGGGAGGGGTCCCTGCAGGGACACCAGCACCCCACCCCCCGCCGGCCTTCCTCGGGGTCAGAGTCTACCTTCCTCCTGGGTGAGGTCCCGGAAGACCTGCATGGGTGTGGGCAGCATCTTCAGGTCAGCCCTGAACTTGTCCATGATCTCGGGCTGGGCCTCCAGCGTCCTGGCTGTGGGGGCCAGGGAGGGGTGGTGGTCAGCCTTTGAGGTCCCCTCGGCTCACACTGTGTGTCAGGAACCTCAGGTGACCGCAGGGCCCTCCTGCCGCCTCCTTGGTGGAAGCTCCTATGGGCAGGACCGATGAGACCACCTCCCACCGGGCACCCCAGCCCATGCCCTCCGTGCTGTGCACACCCAGATGCTGCCAGGCTGCCTCCCGCCGGGCACCCCAGCCCATGCCCTCCGTGCCACACCCACCCAGGTACTGGCAGGCCAGCTTCTGCGGGGGCATGGCCGTGCCCTCCATGCACAGGAACAGGAAGTCCTCATGGTTGGTGTCCAGCAGGATGAGCTCTTGCTCAGCCAGATCTGCAGCGAGACCGACCGTGGTGATGTCACTTCCTGTCCTTCATCCAGCTGGGATCTCCCTGCACATACTCACGGACACGCAGAGCCACACAGAGCTGGGGCCCACAGGTGGCACCTGGCAGACGCTGTCTCGGGGGTCTCCAGGGTTGCAAAGTGTGGGGCATGGCACCAGCTGCCCTGGTGGGGCAGGGGGAAGGCCCCAGTGGAGCCCCTCCCCAGGTGGGCAAAGAGGGGCATGAGGAAGAACCCCTCAGCTTGCCCACTTGAGTGTCTGGGAGGTGGAGCGGGAGATGGGGCTGGCCGTGGGACACGTGGCCGAGACGCTGTGGCCGTGGGCAGTACTCTGAGCCACCGCCTAGGTGGTGGGGTCAGAGCAGAGCGTCCGGTTTGCATGGCCGGGGTGGGCAATGGTGTGGGAGTAGGGAGGGGGCGTCCTGCACTTACAGTTGAACTTGAACTTGGTGGGTATCTCGGTCTTCTTGGCGATGATTTTCTCTTCAATGCACTTGCCATTGTCCCTGAAACAGGCCACTGCTGTGAGCCTGGGCACGGGCATGGTGGGGGTGCAGGGCGTCCCGGGCACGGGCATGGTGAGAGCGTGGGGCGTCCCGGGCACGGGCATGGTGGGAGCGTGGGGCGTCCCGGACACGGGCATGGTGGGGGTGCGGGGCGTCCCGGGCACGGGCATGGTGGGGTGCGGGGCGTCCCGGGCACGGGCATGGTGGGAGCGTGGGGCGTCCCGGGCACGGGCATGGTGGGAGCGTGGGGCGTCCCAGGCACGGGCATGGTGGGGGTGCGGGGCGTCCCGGGCACGGGCATGGTGGGGGTGCGGGGCGTCCCGGGCACGGGCATGGTGGGGGTGCGGGGCGTCCCGGGCACGGGCATGGTGGGGTGCAGGGCGTCCCGGGCACGGGCATGGTGGGAGCGTGGGAACAGGATCAGTGAGCAGCCCCAGGGTGAGAAGACGCATGGCCTGGGCCAGAAATGATCCTGGGGTTATGTCCTCACCCCCACCGCCCCCTCTTGGAGGGCAGCAGCAGGAGCTGCAGAGGGCCCAGGCTCCCGGCCTACAGCAGCCCCCCACGGGCTGGCCCAGGCTCCCCGCCCACAGCAGCCCCCCACGGGCTGGCCCTGGCAGAGGACATACCGCACGCCCAGGATGATCTCAAGGTTGAGCTCGGGAGTGGGCCGCAGTTCTTTGACATACATCCTCAGCAGCTGCCGCTCCACCGCTGGCTCTACGGCTTCCTGGGCGTCCTGGGCGGCCACGGCCACGGCATGCCATGGCCCTGCCAGCTGCAGGGGGCGGGGAGGAAGACAGTGCAGTCTCCTGTGCCTTCAGCCCCAGCCCGGCTCCCAGTACCCGCCCCCGTTCAGCTGCGGCCCGGCTCTGCTGCAGCCCCTCACACCTAAGTGAGTCCCCTGCCCGCATGCGGGGGCCGCCAGGCTGGGGGTGCAGCTGGGCAGTGTCAGGGCTCTGTCGTGGCCCAATGTGAACCCACTTCCGCTCGTCCTGAGCCCTCAAGGCTGTGTCAGAGCGGGGGCCTGGAGGGAGGTTAAGGTGGGTCCCTGTGGACCCTCTCCGTGAGGCTGGGATCCTTGGGAGAGAAGGACCACGGCGAGACCCCGGGAGGAACCCCCACCAGCCAGGCACCAGGGTGAACTCGGGTACTGGCACCTGAGGGGCTGGGACGGCTGAGCTGAACCCTAGACTCTCAGTAAAGGTTGGCCCCCAAACCTTCAGGACGTCCAGGGCCCGCGGGGTCTGGGGCAGGACGACGGCCTGGACGCTGCAGGCAAGGGCCAGGGCGAGCAGGAGGCACTTCATGCTGGCGGTGTGCTGCTGAGCGCGGCTGGGGCGGCCGGGCAGGGCTCAGTCCTTATGTAGAGGCCAGGAGAGCAGGGCCAGCCTCCCAAGCCGTCACCCCATGCCTTGGACCCCCAGACTCCGCCTTGGGCCCCTGGGCGCTTCCTCCTGTGAACAATGGGGCCTTCTTCCCCACGTCCCCATGGGACCCACTCCATGTCCCCTGGCAATGGAGTGCCGCTGGCACAGACACGAGGGAGGGGGCTAGTGTCCAGCGTCAGGGTCATTTCCCCAGGGAGGGACTCTGCACCTGGGACAGTCCCTGGGTGGTGGCCACGTGCAGGAGGACCCCAGGCCAGCCCGTGGATGCTGTGGGCCCCACACAGGGAGTGGTGTGCTGGGCCCTGGCCAGCCCCCAGCTGCCGACTTTTCCTGTAGGTGCCTGGGACGGCGGATGGGGGCCACACTGCTGGGAAGGACATCTCGTGGCCAGGGACTCCTCGCTCTCAGCCTGGGGGCGTGTCCTTGGGGTGGAGACGGGGTCCTGGGCGCTCTCGCTGCTCAGGGGTCACCAAGCACACCAGGTCCCCGCTGGCCTGACCTTGGGGTGTGTTCAGAGAGGGGAGAGAGGCTGCTGCATGTCTGTAACAGGTGAGATCCCGCCTCTGGTGGCAGCATCCCATGTGGGTGCCGGTTCCAGTCCCAGCTGTTCCACGTCCCCCAGCTGCTCCCTGCTAATTCCTGGGATTCTGTGCAAGTGGGGGAGGATGCCGAGTGCTTGGGCGCTGCGGGCACACGGGAGACCCGGAAGGAGAGCCTGACTTGACCTGGCCCAACCCTGGTTGTTGCAGTCACCTGGGAAGTGAATCAGAAAATGGAGAATTTCTCTGAGTGTGTATGTGGTGCGGGGCGTGGCTGCTGGCCCCGCTGTGGGATTTCACAGCACCCCAGAGCGTGCACCCAGCTCAGCCCTCACCACAGGGGGAAGAGTCGGGTCCCCCCCGCTGGCCACACATCCATCTGGCCCTGCCGGCAGCAGACTGCTGGCACCTAGTGGGCAGGTGGGTGGGCAAAGCTGGGCTGGGACCAGCCCCCTCCAGTGGCCCTGCTGCCCCGGAGCCAGGCCTGCCTCCCTGTTGTCCACAGTGCTAGGGTGGGGAGGGCTGCTGGACACGGCCCCCGGGGCCAGCTCAGCTGGCTCCTGACAAAGCCTGGGAAGGGAGTCGGAGCCCGACGCAGGGCCTGCACACACTGGGTTCAAGGAGCAGGGCGACCCGCCTCCTACCTGACTGGTATCCTGAGGTGACCCCAAGCGCACATGACTGGGCCGCTGGCACTGCCAGGCTCGGGCTCAGGTCAGGGACCCGAGTCAGTACCCTGTGGCCAAGGGTAGCACCTGTGGGCAGAAGGCACCAGCATGGTGCTGTGTCACGGCCAGCCTGGCGCGGGTGACCTGTGGACGATGGGGCCAGCTGTCCATGCTGACCCCAGGGTTGCTGTGGTCTCCAGGCGGTCAGTCCTGACCCGGGGCCAGGCTGAGCCAGCAGGAGCCAGCAGGGAGGACCACAACATCCTGCTTTCCACCAGCCCCAGGCAGCGTCCTTCCTGCAGGTTCTTGGAGTTTCTGGAATGTTACCACATTCTGTGAAGTTCTGTGAAGTTACCACAGATTCTGCCCTGGGCCTCCTCCAAGGGTTCCAGGAACAGCTCTCCGCAGAAGCCCACAAGGAAAGGGCTGCCACGGTTGGGGACAGAACAGCTCAGGACACAGAAGGAGCTGGGGGAGGGAGGAGCTCAGCTGAGGCACCCGCCCTGCCCTGGGCTCACCCTGAAGGTTGAGCTGGGTCCCCTGACCCACCTCACCAACGTGCTGGGGTGGCCACGATGTCCAGCGTCCACAGACCCTGTAGCTCCTCGAGTCCTGGAAGACCTTCTGGGAGGCGTCAGTACTGGTGGCGGGCTGGGGGAGGGAGGGAGGCAGGTGGGCTGGGGGAGGCAGGGAGGCAGGTGGGCTGGGGAGGAGTAGTACAGACAGAGGCCCCACCTGTAGGCCTCAGGGCATCTGGGCCCGCCCCACCCCAGGCTCAGCCAGTTCCTGCCGACCCCCTATAGTCCCCTGAGACCCCCGCAGCCTCCCTGCAGCCCCCACAGTTCTCCATAGTCCCCTACCTGTAGATCTCATTAAAGGTGGTTTTGAAAAATCACCAATCACAAGGAAGTCAGGAGAAGGCTGGCGAGAGGAGAGCTGCTTGGGGGGCAGCAGCTGGGGCCCCGTGCCCACGTCGCGCCCTGGCCCAGCCCCAGCACCCGGACCACCTGGGGAGTGAACCAGCAGATGGAAGATTTCTCTCGCTCTCTTTCTCCAACTCTGCCTTTCACATAAACAAGCTTTCTCGTTGAGTTCAGGGCTCTGGTGGGAGTCCTCACCAGTGGTGAGGTGCGAGGGGACCCAAGCCGGGTCCAGCGCTTGGGACTCTGACCATGGACACCATTGCCATGTGGTGCACGAGTCCTGGGCTTTTGGGTGGCCAGCGTGCCAAGCGGTGCCAGGCTCTGCCTGCTGGCCACCGTTGGCAAGCTCTAGGGGTTATGGGTATGTAATGGCCGCCTAGGGACATCCATGGATAAGGCCAATGGGAGCAGGTGAGGGATGAATCCGCTCTGACTCCCAGCGACAGGGTCACTGTGACCTGGTGGTTTGGAGTGGAGAGTCTGTAAGATCTGTTTGGTTCAGACCAACCCACATGGGAATCCTGAGACAGGCTGTTAGCACACAGCATCGCTGACTGCCACATGCCAGCCCGCAAGAAAGCTGTGGCTGAGGGCATGCCTGCCAGGGCTAGATCCCAGTACCTGAGTGTGGAACAGGGGATGGTGCTGGGCTCCGTGCAGTGGGCGTGGAGGACATGAAGGGGTGAAGGGCACCGTGCCATTGCAGGCAGGGCCGTAAGGGATTTCCCACTGCCTGGCAGGGCCCGCGGATGTCTCTGCAATCACCCCCAGGCAGGCCCACCTTGCTTTGGGTGGAGCCCGGACCACCCGCTGAAGGATCCTGTAATCATTGAGGCATTGTTCACTGTTGGTCTTTACTGTCAATGTGAGCTTGGAGGTTAATGTCGCTGGTAACTGCAGAAGGGCCTTTTACAGCTCCTGCCGTCTCTGTGTCGGCTGCCCCCATTGACCATCCTTGGTGTTTAGGTTCCCCCCGTTTTGTGATGCATTTCCTCCCTTAGCTGATTCAAGACTAAGCTGTAGAATGAGGATTGTGGTAGGAATGTGTTACTGATTGATACACGCCTTCTATTGAGACCCTCCTGACCACGGCGCCAGAATGGATAACATCCTGCTTTAAGGTGAAACAAACAGCAGAATTATCCTCAGAAACATGCACTTGACCATGACGTATAAAGTTCGTGCCAGAGCTTGTGACGGCTTCTGTATAAATAAAGTCACAGCTTTCTGGCTTTGTCCATTACTATCCTGAAACCATGGTGGCCCATTCCTTTCCTCTTGAGGCCTGCTCCACGCACCCTTCTCGAGTTCTGAACTCAGCTGGAGCTGGACTCTGGCAAGTGGCGCCCAACACTGCATAACATTAGGAAGAGTCATGACACCAACCAGCACACGAGACAACAGGTCCGGAGTAGATTCTGCAGGGAGTAAATGGGCCCAACCCTGTGGAAACACAAGTCCCGCTGCTTAGCTTAAGAGTTGGGGTGGTAATTCATGGAACCTGCCATCACTCACAGGTAAAGGGACTCACAACAGTCTGGGCAGGTCAAGGCAGCAGCACCTGAATGTGCATCCTAAACAGGGTGTGGGGTGGGCCAGACTGCAACATTCACCACCAGTTTATACAAGGCTAAATGGGAGGCCAGGCTGCCGAGCTCTGGCCTAACACCCACTGGCATGTATGAGAACTGGGTCTGGGGGTGGGTCAAGTGGGGGAACTTGGGAAACTCCCCTAGTGAGTCACAACCCACTGATGATCACATGGTCCAGACCTAGGGGTCAGGCAAGTTGGGCAAAAAAGCTCCAACAGCTGGCTAAGGTGTGGGTTGGTTATGGAAGAGGGTGGGGCAGGGCCAAGCAAACCTTAACTCACAAGCGACAACAGAAATCAGGCTGGAGCACAGGTCATGCCGAGCTAGGCTCTTAAGTCAACTGGTCTGCATGAGCCAGGGATGCTAAGCCACAGCATCTAAGGCAGGGGCCAGGACAGGTGAGGAACTGTGCCAAGCTGGTCAGAGCAACCACTGGCACGTGTGCGATCTACGGCTGGGAACAGGCCTGGCTGGGGAGCTGAGAGGGCACCCTGGCTGGGTTGGAGCACCCACTGGTGAGTGTGGGGTGAGAACGGGGCTGCGTTCTCGTCTGGATATGGCTGCAGTCTCCCTTGGCACAAGTGTGAACTGCGACTGGGTGCCCTGAGCCAGGCCAGACTCCAGCAGGAGGACCAGGGTAGATGTAGGATGGACTAGGCTAGGTCTCTGCCCCTACTGAGCTATGTGTGAACTGGAATGAGTTGAAGGCCAGTCAGGAAAGGCCACTGTTCCTGCCAGGACAGGAGGTGGACTAAGTAGGGCTGGCCCATGGACCCACCGGTGTGCATGAGATCTGGCATTGGGAGAGGTTCTGATGGAGGAGCCTGGGCAACTCCTCTGTCAGGACACAGTCCCTGCAGGTGAGCGCAAGAACCTTGATAGGGAGCAGCCCAGACCAGACCAGGGAAAGGTACCCACCAGCATACATTTGGCTCAGGTCGGGGCAAAACAGGCTGGACCAGTTCACATCATCCACTGGTGTATTCGAGCACCAGAACAGAGTGTGGGTCATGCTAGGTTCGGTTGCAACACATACCAGTATACATTACGGCTGGGATTGGGTGCCTGCTGGGCTGTGCTAGGCTGTAACCCCCGCCAGCATCAGCTGAAATTGGGGGTGAGCTGGGTCAGGCCAGGCTACAGCACCCCCTGGCAAATGCCAAGGCAAGCGGTCCATGCCAGACTGGGTTGCAGCACCCAACCAGCACACGTGAGAACTGG